TCATGTGTGCGGAGAGTGGTCTCAGCATGGTGGTGGCTGGTCCTGGAGGTCTTCGGCTGCCGTAGCCCTGGTCGGGGCGGGGAGGAAAGCTCAACCCGCTCCCCTCCAAGGGACTCCGGGAAGGAACACCCAGGCGCGGGGGCAGAGACTGCACTGCTCTCGTCCGGGATCTGGATTTTATAGTCTCTGAGTCTTGGCCGCTGATGGGATTACACGGCGCCAGGGGGCCACCCACCACAGTATAGTATAGTTACCATATTATGCTTCAGCTGTTAAATTAAACCCACCAGGCTATCCTACTAAAAAAGATTCATTTTAAGAATCAGAACTTTTTTTATGTATTAATCACTTAATCACTTAACTTCCCGTTAGTCGTCAATTTGCTCGAGCGGGCGCCAGTAACGTCTCCATTTGTCCCTGTCGCGTGCTAGTGTAGCCCAATGGCATCTGTTCACTCGGGGAACATGAAGGGCTTCAAACCGATCATTCATGATCTTGACGAAGAAGTCTGACCATCTGGTAGGTGGGCGGCCACGCCGTCTTTTGACATCCCGTGGAATCCAGTCGGTAACAGCTCTAGTCCAGCGGTCGTCTTTAAATCTCATTACGTGACCAGCCCATCTGATTTTTGACACCTTGGCAAATGAGACAGCGTCCCTGATCCTTGATCGTCGCGGATGTCAGAGCTCCAGATTCGTTCTCTCATTTGAGTGAAACGTGATATTCCAGTATTATGTTGATTAGAATGTGTATTATGTTGATTAGAATGTACTAGTAGAAACATCTTTCATATTTTCTAATAAAATGGAATGTATGTGAGTTTGGATGAAAAGGCGGATCACTAGTTTGAGATGAAACTATTTTCATGGAAAATTACTAGAATGAATGTATTTGGATAGGATGTGCTATTGAACAGAGAAGACTTATGAAAGCAAATTAATAGATGATAGTTTATTATAAATCTAGTAGGAATAATCCAAACTGTACTTTTGATCTTTTTGACATTAATGTATTATTACAACCTGAGGAATGGTGGTTTCATTTTAGTTATTTATTATGTTTCTTTTATGAAATCAAATCATTGTTTTGTGTTCCACTTTTACAGTTGCCTCAAATCTTAATGTAGATTTTCTCTGCCTGTTCTTATTTGTCTTTTAAAACAATGAAATGAATACCTTCCCAAAAAATTAAAAAAATTAAAATAATCTCTTCTCACAATGACAATTCAGTAATAGATAATTTCTATATTGTAATTATATAATTTATGTAATTCAGAGCAAAAGGGTAGTATATTTGATGGGAAAGTTGTGTTTAGGCTGTATCTGGTAGTAATTGCTTCTGGCTCAGGAGTCACTTCTGGAGGTGCTCAGAGGACCAGTACACAATGATAGGGACTGATGAAGCATCAGCTGCTTGCAAAAGGCTTGACCCTTCTAGCATCTGGAAGAGTTTTTTTTTCTTTTTTGGGTCACACCCGGCGATGCACAGGGGTTACGCCTGGTTCATGCACTCAGGAATTACTCCTGGCGGTGCTCGGGGGACTATATGGGATGCTGGGAATTGAAGCCGAGTTGGCTGTATGCAGGCAAACTCCCTACTCACTGTGCTATCATTCCAGCCCCAGAGTATGTATGTTTTAATTGTTAAGTTTTATAAGATAAATATGAAATTTTTCTAAAAAAATTCCAAATATGCAAAGATATACAAATGAGAAAATGAATATAGCTCCTTTCTCTCAGTCTCCAATGAAATACACTTATTCTGTTCTTTATGATGGTGTTCTTTTTCATAATTTCTAGTATTTTTTTGTGTGTCAGTCAAGGGTGGGTATTGCCAATTCATTTGGAACAGATATTTTCTGACTCAAACCCATGTGCTCATCACCATATATATTCAAAACAATGCATTCAATATGACCTCTAGCTCCTGTTAAACAGGGAGCCTCTCTCTAAGCCAGTTCCACACATGGATGCCTCAGACTCTACTTCTGTCTCCATTAATTAATTAATTAATTCATTCATTCATTCATTCATTCTTCCCAGCAACATTTGCTGCATTCATGCTCTGGACTGGCTTGGGGATTACACATAAGTAGAAAACAAGGTTAACAGAGCTACCTAGTATTCAGGGTTTTTTTTTGACATATGATGGTTTGTATTTTATCAGTCACTTGAATTCAAGCATAGCTAAGTGGCTTGTTTGACCAACAAAATATATCACTTGATCACTTGATATCCCGTTACTTATCAATTTGCTCGATCGGGCGCCAGTAACGTCTCCATTCATCCCTGTTGTGTGCTAGCGTAGCCCAATGGCATCTGCTTGTTCTAGGAACATGAAGAGCCTCAAACCGATCATTCAGGGTCTTGATGAAGAAGTCTGACCATCTGTAGGTGGGTGGCCACACGATCTTTTGACATCCCGTTGAATCCAGTCAGTAATGCTCTAATCCAGCGGTTGTCTCTAAATCTCATTATGTGGCCAACCCACCTGATTTTTGATGCCTTGGCAAATGAGACAGCGTCCCTGATTCTTGAGCATTGATGGAGATCGGAATTCCGTATTCTTTCTCTCATTTGAGTGAAGCTTGATACTTCAAGCATAGCTCTTTTGAGTCTTCTTTGAGAGACCTGAATAGCATTCTCATCCTGTTTTCGTAGGACCCAGTTCTTTGAGGCGTATATTAATGCAGGAAGAACAGTGGAATGGAAGAGATGTGTCCGGAGCTGGAGGTTCTTCATCTTCTTAGCTATTTCTTCAACACTCTTGAAGAAATATAAATATTTTATATTTATATAAAATTCATATATTTATATAAAATATATAAAAATATAAAAAATAAAACAGGAGCAACAGTAATCTCTTCTGAGTAGTTCAATATATGGGCCATGACTTCTTTTTACTCTGCCTTTAAAAATTGTGAAGCTGGAAAGAAGATGATTGGTGTCAGTTTAGATCTCTCAGTAACTATCATGAGAGAGTCTTGTTAACCCCCAGTGGTAGCAAAAAGGAAATATTACCATTTTACTGTGCTTTCCAATTCAGTGGACCTTTCCCTGAAAGACTGCTTTAACAAACAGCACTGTAGCACTGTCCTCCCGTTGTTTATCGATTTGCTCAAGTGGGCCCAGTAACGTCTCCATTGTGAGACTTGTTGTTACTGTGTTTGGCATATCAAATACGTCACGGGTAGCTTGCTAAGCTTTGCTGTGAGGGCAAAATACTCTCAGGAGCTTGCCGGGCTCTCTGAGAGGAGCAGAGGAATCAAACCCAGCTTGCCCAGGAAGGCGGCTTGCAAGGCAAATGCCCTACCACTGTGCTATCGCTCCAGCTTTAACAAGTAGAAAGACCAAATGGACACTCAGTCCAGAAATACACTATACATGACCTCAAAGTTTTCAGAAAATGAAACACCATAATCCATCTTCCAGTCTCTTTCCTCTTCTTATGTTTAATTCATAGACTTCAAACTTGACCACTTCAAGTCTGGAAGCCTTCGTCAAACTTTCCACAAGTCTTGGCTGACATACCTCTGAATAGATATGTCATCGCTAGAATCACATGACCTAAAAGTTGTTTTTATTTTTTGTATGCAAGCACACAGTTGAAAATGAAACCCCAATATTGGGTTAATCAAGGTCATTTGCAGCGAAGGAAATATTTTCCTCCTATTCCTCCTCCCCCAAAATATTCCTTTCTGGAACAATTTCAAAATAAGTAACTTTTATAGCTCATAATAAAATCAATTTGACAGGAACAAATAGTTTATATTATTAAAGGGTTTCTTGCTTCCACTTTTTTAAAATTTTATTTTGATAAGGTTGTCCACAATAATTTATTATATTCAAAATCCCACACCAATCCTACCATGATTACATCTTACTCACCACCATTTTTTAAAATTTTCCCACCCACCACCCAAGTCTACCCCAATAGAAGGCCCTACATAATTTATTTTGTATTGCTTGTTATGAATAATTCTCTAAAAACGATCAAAAAAGTTTTCCTTAGCAGAAAGTGTGTGAAGATTGTTGTATATTACTCTGGATTCATTGAGCCCTTGTATAAGAGATTACTAATATATTGTTACAGGCTGAGCCTTGTGTGCTAATTTTTTTTATATTGAGATTGATTGCCTTCTACCTTACATCCTTATCCAGTGTGGTGTGCTACTCCTGGTATATCAGTGGTATAGAGTATGAGATGTTGTTTATGCTCCAGGAATTCTAAACCTGTAAGTAAGATGATACATCTGAAATTAAATTTTTAACTGGATGGTGACTATGGGGTCTGAGGCATCTCTGCAGCTTGTGGATCTCTTCCAAGATTTATTTATGAGTCTCTGGACCATGACTGGTTAATGAACTTATATGGTGCCAAAGGCAGCTCATGGGTATAACTGTCAGGCTCCAGAAAGAACAGGGAGATGGGGGAGGTCACTCATCCTCAACGCAAGAGCCTGGAAATTTCTGTCACAAAACCCACAAGCCCGATTTTTTTTAACAAATTCGTTTGTGGATGAGCCTTGTCCCAAGCCTGTGGAGATTGGCTATAAGCATGGCAATGATTGAGTTCTGGAGGGCTTTGGCTGCTGGAGTTCTTTGGGTGCGGGGACTCACCAGTCCCCCCTTGAAGGTGCCACAGATATGAGGTTCAGCCTGGCGCAGGGTCTCGAGGCATCTCTCTTGATTTTACTTTTTATAAGACATACTAGTTATGTTCCAGAAGAACAATTTCAATGTCATCGACCTATTTTTTATGCAGAAATTTATTTGACAGAAACTATAAACATTTTTCCCACCCCAAAATAGCATACATGTTTTCTTACTTCCTTAAGACTTCACATAACAATGCTTTCCTACACCTGTTGGACTCTGAACCATTCTGTAGATTTCATTTTTTATAATCGCTAAACGTTAACTAGACCCAGGATAAAAGGCAGGAGAGTGGTTATTGAACATTCATACCGACAGGCTTTTGAATTGAACCAGGGAGTAACCATGACCTGCTGTGAAGGCTGCACATCCTGCAATGGAGTCAGCTTGCTGATTCTCGTCCTGCTGGGCATCATTTTCAACTCAACACCTCTGATTTACAAGTTACTGGAGAAAGATGACAAGAACCCCATCTCTTGCTATGAGTGGTGGTTCCCAGGAATTATAGGAGCAGGCCTGATGGTGAGTAATCTTCCCTTGAGTTAATTTGGAGAAAGACTTGCCTGTTTTCAGTAAACTAACTCCTCAGAACAATCGTTCAGCTTTGTCATGAGTTGTGTCTTGATTAGGATCCAGCAAGGAGCAGTGGTATGCCATTGATTTGGTTTTGCCCAAAGGTGCAGAATGACAATTTGGATAGCTCGATTACCCTGTCCTATCTATTTTTTTTAATAACAGAAAGCTATTTCCTACAGTTTTGAAGGTGAGAATGTGCAAAAATCAAGGTGGCATTTGGTGAGAGCCAATTCCCTGATTTGTAGCCAGAGACTCAGGTTCTTGGCCTCACATGGCAGTAAGCATAACAACAGGTTTTCTGCAGGCAAAGTATGCACTTTACTACTAAGTCACATTCCTGCCCCAAAGAACAACAATCCTGTGCACATTGGGGGACTGAGAAAAATAGTGAGAATGACTTGATAAAACTTGATTACATATTACCTGTTGAAGTCACTCCTTTAAGCTTTTTAGTTAATTTAGGAAACTTTATAATTAATTTCCTCCCGTTACTTTACCAATACTAACTTCTTAAATTTGCAGAGAATAGAAGAATAAGTATATATATTCCATGAATGATGAATATCCTGGATGATTCTAATTGTGAGGATGATAAAAATTATAGGCATTATCTTAGGGAAATGGCTTTAAAAGCCCGTTTTTAGGTTTCTTTTTTTGGCTTTTTGGGTCACACCCGGAGATGCACAGGGGTTACTCCTGGCTCATGCACTTAGGAATTACTCCTGGTGGTGCTCAGGGGACCATATGGGATGCTGGGAATTAAACCCGGATCGGCTGCATGCAAGGCAAACACCCTACCCGCTGTGCTGTCGCTCCAGCCCCCTGTTTTTAGTTTTGGGGCCAGTACCTAGTAGTCGTTGGGGGGATCTTGTGGTGCAAGAGATTGGACCCTGGGTTCTCACATATAACGTATGCATCCTAGCCCTTTGAGTCATCTTCTAAGTCTCAAGTTGACTCAAACCCCTATCTCTTCAAACTCAAGTACTTTTTAACAGATCTCACATACAGCCCAGAGTATCATGTTGCATCTTTGACACTAAATTCAATAATGATGAATAGATCTGTTTTTGTCAAAGTCTTTAGAAGAGAACTATATTATTCCTGAGTAAACCTGATTATTAATCACCCAAGGCATGTATAATGGATATAGATTTACACTGTACTGAATTCTGTTGCAGTAGGCCTCAGTAGGATTTGCAAATGCAGAGGAATAAAAACCCACTTGTTTGGGCATCTGGCAAAATATCTTAGCTTGGAATAGTGCAGTCATGAATCATGGCCATCATAATATTAATGAATTAATGGTGTCATTTTATATTACTAATGATATTTATTATAGAGCTTTTATCAGTGATTTTGTTTTCAGAGCTGGAGCGATAGCACAGCGGGTAGGGCGTCTGCCTTGCACGCAGCCAACATGGCCAACCCGAGTTCGATTCCTCCGCCCCTCTTGGAGAGCCCGGCAAGCTACCGAGAGTATTCGATATGCCAGACACAGTAACAACAAAGTCTCCAATGGAGACGTTACTGGGCCCGCTCGAGCAAATCGACGATCAACGGGAGGGCCTTTTACCTTTTGTTTTCATATTTATGAACCAGGAATAGGTGCAGAAAGGCATGCAAATTCAGCATTTGAAAGACTTGTTTCTTTTAACTGAGGTTTCAGTGATGACCAGTAGCTGGTCATCTCCACACTTAGATAAAAACTATCCTGGGCTTTTCACTATTGAACTTTGGATACAAATTATTCCAACTTGGAGCTTTAGATGGAAATTGACTCTACCACAGAACCCATCACACTTAAAAAAACATTTTCTCCTCCTGCTAGCATTGAAGAATTCAGAGTAGCAATGGTACAACTTTTTTTTTTTAAATTGAACCACCATGAGCTACAGTTACAATCCTTCATGTTTGAGTTTCAGTCATACAATGATCAAACACCCATCTGGTACAACATATTTTGTGTATTCTTTGCATAAGGGGCAAGCTATGGGTAAGAACAAGCGAGTCACAGAGAGATCACTGGGTTCATACTTCACACAGTTACCCCCTTGACTCTCTATAACAGTTTGGCCGAGTGGATGTATTATTATTTGCACTTTAACAGAAAACAAAAGGCTAAAACTGTCAATTCAGGATGCATGAGACCCAATTCCAACTTTATTTAAGTTAGAAGTTCTGTCTTCCACTAGCAATAGCACCATAATAACATTCCCAGTCTCAGGCAGACAGACAGAACAGAGAACAATTGTAACCTGTTTCAGTTATTTTTTATTTGTTTGTAGTTGGGTCACACCTGGTGGTGTTGAGGCCTATCCCTGGTGTAGTGCTTAAGGCTCTCTCCCAGTGGTGCTCAGGGGACCACACAGTGCCAAAGATGCACCCAACCTCCTGCTTGCAAAACATGTGCTCGACCTAGCCAACTTCATGCGCTCCCTGGCCTAAATTCAATAACTTAATTCATAAAGTTAAGAAACCAAACAAGAAGCACAGAAAGGACGTAAAGCATGTGAAATAGTCTAGACCCTGGATTTTTTGGTCTCAGGGTAAACTTTATTTTTATCACAAATAGGGGCCAGAGAGATTGCGCAGGGGTTAAAGTACATGCTTTGCATGAGACCAACCCTGGATCGATCCCTGGCACTATTTGTTCTCTCAGCATTACCAGATGTTGTGTTGGAGGCCTGTGGTAACCTGGGAAATCCCTGACATCCCGGGGCCCAAGAATTTTTGGCCTCTTGCATGGAATTAACAAATAATTCACTAAGAATCACTGAGAGGCCCATAGGACCCCTGAATACTTCTTGGGAGGCCGGTTTCCCCACCCTAAGTTAATAACAAAACCTATCACAACAGGCTCTACTATTTCTTGGTATTCTGGAATGTCATAAAACATCATGTAACTCTGAAGAATTGAATAGGTACATTCTAAATTGAACCTCAAACTCGAGAGGAGACTCAGAGTCAAACAGTGAGCTTAGAACAGTGTATTTTTGTGGTCCTTAGCTATCAATGAAGGTAGAAGAACATCTTTTCAAAAGATAATTGTGTCCCCTACAACATCTGTTGAAATAGGGACTAATTCAAGCTCTCAGTACTCTTGTAAACACACAGATGAGTTAACAAAGAAGAAATCACTAGATGCGATAAGTACTTTGTTGTATTATTTAAAATCTTTCCAAAATTGCTTGCTCGATTGCTCGAGCGGGCCCAGTAACGTCTCCATTGGAGACTTTGTTGTTACTGTGTCTGGCATATAAAATACGTCACGGGGAGCTTGCCAGGCCCTGCCGTGCGGGTGAGATACTCTCGGTAGCTTGCCGGGCTCTCCGAGAGGGGCGGAGGACTCGAACTCGGGTCGGCCATGTCGGCTGCGTGCAAGGCAAACGCCCTACCCGCTGTGCTATCGCTCCAGCCAAAATTGCTTAGCATTTTAAATTAGCTTTGCTTCAAAAAGGAACTTTGCAGGAAGCAGTTATTAAAGGCAATGGTGGCATTAGCACTGGGCATTTCATGAAGTATGTGCATTTTATTATTGTATGATTAATCTAATCAAGGAACACTTTCATCTTTGAAACCATGACTAAGAGCAGATAAAACTAATGAAATTATCTTCAATTATTACTAAGTGGAAAAATCAATACTTGTTATTTTTCCAAGACTTTAAATCTTTAACTGTACACTTAATCATACTTATTCATTGAATTACTTAGTACATAATAATTCATCAATCATTGAAGTCTTATCAGAAAACAAATTGTTGAAGGCTAAACAAATTAAAGATGTTGTATAAAAAACAATTTTAAATATAGGTTTTGTATTTATGATGAGCTATGGCTTTGTGAGTTACTCTCAAGCTTATTCCTCTGCCCCTCTCGGAGAGCCCGGCAAGCTACCGAGAGTATCTCGCCCACACAGCAAAGCCTGGCAAGTTACCCGTGACATATTCCATATGCCAAACACAGTAACAACAAGTCTCACAATGGAGACGTGACTGGGCCCACTCGAGCAAATCGATGAACAAAGGGAGGACAGTGTTACCGTGTTCCTTATGGAAGTCCTATAAGTTTAAATCCATTTGTTTTTAATGACCTACAGCTCCCCATTTCATTTATAAAGTGAATACTTTCCTTTTAAAACTGGACCAAAGTATGGTTTTCTATAGGAAAAAATAAACACATGTCCCTGACAAAAAGACTTCTCTAGACTTAACCTCACAAAAAATCTCTTTATGCACTTAAACATGCTTCAGAATTGAAGGGAAATTATTCTCATAGTTACTCATTTCCTTAGAAGACCATCTGAATGACATTATTCGGACACCTAAATATGCACACACTTTCACATTTTATTAGTCTTTACTGGATTCTCTATAGTCTCATTAATTTCAGAGCTTCAAATGGCTGAATGACGCCATTATCCATCATAGTGGAACAAAGATGCTTAATGTGCTTTGAAGTCAAGCAGGTAGGGATTCATATACTGAGTCATTGCTGACTTAGAAAAACTCTCATGCCAAGATAAGGAATTAGTAAATATTCAGATCCTTGATACAACCTTACCCTCAAGAGAGTAAATGGAGTTGCATTTGCACCAATAAGGAGCATGGGATGATTTATGCATTTAAGACAGGATTTAATGCTGCTCTACCTGCAAAATGAGCATAATTTTCTTTTTCATCTCCTGACCCACAAAACTACACAGTTGTGCATGATTGAGTTTCAGGGGTGCAATGTGCCCAAACCAATCCCTTCACCAGTTCCTACTTCCTTCCACCAATTTCCTCAGTTTTCCTGCCACCCCTCCCCACCCCAACACACACACCATCCTTGCCTCCCACCTGCCTAAACATGACTTTTCCAAGTATTTTGCTAAATTAGGGATTGGCAATGTTTGTCTTGAAGAGTCAGGTAGGAAACATTTTAAGCAGCCCTGGGCAGTATGTAGGAGAAGAAGAATGCTAAAACCTCACTTCCAAAACAAAGATGAGTCAGAGATTGCCAGTTCATCAGAATGCTTCATTTCTTTTTCTTTTATTTTTGGCTTTTTGGGTCACCCCCGGCGATGCACAGGGGTTACTCCTAGCTCATGCACTCAGGAATTACTTCTGGTGGTGCTTAGTGGACCATATGGGATGCTGGGAATCAAACCCAGGTCGGCTATGTACAAGGCAAATGCCCTACCCGCTGTGCTATCGCTTCAGCCCCAGAATGCTTCATTTCTTACACTCAAGGACAGGATAGAATATGAGTAGAGGAAAAGGAGGTTAGCCCGTGAACACTGACACGGATAAGGAGGTGGGGTTGAAATTTCTTTTATCATTTCCTCTGCGCTCCAGAGAGGTGAAGGATCACCCCCTCCCTGAGATCTCTGAGTTAGAAGATGTTTAATGTATGATGCTGGCACTGCAAACTGTGATCATTCAAATCACACTTAGCTGTGAGCCACCAGTAGGAGGTGCTGCTGTCAATGTGTTAAGGCAACAGGGAAGTCAAGTTTTCTAGCGTTAGAATGTGCTGGCTCCTGGCTCTGGGGTTAGCTCAGTGTCAGTCTGGGATGAGCTTCGGTGAAGCTGGAAGAACAAAGAAAACTGAGTTCCTGGAGAGAGGGATGAGTTAGAAGGACGAGGAGGGGAGCAAGGCTGCTGATGGTGGGTAGGATGAAAGTGGATAAGCTGTATGAATTTGGTAGAAGGATGGGTTGAAGTCTTAGTAAATTTTGGGGGGGTTCCTGGGGCACAAAAGTTACAGTAGGTAGGGTGTTTGCCTTGTACGTGGCTGACCCGGCTTCGATCTCTGGCATCCCATATGGTCTCTTGAAACCACAGAAGGAATTGCTGAGTGTAGAGCTAGGAATAGCTCCTGAGCATTGCTGGGTGTCATCCAAAAACAAATTTAAAAAAGGTCAGGGCTCTAAAACCCAAATGCTTTGCTTTGCATCCCAACATTTCTACTTCCTCATGAGAATCATTTTCTTGCCTCAGTTTTCTCATCTGTAAGATAGGCACAATAATAACCTCTTGCTCAGAGGAATTTTATGAGGTGGAAAGAACTCATACAGGTACAGTACCTCTAACAGAGCCTGACATGAACTTGGGGACCAATAAAAATCTTAGAAAACATGTATGGAAAAGAGAGAGAATTTCTCCAGTGAAGCTGTGCCAAATTGGGGGGGGGGGGAATTATTTTTTAACAACCAACTTATTGACTAAAATTTCTTTTTTTAAAATTTTTATTAGTGAAACACCATGAGGTACAGTTGTAGACTTACAAATTTTTGTGCTTGGGGTTTCAGTTATACAATGATCAAATACCCATCCCTCCACCAGTGCCCATTCTCCACCATCACTGATCCCAGTATCCCTCCCACCCCCCATCCCACCCAGACTCTGTGGCAGGGCATTCCCTTTTGTTCTCTCTCTCCTTTTGGGTGCTGTGGTTTGCAAAAGAGGCACTGAGTGGAAAATCATAGTCTACTTTTCAGCATGCATCTCCCATCCTGGGAGGATCCTCCCAATACCCTTTATTTGGTGCTCCCTTCTCTATCAGAGCTGCCTTCTCCCCTAGCATGTGCGGCTGACCTCCAAACCATGCAGTAAACTTCCTGGTACTTATCTTGGATATTTTTGGGTGTTAGTGTCCTATTTTGTTACTTTATGTTCCCCAGATGAATACAATCTTTCTATGTCTGTCCCTCTCTTTCTGACTCATTTCACTTAGCATGATACTTTCCATGTAGTACCACTTGTATGTAAATTTCATGACTTCCTCTTTTCTAACAGCTACATAGTACTCCATTGTGTAGATGTACCAAAGTTTCTTTAACCAGTCATCTGTTTTCGGGCACTCAGGTTTTTCCAGATTCTTGCTATTGTAAATGCTGCAATGAACAAACAAGAGCAGATGTCACTTCGACTATACTTTTTTGCCTCCTTGGGATATATTCCCAGGAGTGGTATTGCTGGTTGACTAAAATTTCTTAAGTGGAAAGAAGCAACTTATTCTTTGAGAAGACAAAACTTTTCCTATGAGCATTTCAATCATTTCATTCACAGTTGCTGCCTAGATATTGGCTAAATATCTCCAATGCCCTGAGACTCTGGAATTGTTCATTTCAGCTTTCCACAAAGAATATGCACAGATTTCTGGGTATCTCCACAAAGGGAGGGCACCGATTATCTGCACAAATAGAAAGGAGAAAGAGTTCACAATTCAGTTCTCAATTTCAAGGTCCTGAAGAGGTAGTACGGGGCTTAAGCTATTTGTCTTGCACTTGGTCTACATGGTGCCCTGGTTCAATCCCACACATTGCATGGTCCCCTGAGTAAAACTGGGAGTGACTCCTGATCACAGAGCCAGGAGGAGACCCGAGCACTGCCAGGTGTGCCCACCCCCATAGTCCTCAAACCCTAATCTTGAGAATGAGAGAGATGCTGCTGCCCCTGGGAATGAGAAGGAAGTTATGGGGAGAAGTGAGGAGAGAGAGGGAGGGGATAGAATTCCTAATTCTACATCCACCATAAGAAAAAATACGTATTTCCTTTCAGGATGCTCGTTACATTGACTTCTAGGATGGGGGAGAAATTAGATGAATGATTGAAAATTGTAAAACAATGAAATAAAAAGAAAAAATGAAAAGTGTTTCAAAATTTGAGATGGGGGTTCCCAGTAGAATCATGCTTAGGGGACAATATGACACCAGGAATCGAACTCGTGGCCTTGTGCATGCAAAGACTGCAGTCCAGCCCCTTGAGCCATCTCCCTGGCCCAGAAAGAAAAGTGAATGCTTCCAGGAAAAATAATTCCAAAATATTAAAAAAGTCATTTCTACCTGTTTAAAACCCAAGTCTCCAGGCCTGAGCGATAGTACCGCAGGTAGGGCATTTGCCTTGCATGCAGCCAGCCTGGGTTGGATCCCCGACATCCCATATGGTCCCCCAGCACTTCCAGGAGTAATTCTTGAGTGCAGAGCCAGGAGTCACCCCTGAGCATCTCTGGGTGTGACCCAAAAAGCAAAAAAAAACAAAAACAAAAACAAAAACAAAAAACCAAGTCTCCTTAAAGATGACTGGGGGCAGGGGAACTAGTCCTCTGGTTGGAAAAATTAAAACCTACCCCCAAGTACCCAGTTCCTCTGCACCTCTAATATTTCAGTGTTGACACAGGAACATCAATCCCACGAGATCAAGGCCACTGCAAATTTCCTTTCTGTTCTCTCAAACCTTGATTTCTCACATGTGGCAAATGGGAGGAAGAGATGGACGGTCTGTCCACTGGACGAGGAGTCATCATAGTCACCTTTCCTGTTCGTGTCATTTCCAGGCCCTTCCAGCAGTGACCATGGCCTTGGCGTCGAGAAAGAGAGCGTGCTGCAACAACAGGGTTGGGGTGAGTATGCAGCCGGGGCTCTCCGTGCACAATTGCAGGATGGAACCCACATCGCAGCAGTAAAGCTCCCCCAGACCTGAGTCCTGCGTCACCCATCAGCCACCGAATCACAACACAGTTCCCTCCGACACGCCCAGTCTGAGAAACTTTCTTCCTAGCAGCTTATAGGATAACATAGAAAGTCCAGGAGATTTTCTACTTCCTCATAAAAATGAAGCTTTGGAGCTAGTTCTTAGACCCCCCCCACCCCCCCACCTCCCCACCCCTGACTCATTTTCAGGTCAACCAAACGAAGGATGTTCAAAGACAGGCAATGTCTGCATCACCTTCGGAGCTGTGATCAATTTTTATAACACTCAGAACTTGGGTGTTTCAGGATGTGCATCAGATACTGAGGGAAAAAAACGTGTCCACTGTCTGCTTTCACGTGGGAAAAACTGGTTTGATGGGCTCAGAATGCAACCATTAATGAGTTAGGTTAAAGCAATGCCACCTACACCCAACTATGCATACCACTGCAATTAAGTGAAAATTAAACTCAGCCTTCAGGACTTCCCCCCACCCCCACACACTTTATTTAAACATCATGGTTTACAAAGTGGTTCATGTCCCACCACAACTGTCACCTTCTCTCCACCATTGTCCCCATTTCCCCACCCATCCTTGGTATCAGGCAAGCTATAATTTATTTTCTATTGCCTGTTACCACTAAATGGATAATGGGATGACCAAAAAATATTTTAGCAATAGAAAATTTGTGTAAAAGTAAAAAGTAAAGTAAAGGCCCTCCCGTTGTTCATCGATTTGCTCGAGCGGGCCCAGTAACGTCTCCATTGGAGACTTTGTTGTTACTGTGTCTGGCATATCGAATACGTCACGGGGAGCTTGCCAGGCTCTGCCGTGCGGGCGAGATACTCTCGGTAGCTTGCCGGGCTCTCTGAGAGGGGCAGAGGAATCGAACTCGGGTCGGCCATGTTGGCTGCGTGCAAGGCAAACGCCCTACCCGCTGTGCTAAATTGTTATATCTCATCGTGTCTGAGGGTTTATTCAGCTGTTTCTTGTCAGTTGACCCTTCTGGTTGTAGGATTAGTTGACTTCTATGTTACATTCCCATTCAATCTGGTGTGCTCTTACTGGGATGTTAACATCATAGAGTTTGGTGATGTCACTTCAGAAAAGCCAGAATATTTAACTGGGCATTATTTGTGGATGCCGGGGCTTAAGTAGGGTGAGAACTTGACCTGACGCCCCTCCTGATATGGCCCTGGAGGTCTCAGCCAGGACCGGGTATCTGAGAAATTTTACAACTAGTTGATCTCTTTCGAGATTTATTTACCTGTAACTATTCTGAGAACACTTCAGACACATCATTTTATTGAATTTTCTCAAAAGCCTTAAGTGGGGAAAAAAACATGACTTGTTTCATTGACTGAAAATACTGATCTTTAGAGAAAGCAAACAACTTACCAGCAGTAAGTAGCAAGTAAATTTTAATCCAAATCCATTAGATTCCAAAACTGAGTAATACAGAGGGTTCTTGTATCTCTCAGGTAGGGGGTAGATTAGCAAGCAAAGGCCATAGTCAATGCTCTGAGTTGAGGTCTTGAAGTGACAGTCCCCAGTCTGATGGAAACCCAAGAACTGTCTGGAAAGATCTGAAAACCACTGGGCAACTGGTGGCCTGCAGACACCTTGAGTCAGAATGTTCCAAGAGGATCCAGGATGAAGCTAAAGCATAAGAGGTGACAACTGTCCAGAAAGATAGTACAGTGGGTAGGAAGCTTGTGTTTCGTGCAGCCTACCTGAGTGTAATCCCCAGCACCACGTGCAGTCCCCAGTGCCCACCAGGAGTGATCCCTGAGCACAGAGCCAGGAGTAAGTCCCCTCAAACCCCCAGAGCTTGCATGTCAGTTGTGCTGAGTTGAGAGTCCCTGCTAGGGCACCTACCATTCCTAGTCCTTGGACCAAGCCCTGATGAGACACTTGGGAGCCAAGAGACCAGACGGCCAAACGTGGTGGGTCCCATCCTGTTGAGTTTCTAGGAAGTACAATGAAGGTTGGGGTGGGGAGACACAGAGCTCTGTGGTCAGTTGAAGTGGACAGTGCTGAGGTATAGGTCAAAATTTCCAGGGACTGGCCAACGCAATAACCTTTCCTGTGGGTCTGTCTAATCAAATGGCTAACTCTGTCCTCTGCCATTTTTTGGTCATTCAAAACTAATCAACAATATGTGTAGAGGGCCGGGGCTCAGATAGTACAGGAGGTAGAATGCTTGCCTTGCATTTGGGCTGGGTATAATTCCCAGCATCCCTTATGGTCCCCTGAGTACCATCAGGACTGATTTCTGGGTACAGAGCCAGAAGTAAACCCTGAGTATCACTGGGTGTGGCCCCCCAAAAAAAACCCAAAACTTTTTTTTTTTTTATAAAAACTAATCTAATCGATGGGTGATCTTGAGAACTAGGACCATAATGTGACAGGAGAATGGTAGCAGTTAAGACAGCAAAGGGACAAGGCAAGCAGGTAGGCTGCTTGCCTTGCATGCAACTGAGCCTTGTTCGATATTCAGGACCCCCGATAGTCCCCCAGCACCACTAGGAGTGACTCCTGACTGTAGAACCAGGGGTAAGCCCTGATCACTGTGGGGGTATAGTCCCTCCTCCCCCTAAAGACAACAAATGCTGTTGAAACTTGAAATAGACCAATGACATGGAATGACCTGAAGATATGCCTATTTTGTTTTCTAGATGTTTCTTTCATCTATTTTTAATGTCTTCACGATCCTTGGTGCTATATACTGCATGCTGGTGTCTGTCCAAGCTCTCATGAAAGGGCCTCTCATTTGCAGCCCTCAAGTCAACAGTACTGTCAGTTGTGAGTTTTCACTTGGTAACTTCAGGTGAGTGACCAATCTGGTTTTCATGGAGTTTCTTATCACCTTCCACAGCAGCTGTGGCTTAGATTAGAATGGGCTGGTGTGGACGTGGATGTTTCTCTCTGATCAAATCACTGTACAGATGCATATGGGCTCAACACAATAGTGCCACTAATCCCAATCTCACAGGCATTGAAGGATCATTTTACTTAGAATGCTCTTTGGATATGGTCTTGTTTAGGACTTAATCCAGGAAATTTACCCCTGTCTTTGAACAACCCTTGGCTCTGTGTGTGTGTGTGTGTGTGTGTGTGTGTGTGTGTGTGTGTGTAAACAAAATCTGTTAAATATAAACCAGGAATTTCACTTTCAATCTTGGTCCAACTTTCATTCTTGGACGATGTCCCGGGAAAATGAAGGGAATATTTACTTTCTACCTCCTGAAATATTTCCTTGTGTAAGCCTGAGCATATGTGGCCCTTAGAATTAAAAAAAAAAAATTAAACAATCAACAAAATCTAGAATATCATCTATATACCTTAAAAGAAGCAGTCAGGAGATTCTTGTGTCCATACTTAACGTATCTATAGACCTGGGAAGAAATCAAGAGATTAAGTCATGAAATAAATATTGGGATTAGATATAAATGTCTCATTTCAGTCTTGCAAAATGGTTCTGTGCCTAAGACCAGACACAATTTGTAAAACAACTGAATACACTTGTCATCTATATTTTGCTTCATTTGAAAAAATAACCATTATTTATATTTGTAATAATATGAATATTAATTCATTTCCCTTTCTGCATTCAAAAAAACACTCCAATTTTGCCAATTACAGTGGTTCTGAATCAAAATGCAACATCAAAATGCAAAATGCAAAGAAAAGGTCCCTTGAAAAGGTCCCTTGATGAACTCTAAGGTTAGAGATTTTAACAGAGGCCACAATGGACAATTGTCTAGTCTTATTGGACAATTCAACCACAGACCAGGCTGTGCTCTTGGTCAATCAATGCTCAAGTTAATCCAACCTTAATTGGGGAAGAGAGTTAGAGTGAGGTGATGAGAGTGATCCTATGCTCACCGCAAACTTCCCAAAGCAGACCCAGGGTTGATGAGATAACAGGGGTTAAGGTTTGTGTCTTGCACGGGTCTGACCTGGTCCAGCCCCTGTCATGGCCACACCCATTTCCTGAATTCCACTTGGCAGACTGCGCTCCTCAAAAAGAAGACTCCTATTTTATGCGTTGAGATTGTAATACGGGCTGAATGTCAGTTGTTGTTCTCCAGATGTGTGAACAGTAAAGAACGTGCTAATGTGCTACAACTAGTTGATGGTTTCTCGTTTTCCATATCTCAATATAATGAATAGGCACAAATCGCTTTTTGGTGTTTGGTGGAGTGAAGTGGTTTGGGTGACACTTGGCAGTGCTCAGGGAGTCAGGGGGCATTAGGGATCACACCCAGACCTCCTATATGCAAAGCATATGCTCAGTCTCTTAAACTCTCTCTCTCTGGTCCAGATAACTTTAACTAAGTAAACATATCAGAAGTGTCTTTTGCGTGAAAATTATAACTAAGAGTAACAGGGAAATTTTGTATTGAGAATAATTCTTGATGTGAGGAAGCCCTGTAGCTTCTGATGGATAAACGTAAGGAGTTTAGAAATGCTGCTTTTTTCTCCCCTGGGGCGGGTGTGGGTAAAGCATTTGCCTTGCTTGCAGCTGACCTGGGTTCGAGCCCCTGCATCTTATATATTCCCCCTAAGAACCACCAGGAGTAATTCCTGAGTGCAGAGCCAGGAGTAACCCCTGAGCATCATTGGGTGTGATCTTACCTCCCACGCCCCCGTCACTCAAAAGTGAAATGCTTTTTGTATGTTGGAATGAAAAAAGTTTCATAATGATTAGGGTGCATGGGTACACACTCAGTTTTGTTGTGTGTGATGTTCATGAATATCTTATTTCTTTCCTTTTTCAGTGACATTGGTGAGAATTCCCTCAATCTCAACTGGTTCTTAGAAAAATCCTGTGTACCGTCTCAGCCTAATTATTACTTCGACCGTAATGGCACAACGCTTGATGATATAGTTGACAACTGGGATTTCAAGACCAAGGAAGGCAGGCATAGGACTATCCATTTATCAGTCTTCTTGGGTCTACTGATTGTGGGAATTCTTGAAATCCTGTTTGCACTCAGTCAGATCCTTATTGGCTTCCTTGGCTGTCTGTGTGGTGTGTCTAAACGAAGAGAACGCTACGTGTAACTGGATGTCAATAAATGAAAATATTAGCATTTCAAAGTGTTTGAGAATTACAATGAAAAAACTTATTTTTTAAAAGGAGTCCAAAGGTTAATCTCCAGATTATCACAAAAACTGCATGAGTCCAACACTCAAAAGGAGAGAGAGAACAAAGGGGAATGCCCTGCCACAGAGGCAGGGTGGGAGGGGGGGTAGGGGGGATATTATCCATGGTGGTGGAAAATGGGCACTGGTGGAGGGATGGGTATTTGATCATTGTATGACCGAAACCCAAGCACAAAGATTTGTAAATCTACAACTGTACCTCATGGTGCTTCACTAATAAAATTAAAAAAAAAAAACTGCATGAGTCATTCTAGTCAAAAAGAGGTGTTTTAAGTCACTGAAGTCAACTTTGCATATATAAATAAGCCATAGTATATGCGTAAGGGAGAGAACACCAACAGCAGCTGACTTTGGGAATAGGCAGAGGGAAGCTTTCAACTTGGATCTTTGCATCTCCACTATCTGAATGCTTTAATTCTATATTTTTGTGTGGAGGAAAAGGAAGAGGGAATAGAAAGGGAATAGAAAGATTCTTGGAAGTGGGAAGTATGTAACCTTTTCACTGTATTTCCTTATATACAACAAATACTTCTTCACAATCACAATCACAACCATCCTGTTATTCGTCGATTGCCTCGAGCAGGCCCCAGTAACGTCTCTTCGTCCTAGTCCTGAGATTTTTTTTTAAAAAGTGCCATATTCAAGGCTCTTTCAGAGTTAGGAGAATGAGACCCTTCATTGTTACTGGTATTTGGCATATTGGGTATGTCACGGGGAGTTTGCCAGACTCTGCCGTGTGGGCAGGTTACATTCAGTAGCCTGCCAGTTTGTCTAATTGCTGGATTGATTAGACAATCCAGCAACAAGGAAAAAAAAAATCTACTAGGTCTAACTACGCGAAAATTTAAAACTTACATATGGTTAAAACAAATTTAAAAAATCACAAAGTAATTCTAAAGATGAATTACACATTGGATATAGTTGTAATACCCATTAACACTAAGGGCTCTTTTTTTTTTTTGAGGCAGGGTAGGTCACACCTGAAGATGCTCAGGGCTTACCCCTGGCTCTGAGCTCAGGAATCGCTTCTCGTGGAGTTTATGGGATTCTGGGGATGGAACCAGGGTCAACCGTGGGCAAGGCAAGCGCCCCGCTCACTGTTCTATCACTCTGGCCCCAAGGGCTCTTTAATTTACAAATGTCCATACATATTATTAAGAAAAAGATAATCCAAAGAGTCTCGATCAGGGGTAACTATTTAAAAGATAGAAATGATTTTAAAAAGAGCGAGCAGCTTGCTCATATACTTGAATTTCATTCATAATTAGGGAAATATATACAAAACTAGGATTCTGTTTTGCTCACAAGATTAACAAATGTTAAAATGTTGGAGGAGGCCCAGATCGGGAGAGGGACGCATGCACCAGTAGCTGAGAAGCACACAACAAAACAGGAGGACAAAAACACTCGAAAGCGGCTCCATCCTAAGGAAGCAGAATGAAGGGCGGCGTGCCTGGGGCTGGTTGTTCCGGGGTGAGGGGGATGTGCTCGCATGCAGCCGTTGACAAGAAACAAGCTCCAGAGACATGAGTGAAAATGCAGGTGCTGGAGCCATAGTGCAGTGGGTAGGCAGCCGCCTGGCACACAGTTGCCCCAGGTCCAACCCCCAGCACCCGGGTGGTGCTCTGAGCTGTCCAGGAGTGACCCCTGGGCACTGCAGGCCCCCAAACAAACAAACAAAATCTCCCAAAGAAATGAAAAAGAGAATTAAGAGAATATAAGACTTGAAAAAACTTATGATTCTATCTCCCAGCTCTGTACCGAGGGTTCACTCCTAGCAGTGTTCAGAAGACCATACGTAGTGCCAGAGATGGAACCAGAACTGGCCCTGTGCAAGGCAAGCCCTTTACCCACTGTACTATCTCTCTGTCCCTGAAACATTAATTTTTATGGGGAAGGGGGCAATCAAAAACAAAACCCTGGACAACCTAACTATCCAACAAGAATGTTTATAGAGGACTGATTAAATATCACACTCGATGATGAAACACATGCAACTTATGTGAAAAGCATATACTCTCAACCCCATGGATTCAAATTCCTGGCTCTGCAACTTCATACTAGCTCTCTGGTCCTTGGAAAGAGGTTTCAATAGTCCAAACTAGGGCCTGGGGATATGGTTTAGGGGTAGAGCTTGAGAATGGGGTTCCATTCCTGGCACAGAAATCTTTAAATTCAGAAATAAAAAAAAAAAGTAAACCAGACTACACATTTCTCTTAAAGTCACTCTGCTTCAAACAAACAAAAAATCAAGTATCTAGAATCAAAAGCAAAATAAAGCACTGCTGCCTGCTAATGTTAACTTTATTCTTCTTACATATGATATATAATAAGTACTTATTACATATGGTATATAGGTAGGAAAAATGCCACTTGGGTGAAGAGCTAAGGTACAGGATGGGGAGGGGTTACAACAATGGGGGAGAGGTGTTCGAGCTGGTGGTGGAGAAAGATGGTAAAATGTTAGGCATGAAACGCTATCAGCAACAGTACTGTTAACAATAGTGCAAAAACTTAAATATATGCACGCACCTCCCATTGAAGCAGATTGGTGGGTGGGAGACAAACCGGGATTGGTGTGGTGGGAAACGGTGGAGGAAGCGGACCTGATGAACGGATGGTGTTGAAGCATTGTATGCCTGAAATCCAATCATGGACAACTTCATACTTTCATTGCTACTACATGTCACTGTCACTGTCCTCCCGTTGTTCATCAATTTTCTCGAGCAGGCCCAGTAACATCTCCACTGTGAGACTTGTTGTTACTGTGTTTGGATATCGAATACATCACGGGTAGCTTGCCAGGCTTTCCCTGAGGGCGAAAAACTCTTGGGAGCTTGCTGGGCTTTGCCGTATAGGCGAGATACTCTCAGTAGCTTGCTGGATTCTCCGAGAGGGGCAGAGGAATTGAACCTGGGTCAGTCGGGTTGGCCGCGTGCAAGGCAAATGCCCTACCACTGTGCTATGGCTCCAGCTCTACTAAATGAAGTTTAAAAAATAATAAATATATACCCTGAATAAAAAGATTAATGAGACTTAATTCCCAACTTACAGGAAATTCAAAGAAAATCTGTAGACAAACCCAAAAGGTGGGACAGTGGCTTGTTGTAGTCAATAAAAACAATGGCTCCTGTTTCCAGAAAGAAAACGGCCTAGAAAAGATGAAGATGGGACAAGAGGAACTATTGTAGATTAAAAGGAGGGGCAAGGAAATATGTTCACAGACTCAACTGGGCATAACTTGAAAACACTGTATGTGAATTGGTTTAAATGTTATTAATTTCTCTGGTCTAATAATGATTTATGTTTCAAAAGAAAACTTTTTTTTTTTTTTTAAAAAAGTACTATTTTGTAAAATCTTATCACACCGAAGGTTGTGTGTTCACGGGCTCACTGGATGGCACCGTCTCACTGCTTGCGTTAGGTGCTCTTGAGCTGCTGTGTGTGGCCTGGATCGGAACAGCTATTGGCCAAGGGCAGACGGAAGAAGAAACGAGGGCCAGGCCGGTCTATATCAATAGTAGTTTATTCCAATCCTCTTCACTCCTGTTTTTCTCTGCCTCCTTCTCTCCTGGGCCCCAATCTTGGAACCTCTCTCCTTCTGGCTCTGACTCTGGATCTCTGGAGCCTGAGTTCTCTCGCTTCTGACCCCCTTCTCTGAGCTTATGTCTTAGTTTATATAGCAGTCACATAAGGCGGTGACATAAAGGTGGGTTGAATACTGACGAATCAACAAAGAGAGGTAAGACCACTCCTCCAGGAGATTAACTCAAGGATAAAATCTCATCTACAGAGATTACTTCAGATTACTAGGAGATCCGCTCAAGGGTGGGATCCCAACAAGGGTGTGTTCTTCCCTCAGTTAGTAATCTACTTAAATAGTTGTAATATCTTCCTGAGAACATCTCACTATACATTCCGCAGTCCTCAGGCCAGGTTAATCTTCCTAGCTCCAGCAGGGTCCTAGTCTCGTCGTTACTTACTTTTGGATCATGACAGCATTTGTCCATGATCATGCCCTCAACTTATAGTTGAGTATCGTGGCTCTTTGGCCTGGCCCATTTTGATGCCAGGGTAGCTCACCTCTTGCCCTGGGTCCATTCAGTCCCTCGTCGGGACCCTGCTTTTTGGGGTGCTAGGAACTAAGGGCAACTGAGTCAAGAAATCAGATGCCCAGGAGTAAATATTATTCAGAGTCAATCAACTCCCAAGTTACAAAGCACAATATTAACTGTCTTCCTGTGTACACACAGAAAGGACATTGCTTACAAGTTCAGTGTCCTTAGATGGGTGTGACCTGACAAACCTAAGCTACTTGAGGAAGGACAAAAGAGTGTTATCCTACACTATTTAAGGGAAAATGACACACCGAAAAAATATTGTAAAAAAAATAAAAAAATGTTAGTATAGTCAGATAATAGGTAGATGACAATTTATACTTTTATTCTTGCATGCTTTCATTGTTTAGAATAATTTTAAAAAGCACCAGAAACGTACGTTTTTAAATCCTTAGGTGTTCAAGGCTTGCTACTTGTTCTGTGCTCAGGGATCACTCCTGGCACTGCTCAGGGGACCATATGGAGTGCTTGGGATCATTCCCGGATCAGCCACATGCAAGGCAAGCATCTACCTCCACCATCGCTCCAGCCCCCATACAGCAATTTTTAAAAGGCAAATTAAAAAGTGATTTGTAAAATTATAAAATGAATAAAAAAATGAAAATTCCAAAATTGATGAATTCAGCCTTATTTCAATTTTGCTCTGTTCACCAGGCATAAGGATCTACAAATACAATACTTATAGCTGGTAATGTCAACAATTTATTGTCCTTTTGTTTTCTGAACCCATTTACAGCATTAAGCCCATCTTCCTATGCTCCTACAAACAGTTCCTTATCCTAAAAGTCTAAACTTAAACAACTTTTTGAAGAAGTCTTCCCAGCACACAAGATTACCATGAACTTACTTAGCACTGCCCCAAGCCTGTCAAAAATGTACCACAGATGTTAGTATCCATCCACATCGTAAAAGAACTGTAGAACAAGGTCATGTTCTTCATTCATCCATCCATCAGCTCTTTGCTACTCCACAACCTCAGCAAGGCTTCTCCTCAACCAGCCCCTCATCACTTTGGTCACACTGAATCCTCTTCATCCTTTAGACTCTGCGACGTTTGTGCCACTTAGACTGAAACCTTTGTTCTCTAACCACCTAATAGACAGGTTTCCTTTGCCTCTCCTTTTGTATTCTCCCTTTCATAGAAATGACCACAATGGCAACAAAACTTTGATTTATGCTTATTTTCTAAGTTTCACTCTGCCCCCGGTAAGGAGAAAAAGTGCCTTCATTTTTATTTCCATGAATTACTTTTTTATTTTTGTGGACTTCTTTTCATGTATGGCCAATGAAAGAAGAAGCAATGCCAGCCATCAACTTTCTTTTTAATAGTTTTTGTGGTTTCAATGGAGGACTATTCATAGAAATGACTTGTGATATGTGCTGAGGGGTAAAATATATATATATATATATATATATATATGTGTGTGTGTATACACACACACACACACATATATATACATATATATATATATGTATTTTCTTTTTGGGTCACACCCGGTGGAGCTCAGGGATTACTCCTGGCGTTGCCCAGGGGACCACATGGGATGCTGGGAACCGAACCCGGGTTGGCTGCATGCAAGGCAAATGCCCTACCCACTGCGCTATCACTCCAGCCCCTAGAATATATTTATATCATTAAGATATAGTGAAAATCGGGGCTGGAGTGATAGTGCAGTGGTTAGGGCATTTGCCTTGCACGCGGCCGACCTGGTTTCAATCCCCAGCATCCCATAAGGTCCCACAAGCACCGCCAGGAGTAATTCCTGAGTGCAGAGCCAGAAATAACTCCTGAGCATTGCTGGGTGTGACCCAAGAAGAAAAAAAAAAAGATATAGTGAAAATATAAGACTTATATGCAGAAAAATATTGTCATAAACATTATAAACCCAGGGAGTGCAGAGAAGACTCCTTCTAGTAATTTCATATTTGAAGAACAAGAGGAAAGATTAGAATCACTAAAATCCACTCAAATCCAAAAACTTCCCCTCAACTGCCTTTTCAATAAAATAAAATAGCCTTTAAAGGAAAATGCTGAAGATGTGTGGTAAATAGCATATATTAATAAAAAGCTATCCGTTTCAAACTAAGAAAGGGGGAAAAAATGAGAAGTAAGAGGTTCCCGGAAATTAGTTTCATAGGTGTGTGTAAGTAGCAAGAGATTTAATGTATTCGATAAATTCTGCAACAGAATAAGTATACTGGATTCCAGGTGCTTTCATTCAGACTGCTTAATAACTACTGCTACTAAGCAAATCACCTCAATGCAACCAGTGCTCACCATTTACTACCAGGAGGAAGAGCCAAAAGGAAACTCAGTGGTTCTATTATGATCACTTGCTCCTGAGAGAAAACAGGAATCACAGAACAACATGGTGAAATAAATCTTTCCACAGACAGTGTTTGCGTTGACAGTTTATTAAATACACTACATTTGTACCTTATTTTGTAGTTTTTTTTCCAAATCATTCACACATATAGACTTAGTAAAAATGTACTTCATAGAAAACCATCTGCAAAACTAAAATAAAATAACTCACATTTTACACAAGTATTAGATAAACTGCTGAAATGTTAGAAATCATTTTAATGGACGTGACCGTGAAACATGAGGTGGCTTGATTCATGTTGAAATGCAGACGCAGAAATGCCTATTAACAAAACTGCTCACTAGGGCTTGAGAAACAGGAAGTCAAAGGAAGTATTTTCTCTTATACTTTCCTAAGTTCATTCTCTATGCATCTTTTTCTCCCACTCAAAGAATCAGCTGTGCAGATTGCTGTGGCCCAAAACTGAATTCCTGGAAAAAAACCCAAAAAACAAAAAACAAAAAAACGAAACCCAAAAACTCCCACCCCTAGAGCTATTTACAGAACATGCAAAGGGAGAGTTTTAAGTAGGTGTTACTGCCGAACTAGCTACACGTGAATACAACGAGTGACAGATCATACCTTTAACTTCTGCGGCTGTCAGTCCGTCCCTGCCTACCTGGAGAGAATACATTTTCACGGGATGGGCTATAATGGCATACAGCAAAGACAGAAACCAACAAGTTTGCAAATTCTTTATATTTTCAGCTGTTGAGACAGTGTTTTGGAGAGCGGACATTCCCTCTAGCGGCGAAACCAGAGCCAGCTATTCAGCAGCCAGAAGGCTACGGTGATTGAATACAGGACCATTTCTCTTTTAGCGCGTTCTTTGTTCTCCTCTTCTAGAAGCTGGAGACGTCTATTCAGTTTGATTATCTAAGTGAAAAAACAAAAAAAACAACAAATCAACAAATAAGCTCTAATGCATGAAGCAGATTTTGATAAAGGAGTAAGAGTAAAATTAGTTCAAAGAATCATTACAACACGGAAAGTTTCATCTGGAGTAAATATATATGTATTATACACATATATGCATACATGTATATATATTTATGCTCTTCATATATATATGTCACTGTCACTGTCACTCCATTGTTCATCGATTTGCTCGAGCAGACCCAGTAACATTGTGAGACTTGTTGTATGTACATGAATATGAAGAGCCTAAAGTCACTTCAGCATCATTCTCCCTCTCTCCCCTGTCACTTCTGTGTTGGAAAGGGTGGATTTTCCATTTCCTTGGCACAGATCCAGCCGAACAGTGCTATGCCTTCCCCTGTGAAAGAATGACTGTATAGTCAAAGAGGCTGGGGAACAACATATTAGAAATATGCAGATGTGAACCAGAACCCCAAGACAGGATTTATCTTACAGATCCCTGGCATTTTGGCTTGTACACCGAAGGCAGTGGGTTATCCAGTGACGCTCTCACACATAGCTGTTAGGGCTACACAAGAAACTTGTGGCTAAATGGGTTTACTACAATGTTCGGATTCTTCCTTACCAGCTAGATTAGTATGATGTCACTTAAGATTTTCTTCGATACTATTAAGCTAGGCTGGAGAGATAGCACAGCAGGTAGGGTATTTGCCTTGCATGCAGTCAACCACGCCAACTTGGGTTTGATTCCTCCACCCCTCTCAGAGAGCCTGGCAAGCTACCGAGAGTATCTCGCCCACATGGCAAAGCCTGACGAGCTACCCGTGACGTATTCAATATGCCAAACACAGTAACAAGAAGTCTCACAATGGAGACGTTACTGGGCCCGCTCGAGCAAATCGATGAACAATGCGAGGAACGGTGACAATGACAATTATGCTGATTGAAATATATAAATGATATTTTAATATATCTTTAGCCAAAACAGAAAAATAATGTCTTTAATAGATACTCATGGGTTCCTAGCAGATAAAAAGTTAGAACCTATCGTTTGTTTAGGATAACACTGGTTTGTCCTTTCTCCTCCACCACCTGAAGGAGCTTAGGTTTACTGGGTATTACCCATCACAATGCTCCCAAAGCACTCCATTTCCTCGATATTCATCTTTAACTTCTCCGTTGTGCTCTGCTTCCCTTATCTGTTAATCATTCATTTCCCCTAACCAGACCCTGTGACTTGTCAAGTCAAATTTTTCAGAGATATCTGGATTTGTAAGTGAAATATTGCTTCTCTCTTTCCCTTATGTCCTTTGTATAGCTTGCTTTAGAGCAATTTCCTTTTTATATAGACACTGGAAGACAGTTAATGGTTTGCTTTTATAACTTGGGAGTTAATCGACTCCAAATAGTATTTACTCCTGAGCACCTGTCATATTTCCTCAACTTAAGCCTCAGTTGCCCTTAATTCCTAGCACCCCAAAAGTAGGGTCCTTTGTGACAAAGGAACTAGACGGGTCCAGGGCAAGTGGTAAGCTACCCTGGCATCAAAAGGGGACAGGTCAGGTGCCATAAAACTCATAAGAGCACAGTCATGGACAAATTCTGTCATGACCTAAAAAGAAGTGACTAGACAAGGACCCTGCTAGGGTTAGGAAGGACTAATCTGGACTGAGGACGGCAGTCCGGGATCTATAGCGAGATGATCTCTTACTGTGTCCACACAAAATGACTAGAAAAAAGTAAATTTAAGATGACCATTTAAATGATTATGGACTAAAGAAAGGAGAAATACGCCCTTGGATGAAATTCTGCTCTGAGCGGATCTCCTAGCAGGATGAGATCTTTGTTTTAGAAGAGTTTCCCAGAAGGAAGGGCTTTCATTGTCGATTGTGCCCTCTAGCCTGGGTATATCTGCTACCCTCAACTTTGGAGGTTGGATCTTGACTAAGACAGAGAGACCGGGCATGGGGAGACTAGCATGGGGGCAAGTAGGAGATGAGAAAGAGGGGCAGTGTGAGACTGGAGTTGGGGGTCTGAGCCAGATTGTGAGAATAGGTGTGCTGGGAGAATGGAGTAAATGTCTGGGCAAAGACTGGAATAAACGGCGACTGATCAACAACCAGCCTGGTGGCCCTGTTCCCTCCTTCACGTGTCTGTTGGCAGTGGCGGTGGCAGGCCGGTCACAGAACACACGTGGTGAGAGCCCATCAACATTTTGTGAACAGACACTATTGCTTTCAAATATCGTCAGAATACAACTTAAAACAATTCCCAGCACATTACCTACCTGTCGTCTTAATGAAGCGGCATCTACCACGGTCATGTCTTCTGAAGTCCCTTCAATTGTTGTATCTATAGTTGACATGCCATATCTGGCAGGAAAGACGGAGAAACATAACACAGTATGAGAATGAAAATAAGGGTTGCTGGCAAGGTGTTTTGTTCGAGAGACTAGTAGTCAATAATGTAATTTAAAATATTTTACCTTCTCTTAGTAATTAAGGGAAGATCTTTAGACGACAACTACCACCACAATGGGAAAACTGCCCCAAAGAGTGTAAAAAGACATAAATACGGTGACAGTTTTGAAACCGAGGAACTGGCTTTGCTAACAAGGAGCCCTGCCTGAAGAATATGAGAGCTGCTAGTCTACATGGGACAAAATGAAAAACCAGGCCAAAGAGCTGGGGAGCATGCCTACAGACCAGACCCTGGGTTCACTCTCCAGCACTGCTGTGAATAGGCCCTGAGCATGGCTTGATGTCCTCCTCCGCCCCCCAAATAGACAAAAATTCTCCCACAGATGCCGTTCTGGAAGCGTCATGCTTGGGATTCACTGACAGGGAACACAAATCAAACCCATTCTAGTGAAAATCACTCTTGATTTTTAAAATGACTCCACTTCCTTCACCATTTCTACTTCTCATTTCTTCTTTTCATTCATTTACTCTGTGTACGTCTCACAGAACCAATTACAAAGTTGTGCTACTTCATTCGGATCCAGAATTGGTTCCACAGTGAATAACTAGGAGACTGTTTTATAAAGATCATGCTGGGGCCAAAGAGATAATTCTGGGTTCGAGACTTGCAGGCCACCTTGGCTCAAATCCGGGAACTACATATGGTCCCCCCCCCAGCACTGTCAGGAGTGACCCCCTAAGCCCTAAGCACAGAGCCAGAAGGAAGTCCTGAGCACTGCGTGTGTACACCCCTAGCTGCCCCTTCCTTCACTCCCCCAAGCACTAAAAGATGTTAAAACAAACTCCACAGAATGTATAGCACTGTCATCCTGTTGTTCATTAATTTGCTTGAGTGGGCACCAGTAACGTCTCCATTGTGAGACTTGTTACTGTTTTTGGCATACTGAATATGCCATGGGTAGCTTGCCAGGCTCTTAATGTTCTTACTATACATTAAGAACAGAATGTATATTAAAAAGTTTTTCTCAAATTGGGCGGTGAGGTCCAGGGGTAGAGCTCTGCCCGACATGTGGACCCCTGCCTGGGTTTGGACCCCAGCATTTTTCAGGGAGGGGCAAAGACATTGATTTTTACACAAATGACAATGAAGTTTTCAGGAACAAATATACACAAAAAATATTTTTCCTTATGTCAAGACTTCCATTTCTTTAAATTTTAAATGGCATTTCTACTGAAATGCAACTTACATACCAAACAGTTTACCTTATAGTATATCCTATTTTATTCCCATGTGGTTAGCTCAGTAAAATGGCACAACTTTCTGAACAAAGAAAATATAAATAAACTGAATTGAAGGCGTTATTCCTATATAATCTGCATTTGGTTCACTGCTTAAGTATCCTATTATTTTAAAAAGTCCCATACCTAAAAGCATATCGTCATGTAAAAGGGTTAAATAAAATATTTTATACAGATAAATTAAAGAGAGGTCATCTCAAAAATTCTTGTTTTAAATGCCACTGGAAATAATCCAAAAATATTTTAATAAAGTATGTGAAAATTTTATAATAATATATCATGGTATGAGTTGGTGTATTGATCCTGATCACTCATAGGAACTACACATGTTGTAGTGTTAATGATAGGTGGTATGTACCCACTCTAGTAATCTAAAAAAATTTCAGTATTCCTTTATGTGGAAGGTAACTTTTACATTCAAGTACCCCTTTTTTCATGGAAAGGCAGTAAGTAACCTACAACCCCGTAAGAGTAACTACGTCAGTGAGAGAAGCTTCCAAGTAAACACAAGAGCTGTACATTTACCAACATCTGGAGTTATCTTCTTGAGCATTAAGATGCAACTATTAGCGAGCAAAAAAGGCTTGAAGATTCCTCTTTTCTATACTAAAATAAAAATAAATCCACTTCCAAAGTCACATCTGAGATGATTGCTCAGATCACAGAAGAAATTACATAATTCAACTTATAGCAGAAAAATAAAAAGCCAAACCCAAACAAACCCATTCTCTTACCAGGTGTTTTAAACTAAAATCTGCACTTATCACTTCTAGAAATCTAAGTCAGATCATTAGCTAAAAATATTTTCATAGAAAGGCAAATGGAGCAGACTTATGGGAAACATGTAGGTTTAAAATATTCAATAGATCCAATTAATATCCAAGTGAGCAGAGTGGTGGGGGACTATGCACATTTCAAGTCCTCTAAGTGAATTCAGTTTTAACAAGAAACTGATAACTGATATTTTTCTCTTCTCTTGCCTAATACTGAATGCGCCAGCTTCCTCTTATCATAGAAATAATGCTTAGTTTTAAATTCAGTGCTACTGACAATACATTTCCACTTAAACAAAACTGTCTCTGGAAAAATGACAGTAACGGTTTCTGTGACCACCGAGGTATTCACCTATCCCCAGGTTATGGGAAGCGGGCAACTGGATGGGCCATTCTAGCAGTCCCTTTGCATGACGGGAAGAAACGCTTGAATGCGTGAAAGGACCCAAAGGAACAATGAAAAGCTGAACTCAACAGTGACAAATCTTAGAGCAAAATTCCCTTTCAAATGTTTAACTTCCTGAAGTGGCGATGAATGCTGTGATCACGCTCTACGGAGATATTTATCTATACAGCAAAGAAGTCGCGGAAGACAACAACAACAACAAAAATATGGAAATGCTGACACAGGGTGTAGGACAACAATGAAAATGATTCGTGAAGAAGGAGAGTTAATGTGATCTGTGAGAGCCCGGCAAGCTACCGAGAGTATCTCGCCCGCACGACAAAGCCTGGCAAGCTCCCCATGACATATTCCATATGCCAAACACAGTAACAATAAGTCTCACGATGGAGACGTTACTGGGCCCGCTTGAGCAAATTGATGAACAAGGGGAGGGCTGTGACTGTGTGATTGTGTTTTAACATGGCCTCCTTGCTAGGCTATAAAAAAGATTGGAATTACAGTATCTCACCCATTCACATGATACTTTATCCTTATTATTAGGCCTTTTATTTATTAACTTTTTTGCTTTTTTTGGGGTCACACCCAGTGATGAACAGGGCTTACTCCTGGCTTTGCACTCAGGAATTACTCCTGGTGGTGCTCGGGGGACCCTATGGGATGCTGGGGATCGAACCCGGCTGGGTCTGCGTGCAAGGCAAATGCCCTACCCGCTATGCTATCGCTCCAGCCTCTAGGCCTTTTTTCTAATCCCCCTCATACTCTGGTGGTCGCATGCATGGCACGATGAAGTAGAGTTACTGTTCTCAGAGGAAAACAGGACGTGCCCACAGAGGGAGAGCAGTGGAAGCTGAAGCTATGATCGAGAGGCAGGGCGACCAGACGCACAGTTCCTGCAAAATACAAAGCCAGTCAACGCTTCACCCTCAGAATTACGAAGTCTCGACATTTACCTGACGTTGTCATGATGAGGATTAGAAGTGGCGGCAGCAGACCCACCACGCAACACAGGTCTAAGGCAGGTGTTTGCAGGAGAAGGCACAAGACAGAATCAGGAAACAGAGAAGGAATCAAATGAAAGCAAAAACAAGACAAATATATGTCAAACAGGATTATATTGTATGTCTCAATACAATATAATAGCTCTCCAATACTTTCAGAACCTTTGACTCACATGTCCTCCGTGGCGTGATTTTCATACATTTTACTACTATACAACTGGGGTTTAAAAAATAAGGGGGGGGGGTCTATACTCCGCTGACAAGAGTAATACCGACCAAGAATTTTTGGTGTTTACATTGTATGAAATTCAAGACTGAGGACAGCTCTGTTTACAAAGTTTCACTTCCCTAATTGGAAAAAAAAAAAAAAAAGAAAAGCAAAACAAGAGTCACCAGCAACTTGAGAAGCATGTCACGACCCAGTGAGCAGCCCGTGCAGGATCACCACTGATCACCCCCTGCCAAGACCTTCGCTCCTGGGCAAGGCTCGAGGTCCCAGGTGACTCCCCTATTCCCCCAATTCTCGCAATCCATCTCATTCACTTTGAGGAGGGCCTGCAACCTTAATGCCACTGGGTCTCATTCACATCCTCAGCTCCCAGGAACCAAAGTCTTGATTCTGGAGCTGGGGGTAGGGGTGGGTGGGTGGGTGGGTGAGGGCAGGCACCGGCTGTGAGGGCCATGCTCCAGCATATTACAGGAAACCCAATCCAATATGCTGAGTCGGACCTGGAGAGACAAGGGACATCCGGGGCTACTGGAAATAACGGCTAAGGTGTGCTGGAAAACTTTGTGGGGATGTGCACTGAGTCTTAGGGTGTCCTTTGATTTCGCAGGACATTTGCGTTTATTGCATGCGGTAACGTTTTTGCTAAATTTAGGATCCATATACGAATTTCAATTCTATTTGGCATGTCTGATTCTTTAAGTATTCTGAGTTTCTGCCTGAACTTTAGTATCAAAACAATCCCTGGTTTCAGAAAAATACCTAGTACCAAAGACACTAGCTATTCCCCCCGCCCTCCCCCATCCCAAAGAGCTGGATCAGCCATAGAATTTTGGCTACAAGACAAGTGAGTAATTTTTGGTCATCTTATTTAAGAAAAATGTAATGTTTTACTGGTATATTTCCTAAGAGCGCTACTGGTGTATGAAAGAAATTTCCAGACCCTAGAGAATAAGAGATTAAGAGACCTCGGGTGAGACTAGTCAGACTTCTAAGTCGTGGCTTAAAGAACAGTGACAAACCACAGATGTTTGAGGCAGGTTTTAAACCCATCCCATCCTACTCTGTGGCATTAAGGAAAACTGCTCCTGACTACAGCCTGCATTACACTGACGTTAGAGTGGGTGATGACGTCACAACATGAGGCCCCCTAAAGTCTTCCCTACTATGCCTAAATAGACCTGCGTGTTCAGTATATTCCACCACAGAGATTTCCCTTTTAGAATGCAGAGCCAGAAAATTATACAGTTACCTTTCACAACGTATTTCATTTTGTCTTCTCACACTGGTAATTGACACATATAATATAAAAGTAAATTAGACAGGTATTTGGCAAAGTTAGAAACCTCATTCAAGTACCACTTTCTATAAGTATGGTTTAATAAATTAAAAACACCCTTCCTTAAAAGTTTGACAGTATGTTCAACAATATGCTTTAAAGGTAAAATGACAAAAGGGAATGAGATCCATGGTTCTACAAGTTTCTGTACTTGTAGAACAGCATTTGAGTGGGTAAATGAATTTTACAAAAAAAAAATTTTTTTTTTGAAAAAGGAAAAGAAAACTGGTATCATAAATAAAAGCTGAATATGGGCATTAGGAAATAAACACACAAAAAACTAAATAAAAAGCACTACTTTAACTGCAACTTTGTCTTCTAAGCAATTTATGTGGATTCTTGCACAATTATTTATGGAAATTCCCTGAAACCTAGTACAATCCCCTCTTAAAAAGCTATAATCAAGACCCTTTAAAAATAAAGCTTAATTAACTAATCTATATTTAAGTGTATGTCTATGTGGTTATTTGTAAAAAGTCTATTTTTTTTGTCTGTACAATTCAAATAATGGTTCTGACATAGGAACTAAGATTTTAAATTTTAAGGTTAATGTCTGACACTGGGCAATAGGCACGGCTGGACAAGGAAAACATTCGTAAGAGCACCTTAAAAACCAAGAATATGCCTGATGCTTATTCTAGGGACTTTGGTGGATGCATAATACTGACTGGCATATAAATAAATCGTTCTAATGCATTCCTAGGGTATAAGTTTGTCTTTCTGTCAAGTCTGATTTTAGACCATGTAAGTTGATGAAAAAAATCAAATAATAACACACAACCTTTTCAATAATAAATTATCCCCTTAGAATAATGTCAAGCGATGGTGAATCTGCACAATCTTATGAGCATGAAGCATGCAGAGCTTTTTGTCTTTCTGTCAAATAGTTTCATTTTAATTTAAATACACCTAATGTAGTGGCATAAGACCAAAGATGTTTTAATAGTATAGCAGCCAAGAGTAATAGAAAAGGGGAAAAAAGCAAGGAACATAAAAGCACTATAAAACTTTATCAGCAGCAATATTTTACAATATCATGCAAAGAGATTATCCAAATTTCACATTCCTGCTTCTCTGTCTAAAAAGTCATGCTATGAAGTTCTCAGTAGAAATGAAAATGGATTTTGAAGATTTCTTATTAAGTCTTGTTCACCACTCAGACCATAAAATATTTAATTATAATAATTTTTTAAAGAACCCTCTCTCTCAATGTTGAAAGCACCCAAGAAAACGAATGACAATCTCATCCCTTCAGGTTCCAATTTAATAATCACTAATGATGTGTTCCCAGGAGTCAGAATTGTTAATATGGTTACTCTGTGTTAAAAAAAATCTTATTTAAGTGAATGAGAAAAGATTAATTTCTTCTCAGGAAAGGGATTTTAAATTTGCCAATTCAAGACAAAACAAAAAAGAAAGACAAAACTTTAGGGAATAGAGAGATGGTCAGCATGGGAGAGGCTGACCACATGCTTCTCATGCAGGAAGGAGCCCGAGGTTTGGTCCCGGCATCACACATCCATCCCCGAAGCATCACTGGGACTGACAGGTGAGCAGAGCCAGGAGTAACCTGTGAGCAAGGTCGAATGTGGCCATAACATCATGGTGCACATAAGGCGGCTTTTTTTTATATTAAAAGAAAATAAAGTAAATTTTATATGACTTTAAATTTTTGATCATTTAAGTTTGCAGTTGAGTCTTTTTTTTTTTTTCCATTATGGAGAAAAATGAAAATCCAACCATTTCACACCATGGCATTATACTGTATGTGTTAAGAGGCAGGGCATATAATTGTCATTTAAGCTTTTAGATGACATTTCAAACGTCATTTAAGCTATTATTTACACTACATAGCACTGTAGCACTGTCATCACGCTGTTCATTGATTTGCTCGAGTGGGCACCAGTAACGTCTCCATTGTGAGACTTGTTGTTACTGTTGTGGGCATATGGAATATGCCACGGGGAGCTTGCTAGGCTCTGCCGTGCGGGCAGGATATTCTCGGTAGCTTGCTGGGCTCTCTGAGAGGGATGGAGGAATCGAACCCGGGTCGGCTATGTGCAAAGCAAGCACCCTACCCGCTGTGCTATCGCTCCAGCCCATTTATACTACAAAGGATTTATAAATATCTTGGTATTTTCACCATGATATGATAGTTCAACAAGCTACTGTAATTAAAAGTGTTAAAACAGGGCTTCTGGTATCATAATATATTAAGGAGGGTGAGAAAACTGGTTTTTGTAAAACCAGCTTTTAAGTACTACGTACTTTATTTTTTGTTTCTGGGCCACACTCCGCGATGCTCAGGGGTTACTCCTAACTCTGCACTCAGGAATCACTCCCGGTAGTGCTTGGGCACCATATGGGATGCTAGAGATCGAACATGGGTCGGCCATGTGGAAGGCCAGGCCCTACCCACTGTGCTCTCTCTCTGCCATCTGTGCACTAGAAACTTTAGTCACTCTCATCTGAAGACCCTACCACCACACTCATAAACTAGAAACCATTATCCCTTTTGTCTTTACAAAAAAAGTGGAGGCAGGGGAAGTGTCCTCCAAGAATCCAGACAGTGAGGTAATGCTATTATTATGATTTTTAAAAATAAAATGGATGAGGAGAAAGAGGCCCCGAGAAGCTAAGTGGCTAGTCCACGGCCATCCGGCACCACGCAGCTGGCTAGCTAGAGATGGATCAGGACCGAATCTGATCAGCCCCTTGGGGTCCACCTTGCTCTTGTAACCCACGCTGCTTGGCAGCTTCCCAATTTCCACGACAGTTCTGGAAGCTTCAAAGAGCATAGGAGAGACACTAAATTCTTGGCCGGAGGATATGTTAAAAATGATTCACCTGTCGTGAAACATTCTCTGGTACGGTGTTGGAAACAAATACAGCGACTAAATTAGTGGTGGTAAAGTCTAGAAAAACCAGTGAGAGAAGGAGTGAAATAAAAATGTATTTGAATGACCCAGTTATATATATATATATATATATATATATATATATATATATATATATATAACACTAGTTTTACTTGGAGATATTCAAACATGAGGTGAATTATTAATACTGATATGGCTATACCTGGAGCATTTACTAGCAGCCTAAAAATTCTTAAAAGGTAAAGGTAAAGGCCCTCCCGTTGTTCATTGATTTGCTCGAGCGGGCCCAGTAACGTCTCCATTGGAGATTTTGTTGTTACTGTGCTTGGCATATCGAATACATCACGGGTAGCTTGCCAGGCTCTGCCGCGTGGGCGAGATACTCTCGGTAGCTTGCCGGGCTCTCCGAGAGGGGCTGAAAAATTCTTAGGGAAAAGAAAATTAAAAAATTAAACAAAAAACTGTTTTGGAAGCTACACTGATATCTTCTCAAATTGCTTCATTAAACGCAATCACACAATTAATGCAAGTGATTAGCTCGAAGACTGTCTAAAGAAACTTGGTATGTGTTGGACCAACATCTAATAGTACCCCTATCATACCCCAAAACAATCAAAGTGCTTAAAATTGCTTGACAGAGACACTGAAAAAAAAAAATCCTTACACTTCCCATGTATAGTTAGTAACTGCGTTCTCTCTGTTTAAAGAGAAGCTAATAGATGTTGCGAAATGTGAATTTTGGACAATAATTTCAAATTAAAGGAAAGCAAAGCAAGCTGTTTTTTAAACCACTGCGCAGAGTAGAAAGCGATGGAGGTGCAAACATAAAAGACACCAAAGTCCACTTATAAGGAGCCAAAATATGCAATCAAACTGGCAAGAGTCACTGATGGCCAATCACCTGCGATTTTCATCCAGCACATCCAAGATCTGCTGGTAAGCCCTACGAGTAGAAGACTGGATAAGCGACAAAATGCCACGAGCAGAGGAAAGATTAGCTCCATCTTCAGGTAACATATGGGGAGGACACACCCGAACCTGTGGCGATGGTGTCACACTGTTTACATAAGCACAGCAAATGAAGAGAAAAACACTCAAGTCAGATTTTCATGAAACTTCAGCGGAGCAGTTTCCCCACACTTATATTTTAAGAATTACCGACATTTTCCTTGCTCTCTTTCCCCCACCCCTTACTTCCCCCTAAGCAGACAAACACGTTAATAGACATTGTTAAAAAAAAATAATAAACAAAACCAAAACTACAACGCAGCACTGTGTCGTCTTCGATATCAAAAGAAACACACTAGAAGGAAAGAGCTTCTGGGAGGAAGAGATCTGCGTGGCCATGGCTGTGTTCAACCCTTGGCTCTGAAAGCAGCATTTTTATTTAGCGCACAGACTCCAGTTAAACCATCCTCTAACCAACAACACTGTGCTGCCTGTTAGGAATAATCAGAAGCGGAAGAGAACTCTGGAAAAAGAGATGTCAAAACAAGTCGAAAGGGCTTCCATGGCCAAGGCAGTTTTAAATACTCCACAGAGACAGCAAAGAAAGCAGAGTCTAGGACATGTCAATGAAACCAAGCTGAAATCAGGAGGAGCAAAGTATAAAAATTGGAACCGCAGCTGCATAAAAGCTAGAACAAAAAGCATTTTGATTAATTTCATTATGACCAAGCATAGGCTCCTCAGCTAAATGGCTAAATCATTAAAACTACCGTCAATTCTGTGATGAGGGCGGAGGGCAAGACCGTGTCTTATGTTACCGAGACGGCAAGCATCAACCATTTCTGGGCTTTTAGGTGACAATAATCCTAATCACTCTTTTGCTTGTGAGCTGAGAGTCACAGTTTTGTGACCTCAACTCACAGTGACTCAGAAAAGCTTAACATACTTCAGTGAAGCAATTTTAGAGTTCTAATCTCAACTCTTAGGCCTGCTGTCAGTATTTTTAGAGGTGTTTGTTAGAACATGACTACTCCATAAGAGACATCTGACTAACAACTCGGCTATGGTACTTGTTTTGCTACAACAAAGGATTTTATTACAATAAGGGGACCGTGACCATGGCATTTTTTTTCCCTCAATTTCAGGGCCAAAAACTTTAGGCAAAACCAACCTTGTTCTCCAGTATATGATTCAAAAGTAAAAGTGGAATCGACAGTGAACACTTGAAAATCTTTCGCTCTGTATAACCTTTTCTAAGTTAACGCTGTTATTTGCCGCCAAAATAAGTGCTATCACAGACTAGTTCCAGAATCCTAGAAGACTAAACAAAATATGCACACTTTTTGTGAATAATTCTGGAAATCTTCATGGCCCAAAGATCAATAGCACAATAAAAATGGAAACCAGGCCTGTTTCCCAAAAGCTGCTTCGAAAGGTCTGTCAGGTTTGGGCAGTGAGAAATCCAATCTGTCAGGGCTGAAGATTAGTTCACTAAGGGTAATCAGACAAAGACAAATTTTCAGATGCAAGCTCACCAAGGGCCACCTTAAACCTGTGCCCAGAGACCGAACGTCCAGCTGGCCCAGAAACACTTGGAAGACCCCAAGCTCTGCACCCGAGAAGAATGAAAGGGTCAGCGTAGCTGAAAGCACAAAGTCTGCGCCTGACCCCCGCACTCAAGACTTCCCGGCAGCTCAGGGCAAACCGGGAGGTTCTTGCTATGTGTGGGAAACAAAAAAACAGACCCATTCCGCATTAACAGAAAAAATAAGCCGTCCATCTCATATTCTCTGTTACAAAACTGCCCAAGTAGTTGGCTAAATTTAAAGTTTACAGAAGACCAATCTGTACAATATCTATTGATTTAAAGTTTTTTGTTTGTGCATTTTGGTAGTTAAAACTGAATACTGTACACTTCGTTATCAGCAGAGAAATTACATATATTTCAAATTTAGAATACATTTAAGGGTTTTTGTTTTGTTTTGTGCAATGCTCAGGAATTACTCCTGATAATGCATAGGGGACCATATGGGATACAGGAGACTAACCCTAGGTCAGCCACGTGCAAGGTAAGCACCCGACCCACTGTACTATCTCGCTAGTGCCATCTCCCCCCAATCTATAATATTAAAAATTTTAATCTCAGAGCAAAATGCCAAGAAATAAACCCAACCCGTGTAAGCAGTTTGGGCTTTGGCCAGGCTTAAACTAATTGGAAGAAGTCAGGGGAGATGGCTCCCAGGGCTATAACACGTGTTCTGCATGTGACGGCTGCAGGTTCGACCCCTGGCACTGCGAGGTCCAAACCTGACTGTCAAGCATTGACAGGGCGTGACCCAGGGAGCCAAGAGTGGCCCCTGAGCACTGCTGGTCGAGCCCCAAACAAACAAAATTAGGCAGAGGGGAATCAGGGACACAGTTCAGCACTGGGATGTGGGCGTCAAGTGTGCGAGGTCCGGGCCTCTGATCCCTGGCAGTAACCAAAACATTAAAATTTAAAATAAAGGAAATGAAATGGTTAATTTCCTTGAGAAAACGCTGAGGCAAGCAATAAGCAACCATTTAAGCTCTGAAAGTTCATTACTTCCCAATCTATACATAGGAACCAGATAGTAATTTATAAATTTGTGAAATATAAACTAAATTTGGATGATTTTCCAAGAATCCTCAAGATGGGGTTACACAAAAGGTCAGACTCTAAAACTCTGCTAATCTCTTCCAATTTTAAGATCATGTATGAAGTTGGAATATTAAATGAAAAAAAATTCACAGGGTCTTCAATTGCTATTTAAAAGAAAAAAATTACATAAAATATAAAAGAAATGAAGTTTTTGTCAATGCTAGCAAAATTTTATCAAACATTAGGATTTCCTTAAATGAAAATAAAACTTCAAAGATTGGTAAGAAGTTTAGCATTTCATCATTACATATGACTACCATAAATAGCAGAAACAGAACTGGAAGTTCTTTTTTTTTTTTTTAAAGCTCATGACCACATTGGGCAGTATATGTGTAGGTTAAAAGCCGTGGATTAGAATATGTATATTTTACCCACATAGAAACTAAATGATAAGATCACCGAGACTACCCTAATTCAGAGCAGTAAGTACTTTAATAGCTGTCCGCTTTTAAGGCTGCAAGGAGTACTGCAAGTCCTTTTCCAAATCGATGTAAGAGTAAAAAGGGTGAAGCCCTGTTTGGGTGGTCGGGCTCGGGGTCAGCTGGCCTGTAGAGGCGGGAAACTCCGTCACACTGAGCCCCATTCCTATTCAACCATCCACTCAACCAAGGGTTTACTGACTGCTTTTGTTTTCAAAATGAACAAAAAAAGGAAAAAAAGAAAAATATTGGGTGTTTTTTTTTTTCTTTTTGGGTCACACCTGGCGATGCACAGGGGTTACTCCTGGCTCTGCACTCAGGAGTTACTCCTGGCGGTGCTCAGGGGACCATATGGGATGCTGGGAATCGAACCCGGGTCGACCGTTCACGTGCAAGGCAAACGCCCTACCCGCTGTGCTATCTCTCCAGCCCCAGAAAAAGAAACATATTGTAAAACGCACTGAAATCATTTTAAGCAAGTATTATAAAATTAGTAATTTTATACCGCTGTACCCTTATACTAAAAATTGATCCTAGTAATGTAATGAAATAGCAAACGTTTAGCTTTCTATTGACAGAGCAAAATCTGTTGGAAAAAAAAAAGCACTGATGTTATTTCATTAGTAACAGCTCTACTTCATGCGTACATTAAGTCTTACTACAGCAGTATTAAGTAACAACATTAGCTAATGTCAGAGTTAATATTCAAATAGAAATTTATTTGGCACAACTACATTATTGTTTAAAAATAAATCTAAAGTCAAGCACCTCCATGGGCCTTTTTTTTTTTTTTGAACGTGTTTCTCAAACTGTGAGATAATAACCCTTTTGATGAGACTAACACCTCTTCCAAGAAATAGTAAGAAATAAAAAAACAGAAGGGAATGGAGAAGGGGGGGCGGTGGCAGGGAGAGTGTAAATCTAGGAAACACATCAGTTGATTTTTCAATGACGTCACCAGAAATATGTTACGATGCAATGCTAATTAAAGAAAAAAATACGGGGGGGGGGGGGGCAAAAAAAAACCCACAGGAAGTCAATGCAAACTTATGCAAAGGGGGAAGGAAATTCCCCTGAAACACAAATGATCATTTCTCTTGAAGACTTAATTAAAGGGAAAAAAATTTAATTTGTTGCCACAGCAATTTATTAGTTGCTGGGAGCATACCAAAGAGAATCAGAATAAAAGAATTTTGGGTTGTCAGAGCAGCTTCCTTTGTTGCTTGACAACTGTATTAGCTGTTGAAAATTCGTACTTAACACCAAAATGTTTCTCCCACAAGAGATCAGTTATTCCCACACTTTATTTCATCACATTTACAAAAACTGTGTTTAATGATCTCAAAGCCTTCTCCCATCTATAGAATTGAAAAATGAAAAACCTTAGTAACAAGGTATACTTAAACTCTATTCTCCTTCTGGGACAAAAGAAATTGAGACAGTGTGTTAAAATTTTTAAAAAGACTTAGAATCACTAAACCTACATAAGCTAAATTTGTGCAGTTCTAAAAATGCTAACCAAAGCCAAATCATTCAATTTTATTTTTACTACTATACACCAAATCATACCTATATATTTTTTTCTTAATATAGTATACAGTTTGAGAAATCCTGAAAAAGATGCTACAATCAAACATTAAGATAATTAGGGTATTATGTATCAATTACTTGGTGAACTACATTAGTACAACATAGCCTGCAAAATTAAAATCCCTACTTTTGCAAAGCAGAGCAGATAAAATCTTACGTGTACTCCGGTGCAGAAATCGGTGACTGGAACCTTGAAATTTTATTTCTTGGGGCAGAATCTGATCTGTGCCACCTTAAATAATAATTATGCTTCTTTTACATATTCAGTTTTTGTAACACAAAGGGAACAGCTAGATAGATTGTACTGGTTAGAATTAATTTTTGTGTCAACAGCTGACAACATTCAATCCTATTACTTCTCCAAAGTAAGTAAGAAAACAAAGATTAGTGCTCCTGCTCTTATACCCATAGTACTTCTATTTTTATAGCCAAGGAATAAAACAAGGGCAGGCAAAGGTTCATGCATAGAGACATGTAACTAATGCCACATTACAAAGCAGGTATAGACATCGAGTTAATAATTACTAATGGTGAAATCTTGCTGTATTAAGTTTCTTCATTCAATTACCAACATTAAACATATAATGTATAAAATATCTAGAGTTCATTAATTAAATGTGTATTATTAAAGATGCATTAAATTTTAGGTTACAAAATAATGGCCAAAGAAGAAAAGGAAAGGTTACGTGATTTACAAAAAAGGTAGGTAAGGATCTTATCATGCCATGGTACATAACCATAACGAAAAGTAAATGGTTTAGTAATAGAAGCATTTCATCATGAAAATGCTTAGTAAAACATTCATGCTATTTTTACTACTAAAAATTAAAACATGAGATATTCAGTTTTGTTAAAACATCTGGAAAAAGCCACTAAAATAACTTAAAGAAAAAAATATTAGTTAACAAATTAAGTTTTGTTATTATGACTTATGTTTACTGGCAACTACAAAGTTACCTATTAACTAAACATTTACTCTAAATCACAATTTACGGCAGTAGCTTTTATATTCAAACCTTTTCCTTTCTCTTTAACAGAACTTCAGCTATAAATAATATATACTTTTGCAACAAAACAGAATGAATATTATAATTTAAAAAAAATTCCTACTTTTATTAAATACGCAATTTCAAGATAAAAATCTAAAGAAGTCATATTTTTAATACCATGAAATGGTTTATTAGGTGTCTTCGCTGCCCTGAAAAATTCTTTGGGTCTATTCTGAGAGCACCTAACTGGTTGTTTAGCCTTAAACAATGCAGCTTTTTCAACATTTGGAAATATTCTAGAAGAACAGATTTCATGGGCGAGGTGACACCAATGCTTCAGAGAAACATATACAATTAAAATTAAAAGTTTCCTATTAATACTGATTGAGCTGTTCACACACAGAAGATATACATTAACCTTAACTTGTGATCTTGTTCCAGGATGACCGAGACTCTTTGCCAGGGACTGTCAGGATTCTCCAAGCGATCAGACCTCTGTGCCAAGAAGCCCTACTCCTAGCCAGGCCTTTCTGGGCCCCCACATTCCAAACTAGAGCTCAATACACCATTTCCATAGAAAAAGGAAGAACTGCATTACCCTGCAGTCATACCAATCTAGATGTTCTACTTTTTTCTCTACTTGCAAATTCTGAGAGAGCGGGAACTCCAGATTCTTCTTGCAGTTCCCAAAGAATCTCGTACGATAATGAAAATCATGCACAATTTGTGATGAATTCGCAGAAACTAAAATCTCACGAGGAAGAGATATCAATTTACATCATCTAAATTACCTATTTAAAAGTCACCAATCACCAGTGGCCTTGAAGATTAAAACTCGGACCGGTTCTTAAAGAACATGTCATTTGTAAAAGTCGATTATTTTTAGTAAGGCAATAAAAAGCATATGGCCAGTGTAAAACATGTTACAGTAGGGGTAGTTTTGGGCAGAAAAAAAAAAAACAAATGAGAAAGACAGGTGTCCAACAACATCTTTTGAAAATTAAAAATGTTCTCAATTCAATCAGCACACAGAGAGCCAAACAATCCTGGAAAGAGAAAAAAGCTGCATTTGCCTAAGGAACACTGTTTAGCTTATGAGAAGCAGAGCTGGGAAGGGCTAGCTCATCCACCTGGAAACCTTGAAAATATAAAACGTGCCCCTTAAGCATTTCAATGGTTCACTGTTTTAGCCTACCTGCTAGACATTTTTGAAAGCAGCACAGTACTTACACGCGTCACCTTTACTTCTTACCTGTGTTTTATAGGAAATTACCGAGCTAAGCACCTCAGTTGTGAAAGAGGAAAACATTACTGAGACATTTTCACAACAAAAGGGTCAGACTGTAAGGTTACAAAAACACACTGTAAAAATGCAAAATCAAGGTCAATATCAAATATTCCAAACTCGGATTAGAACGAAGGTTTGGGGGCGGGGGACGGGGGCAGGGGGAGATGGAGACCAGGGCAGGTTAAGGCAGCGACGTGCTTGTGCTTCTACTCACATGGAGTCATTCCTGACCAGCTGTCCATTTTGGCGAACAGCATTTTCACTCATAGAGCGCTCTCTTTTTAGCCTGCCAATGGCACGGATCTGCTAGGTAAAAAAGAAACAGAAAATATTCTTAAGTTTCCTTCGGGCTGCTTAGCCTCAAAAGACCCTTACTCAAAGGCCACTAAACTGACAAACACTGCAACCTAGAGTCACAGCCAGACACGTGTGTTCCGGGGGCGTGTGTTGAGAGGAAGGAAATAAAACAAACAGGAAAATGACTGACTATTCTAATGCTCCGGTGTTTTTACTTATGATCAAAGTTCTTTGAGTTTCTTAACTATTAGTCTGGCTTGCTATAACCATTAATATTTTTATTAGCGTTCATAATACACCTCTATGTTAAGAGCCACTTGGTAAGAGGTTTCAACAGCCATGGGATGCCTTTGAGGAAATGCCCTAGAAGGAAGGGGGTGCATTTGCACAAACACATGTTCATGGTTTCTGAGGGTCAAAACAAACTCAGAGTTGATTGGATTAGACTAAAATGAGTCTTACTAGATATAAAACGCCGGCTTTCCATATGGAGCGCCAACCTCCCATGTCACACGCTCTTCTGACCAAATCTATTTTTGACCTCTCTCCATTGCAAGACGGGACCCACAAGTCCCTTTTCCTTGAAAATTGGTGCAGTGGTGGCCACTGCAGATGCAATGTGACTTCTGAGGCTATGTCATAAACAACAAGGCTCGGGGCTGTCATAAACCAAAATTTTTTTTTTTGGTCACAGACAGCAAGGCCTCCAGGATGCTCATGTTCAGAACCACGGGAGTGCAATGTTAGGCAACGCCAGGCCATGTGTAGATGCAGCAGTCGAGACCCCTGAGGCCTTGACAACGGCCAACATCAATGGGCCCATGCACATTGGAAGCCTTTGGACTAGATGACAGCGACCTGCAACTGTCACGTCACTCATCCTTCACATCTGAGGCTTCCTTGTTTAGGCCCAGAACAGAAAGAGTTATGCCTGCTGCATATTTCTAACCCATGGAATCCCTACATCCATGATTTAAGTCACTAAGTTGGTTTCTGTTTTTTTTTTTGCTTTTTGGGTCACACCTGGCATTGCTCATGGGTTACTCCTGGCTCTGCAGTAAGAAATTACTCCTGGCGGTGCTCAGGGGACCATATGGGAAACTGGGGATTGAACCCAGGTCAGCTGCGTGCAAGGCAAGTGTCCTACCTGCTGTACTATCACTTCAGCCCCTAAAGTCACAAAGTTTTAAGGTAGTATATTATATAGCAATTAATAACTAGAATAATAATGATGAATAACTTTGCTACTTGTTTAGAATTTGATTTATTTGGGGGGTGCACATCTAGCAGTGCTCAGGACTTAACTCTGACGGGGCTCAGGACCAAATGTGGAGCTGGAGATCGAACCTGGGTCAGTTATGTGCAAGATAAGCATCTCCCTCTCTATACCCCAACCCCCACCAAAAAAAGGAACTATTTTTTAACAGAACAATCATGGTAACATCGCTTTTGAAAAGATTAAATTTTTCTAAAAGGACAATTGCTATGTGAACCAACTGACTTTAAAATTCAGATTCTTCAATAATGAAATCACTATCTACTGATGTTTTGTAAAAGTAGATGGCTTTAGCACTGACGCAGAGTTTAAGATAGTCAAAGCAAAATAAATTTTGCATTTCACACTGACAAAACCGAAAATCACATCATGTAGAATATAATTTTAGAGCATGATTCAAATCTAGTTTTGGTTTTAATCCACCTAAACAAAAAAAAAACCAACTTCTGCAAACAAGTTAATTTGCAGCCTATTGCGAGAGTTCTCTCTGGCTAATCAGAATGACTTTAAAGCAATGATATTTCAAGCTTCACATCTCCATGACCAATTAATCTATATAGGGAGCAGCACTGGGCTGGCCTGTGAGAATACCGCTATACACGCCTTTGTACTTCCAGCACTGTTGAAATTCCTTCTCTGGAGTGGTAGCATAGCGGGTAGGGCATTTGCCTTGCACGCTGGCCGACCCAGGTTCGATGCCTCCGTCCCTCTCAGAAAGCCCAACAAGCTACCGAGAGTATCCCGCTTGCAAGGCAGAGCCTGGCAAGCTCTCCGTGGCATATTCGATATGCCAAAATCAGTAGCAAGTCTCACAATAGAGATGTTAATGGTGTCCGCTCGCGCAAAGCAATGAACAACGGGATGACAGAGCTACAATGCGACAACAGAGAACAGTTCTTCCATACTGTAGGCACAAATTCTCTGGAGAACCACACATAACCACCTTCAGATTAAGCAGGATCGGAAGTGACAAGACAATTAGGCTGACGACCACGAGACCTGAGCACGGGAGAATCCTAACCAGAAGGCGTCCTGTCACTGTCTCCCGACGAAACCTACCTCCCAGCACAGAGCTGAACACACACTGTTCCCCCCTCCCTCTTCTCTCCCTTTCGCTCCTTTCTGCTCGCCGGAGTCCTGGCTGCTCTCTCCACACGTGAGGGGGAAGGGAGCAGAGCAAACCGTCACCAACTGATCTCGTGACAGTTGTGAGCTTGATCTGATTCTTCTGAGCCACCGCGGGAACACCTCCAGGTCTGCACTGGGTTTGTTTTTTGGCTTTGGGGGCCACACCCAACGGTGCTCAGGGGTTCCTCCTGGCTCTGCACTCAGTAGTTCCTCCTGGCAGTACTTGGGGGACCAAATGGGATGCCGAGGATCGAACCCGTGGCGTATTTGATATGCCAAAAAACAGTAACAAGTCACAGTGTGTTGGCTGTGTGCAAGGCAAACGCCCTCCCTGCTGTACTATGGCTCCGGTCCCAAGCCTGTATTAGTTTAAAAATGCGTCACAGAGCCAAGTCACTCCAGGCGAAGCATGCCTCTGACCTTTACATACTCAGGGTTGTCACATCAATGGAAGCGGGCCATCCCTGCGGCTGAAAACTATCTGCGGCTTCCACACAGGCTGGAGACGCAATCGAAACCTCTATTTGATTGCCCTGGCATCTGCATGATCCTTCACGGAAGTTTCCAGGACAGCCGCCTCCTGAGTCTGATGCTTTGTACCTGGCATTGCTTGGGGACCTGCGTGTCTCGGGCTGACTCCAGCTATGCTCAGGGGACCATGCAAGCTGCAGATCGGTCTCTTGCATGCAAAGCGTGGGCACCAGCCCTTTCCAGCTAGTTCCTGGCCCTGGGGGAATCCTTAGCCTGACACATGCCTCCTGAGTCCCTGAACTCCAGCTGTCGCTTTGTATGTGGCTCTAGCAGAACCTGGCATTCTGTGGCTGTCACCTGATGACTCTGCATAAAGGTGGCACGGCCTGGACAGAATTCTTTCAGGAAACATTATCGTGTTCTCCTCTTCGAAAACCAGGTGAAGGTTTATATGGGGCCAGGTGAGTTTGCTCCTCCCACACCTTGCCCAATTCTCTTGAGTACAAGTGGCACTCAGTGTGCAGCGCTTACAGAAAGGGATGGCATTCATGTCCCGCCCCCTCCTCTTTACGGTTGTTTTGATGACCAGCGGTCACGCACACACTTGGTTTGGGTACTGGAGGTCTCACGCTGCAGTTTCTACATGGCCACTGTTGGCCGCATCCTTCACTGGGATCACCTTCTGGGCCGTGATGCTCGCACACTGCTTAGTTAGTTAGTGCCCTGCAGATGGCATTCTCGGTGGTGGCGTTAAGGGCCCTGGACATCAGAGCCACCAAGACTCGGCAGCACGAGTGTGTGGAATTAGGTGCTTCTACCAGGGCCCGGCCCCGTCCTGCGCTACTGCTCTCTGAAGGAAGAGTGACCGACTCAGTCAGTGCCTTGGGTAACCCGCCCTTAACACCTTATGACCCATCCTCTTCTCACTTCAATGTCCTCCTCACAAAGCTCGAGGCATTTATTATAGCTGGTCTTATTTATTTATTATTTTTTTTGGTCAAAATCCTACCTTTTTTGGTACTGTTTAAAATTTAACTCCCAGGGGCTGGAGCAATAGCACAGCGGGTGGAGCAACAGCACAGCGGGTAGGGCGTTTGCCTTGCACGCGGCCAACCCGGGTTTGATTCCCAGCATCCCATATGGTCCCCTGAGTACCGACCGCCAGGGGTAATTCCTGAGCGCAGAGCCAGGTGTGGCTCAAAAAGCAAAAAAATAAAATACAATACAATAAAATTTAACTCCTAGTCTTAAAAGTTCTTCCTGGGCCGGAGTGATAGTACAGCAGGTAGGGCATTTGCCTTGCACAGATTCGATCCCCAGCATCCCATATGGTTCCCCAAGCACTGCCAGGAGTGATTCCTGAGTGCAGAGCCAGGAGTAATCCCTGAGGATCACCTGGTGTGATCCAAAATGTCCCCCCACCCCGCAAAAAAAAAAAAAAGAAAGAAAAAGTTATTTCTTTAAAATATCATAACTGGTTAATGCTTTCCACAAAAACTGTATTTTCTTGAAAGGGTATTTAAACATAAAAAATAGTATATCTTACTTGCAGTATTCATATATCAGATTTACAGTAATCAATGCTCCACATGGAAGGCTTCCATTACACACTGCAAACAGTATCATGTATAGCCCGCTGAATTCTACCTTTTGCTTCTGCCAATTTCAGTTACTTCAAATTCAATGATCTAACTCTACTTACTTCTTCATTTTGAGGGGTTGGAGCAGGTCTCTCTAAATCCAGAAAATCTAAAGGTCTCTCACTTAGTGTAAGTACACGAGGTGGTGTTTTCAGTGCCAACGGTTTAAAGGGAGTTGACTGAATAAGGTCAAGATCTGCTGGTCTTGAGAATGGAATGTCTTCATTATTTCCTAGGAGTGGGGAAAAAAAAAAAAAGGAAAAGGAACAACCCAGAAAACAGAGAAACATTTTTAGAACATGGTGGTTTTATTAATGAGCATTTTCTGCTACACACTAAGATGGCAATAATGAAAAAAGACAGTACAAAGTATTTGCAAGGATGCACGTAACCAAGACCCTCACACGCCACAAAGGGGGAATAGTATCATACAGGATTCCCTCCCCCACTCTCCAAGTACACTATTCCTACAAAACCATCAGTGAGCTAAAATGGCATAAGGGGAAAGAGGAATTACTATTTACTTATATGGAATTTTTTTTTTTTGCATTTCCCTGTCACCAAAGTAACCTAGCAAATAAAAACACCAAAGAACACAAAGTGAAAGCCGAAATGATATGATAAATCCAATCCAAATAAAGCAGTTCCTAAGGAAGGAGCTTGGCAGAGCCCCAAGTATTTGTAGAACAGCTGCTGCAGAGCCAGTGCCAAACACTCCTTCACTCTGCACCTTTTGTTGCAGAGCTGACCAATTCTCCCAGTCAGTGAACACAGTTACAACGAAGTCCTCACCTAACCTGAAAGGCAGCTTCTTGGAAATGTGTGACTTTAAGCACAATAACATAAAACCCAAAGCAGTTGATATGATCAGTGCCAATAGGTATTCTGTTTTGCTCATCATTATTATGACAATTGAGGGAAATTGCTAAGAGAGTTTGTTGTCCTACTGTAGGTCTTTTATAAAGGTTAAATGGCCTATCATAAACCTCCAAAAGATGGGGAATACTTTGTAAGCCCAATTCCAAAAATCAGTCAGGCAGCTTTTGTTAAACGTATGATATGACCAAGCAATTCCACTCCCAGAGATATAAAAACATGTCCTCACACAGACTTGAATGGGAATATCCAGAGCAACTTTATTCTTTTTTTCTTTTGCTCTTCAGGGCACACCGAGCGATGCTCAGGGGTTGGTTACTCCTGGCTCTGAACTCAGGAATCACTCCTGCTGGTGCTCGGGGGACCATATGGGATGCTGGGGATCGAATCCGGGTCGGCTACATGCAAGGCAAACGCCCTACCCACAGTACTATCATTCTGCCTCCAGCAACTTTATTCATAAGAGCTCCTAACAGACCACCCAAATGCCCCAAACCAGGAGACTGGTTAAACAAACTGTGATGCATTAACATAGCGGAGTATTACTCAGAAATAAAATGAGATAGACAACTGATGGGAATCTCAAAAACACTACAAAGAAGTCAGCCCCAGCTATATACTAGTCTATTTATCTCAAACTCTGAACCTCTGGTTATAGGAAATCAATACAAGCCCTAACTCTGGTTATAGGAAAGAAATTATGCCAGCTTGGAATAGAGGAGTAGAAATTGATAAAGGGCACAAGGGAGTTTTCTGGGATCAAGAAAATGTTCTAAGATCAGAATGTGGTGGTAGAGAAATGGGATGATGAGTATATGTCAAAATTCACCATCACGTCACACCCCTGAAAATGATTACATTTTGTTTGGAAAGGAAACCCCAATAATTGGTTGAATTATTAAAAATATACACACTACTTTTGTAATAAATTAAAATTCTGGGGGGAAAAAAGTTGGGGGCCAGAGCAATTATACACAGGTAAGACATTTGCCTTGCACACGGCCCACCCAGATTTGGTTCCCGGCATCCCATACAGTGCCCCGAGCACCGCCAGGAGTAATTCCTGAGTGCAAAGCCAGGAGAAACCCTTGAACATTGCCAGGTGTGGCCCCAAGCCCACTCCCACCCCTACTAAAAAGGTCAGCATTTCCCAACACCTTTTATAAATAATGTTTTGAAAAGGCCTTAACATTTTAATTGAAACAACAGCTAAGACCAAGCTTGAGAAGGCAATTTTATAAACGAAAATAAAATACCTGCTACAACAATCCTCTCTGGAACTTGCATGATCACGCTAGCATTCGGAGCACCTTCTTGGAAGCCTTGTTCCAGGTCAGCATTTGGGGGTGCGACCTTTAGTTTTTCTGGAACCCTCATTCGCTGACTAATACCTTCGGTGTATTCCATTTCATACTGAATTCGACTAATTTCCGCCATCTCGGAAGCAGTGGGAGATGGAAACGTTGCCCCCCTACTCATTCTGTGGGGAAACAATTGAGAGAGAGGTATGACTGAATGCGAAAATGTCTTCCGGATGCAGAGAAGTTAGAAACTATCTTACAGAAAAGCAACAGAAGAGTCCCATTCGCATAGAGTAATGAATATATATACAAAGAAAAGCGAGACTGTGGAAAATGTCCTTTCTTCCCATAATGCTTTCACATTCAGCTGAAATTGCACCTAGATACAAATTTTTTTAATTATTGTATATTGACAACGAAAAAGCATACACAGTCTCTTTTTAACTCCGCATACATAAATATGCATGCTATTTTTAACAAAAAAAAAAAGCCTGAAATAAAACTTAATTTCTGAATCAATCAATTATTTGAGTGAACTCTATTAAGAGTATAGAAATGAAATAAGAAACTCATCATGCAAGAATAAATAAGACCTTTGAATGATTAAAAACTGAACTTGTATGGGAAGCAGAGTAATTCTTTTTTTGGGGACGATGCTCAGGGGTTACTCCTGGGTTTGCACTCAAGAATTACTCCTGGCAGCGCTCATATGGGATGCTGGGAATCAAACCTGGGTCAGCTGCGTGCAAGGCAAATGCCCTACCCACTGTACTATCGCTCCAGTCCGGAGAAGCAGAGTAATTCTAAATTTACTTAAAAAGATGCAATCCACTGGGGGGAAAAAAACTCACAAAATAGAATTAAAATTTCTCATGTGAATATGTATCTGATGACAAATACAATGACTATCAAATACAGAATATGGATCAATAAATCCTTGACATATGCATTTGAGAGATTTAAAGTTCACATTAATTTTTAAATAACGTTTATATATATATACTTTTTTTTAACAAAGAAAGCATGACATGCCTTTAAGGGTAATAAAACAGTGTAAATGCATTAGCAATCTGCTAAAATTGAGAAGGATCCATGCTTTCAGGGAAAAGCAATACAAAGTAAGTGCCCCAAAGTAAAAATGCTAAAAGAAGTGTCAAAGCCTTTGGCCAGCCTATGGCATTCAGCTTTAAAGCAACTTTTCTCAAGCCTATAGTTATCAGCTCAACTAAACAAAACGTCACTGACCTTCCTACTGATGTGTCACTGCTTTTTCTTTTACTCATGTTTAATATAGTAAATACACTTCTACAATAGCTATTAAAACACTGCTACCCTGTAGTTCAGTTTACTTTACACAATTCCCCTACAGAGCTGAACTTTTTTGAAGGTGTACATAACAACACGGACACTGTTTTTCCAGCTGTAAAAAAGAAAGAATAAAAATCAGTATTGTAACAATTCAGCTCATAAGAAAATTATGATTAAAGGTAAATATCTACTAAGACTCAGTTTGGATTTCAACAAAGCTTGGGAGACACTCATTTCCAATCTTACCTACTTATAGTTGTTCTATGAAGATGGGTTTTTTTGGCCTGGTTTTTTTTGTTTGTTTGTTTTACTTTTGGAGTGCAGGGGAGCACACCTGGAATGCTCAGGGGACCATATGTGGTGCCGGGGACAGAACTCCTGTCAGCTGTGTACAAGGCAAGTGTCCTACCTGCTGTACTATTGCTCCCGTCCTCTAAAGAGGGAACTTTATTTTGGACCTAGACATTAGTTTGATTTTTTTAAAACTAACAGAGCTAATCAAATGTGTGTGTGTGTGTGTGTGTGTGTGTGTGTGTGTGTGTGTGGTGGGGGGCAGAAAGAGGAGAGAGAAATAGAAATAGAGAGAAAGAGAGAGATTAGGGGGAAAATTCCAATTTTCCACAAAACTCCATGAATAACTACATTCTGACATGTAAGTAATGGTTTTTTTTAAAAGGAAATACTTAAAAAAAAATTATCTATAAATCCAGGACAGTAAAAAAAAATAAAAGATAGTATGTGCCTGTCCCCACTGGAATAAGTTTATTCACAGTTATCACACACCTTGGGCTCACCTCAAAGCAATTTCGGGAAAGTTCCTGGCAGTTGCTCAGAGGACTAAGCCCCAATAACCAGCTAATTCGGATGGCTAAGTCATTATATCAGTTTTTTTTTTTTTAACAAAACACGTGGATATGAAATACTCCGCATGCAGATGATTTAATGCAGATGATTTAAAGATTAAGAAAATACAGCCAAGAGAGGAAGTTTTTACTCACAAATGTGCACCACCTACTGCTCACAATTTGGCATTATCTGCTTCTACGCTTCATATTAAATCCTTTCTTGCTTCACAAAGTGTATGTTGGAGTCAGACACTTTTGTTCCTGGGGGAGAATAGCTGGAGTTAATTGAGCAACTGAATGATACCAATACTAGCACTTCACTGTTAGAAAGCTTCCAAATACTAGTCTTCCAAGATGCACAACCTCACATTAAAAAATGAATAAAATACGAAATCATTAAAAGCCTCCAGTCCCACAGGCAATGCAAGATAAAAAAAAAAAAACTCAGCATTTCTGATTTATATTCAGAAAAATTTGGCAGGTGAAAATACATGTTTAAAAGAACCAAATACTTAACATCATCTAAAGGAAAATGAAATGTATTGACTACATTTTTGGTCAGTCATTTTTCTTCAGTACTTTGAACCAGTCATGTGTGTACAGATAGGTACAAAGGAGAATAGAACATACGGAAAATAAAGCATCTCACCCAATCCTAATCTATAACCACACACTACTCCAGGCAACTTGTATTATCAATGCTAGTGCAGCTTTTCGAATGAGATACTCTTGCAATGCTAGCATGTGTCTGAAAATAGAAATAACTCTGGAAATCTCAAAAGGATAGCCTTGGAACACGAAAAATACAAGCTTTATAATAATAAATGAATGGTGTCAGTTGCTAGAACACCACAAACTCCCTGAAATGTGCTCTTCATCTTTCAAGTTCGACATTTCAGTCTACTTCAGTCTTTGAATTAATCAACAGCACATCTCATGAGTCTCAACATTTCCCTCTATTGCAATGTTTTGTTTTGTCTGGACAATCTCAAGGTTTTATAAAGTATCGGATTAAAGGGGGACACTATAAGGACCCCTGAGCACTTCCAGGAATGATCTCTGAGCACAGAGCCAGGAATAATATAAGACCTGAGCACTGCCAAATGTAACCTGCCCACACGGCAGAGTCTGGCAAACTCCCGGTGGCGTACCCAATATGCCAAATACCAGTAACAATGATGGGTCTCATTCTCCTAAAGAGCCTTGAATATAGCACTTTCCTAAAAATCTCAGGGCTAGGATGAAGGAGACGTTACTGGGGCCTGCTCGAGGCAATCGACAAACAACAGGATGGTCGTGATTCATCGTGACTATAAGGACAATATCTGAAAAAAGGCAAACGCTCCCATTTATTGAAATGAAAAAGTAATTTTTTCCTAAACTGTAACCACTGTCCTAATCACTGGGTTTCTGCTCAAGTAAAACAGTTCAAATGTATATTCAAAATATCTTTTGGAAAATAAAATGAACTTGATACAGTATTCAAAGCGTGTGTATGGTGGGGGGGGCGCTAGAGTGATAGCACAGCGGGTAGGGCGTTTGCCTTGCACGCAGCAGACCCGGGTTCGATTCTCAGCATCTCAGATGGTCTCCCGAGCACCACCAGGAGTAACTCCTGAGTACAGAGCCAGGAGTAACCCCTGAGCATCGCCGGGTGTTACCCCCCCCCCACCGCGGCCAAAAAAAGCAGGTTTGGGGAACCCATATCAGAATACTAATCACATGCTTTACCACTGAGCCACATCCCCAGTCTTGAAGTTTAGATTTCACTTCAGAAGTTTGGGGTCATATTTTTCTCTCCCCTCCCAGTTTCTGGGTTGATCTGGATGCACTCAGGGGTCACTACTGGCAGGACTGGCGTCCAGAATCAATCAGAATCAAGTATTTGCAAAGCAAGTTCCTTCCCCACTATACTATCCCTCCAGTCCCAAGCCCCAAAGTTTGTCATTTAGAATCTATTAAGCAGCATGTGAGCTCTTATAATTAAGGAGCATCAAGTCCAAAATTACAGTTCATCTTAGATCTCGACTAAGCCTAGTGGTTCCCAAACACAGTAATTTACCAACTTCACGTCCCTCCCCGCATCCCCTCATATGCCCCCGATTTAATTCAACAACAACCAAAAAATCCAAAATAAATGTATTTTAGGAGGAAAGTTTTGCATCACTCCCTTAAACCACAGATCTGACTTAACGGTGTAACTAGACCTAAAAATATAACTACTACAAAAGCCCTCATCTGTAGGCTGGATTACAACTGACAGGCCATTATTCAGAGTGTCCTCATTTGTGGGTACAATAATTCAATGTTTTCTCTGTCCCTACATTAGCTAGAACACTGGGGACATAGGAAATAGCTTTGGAAGTCACGAAGACAACTTGGGTCAAATTATTGTGGTTGCAAAGATTGACATAATTCTCCAATTACAAAAAAAAAAAAAGAATTTAAAAAAAAAAACAGGGACCAGCACTTATCGTGTGGGTTTTGTTCAATCTTTTTTATATAGGTCACCCCCTTTGAGTTCTTTCTGGGCCACTAAAGAAGAAGAAACACATCGCGTGCCGATCCAGGCTTAATAATTCATTAAAAAAGAAAAAAAGTCACTGCCAACTTAGAAAAATATAAACTATATATATAAATTACAAGCCACAGAAAACATGTTTCAATGCCGGAAACAAAGGCGAGCAACAGTACCACTTTGTAATCTTAAATGAGACGGCCTTGAGGGGCAGGAAGGATTAGAAAGGGCACAACATTTCCTTTTTGGGGGAAAAAAATAAATTAAACCTACTCAAAGGCCTTGGAAACCTAAAAAAAAAAAAAGTGTAGATTCTCCTCCCCTTTACTCCAAATTGCGTGCAATTTAATTACATGGGTTAAATCATCCTCATCCTTCTCCCAAATCCATTTTCCCCTTTTTCTAACAAGTTTTCCTTCAGAATCTCATTAGCCAGCTAAATGGGGACACTGAGAGAGATGAATGACTTTGATCCCGGGAGACAAAAAAAAAAAAAAACGTTTTCAGCTGATTCAGTTCCAACTTTCCGTCGGCACGCTGGGTTCTCTGGCGGGGGGCAAGCCTCCCCATGCCCAAATTCTGTCGTGGGGGGCTGGGGGGGCGGGCAGTGGGGTTTCTGGTTTGTTTCGAATCGAATGCAACTGACAAGCCTCCTCCCCTCCCCAAGGATTCCCGTTGGGATGCAGGTGCAGGGAGGTGGAGGACACAGATGCTGGGGAGGCTTGGGGTGGTCCTGGCGGAAGGTGGAGGTTGGGGGGGATCCCCGAAATCAGCTCCCGGTCCCTCCACGCCGGAGAGGAGACTTCTAGACCCGCTGATCAGGGTCCCCCTCGACGCCTTGCGCCCCCCGACCCCAGCACTCAATTTATTGCAGCGCGTCCGAGCAAAACTCAACCTACCCGCCCCCCCCCCCCCAAAAAAACCTACTTTTGCAGAAGGCCGAGGTCTGAGTCAAGGTCATCGGCACGGGGCCGGGTCCCGGGCCAAGCGGGGTGACCAGCACGGCCAGGGCTCGCGGGACGCCCCGCCTGGGCCCGTGTGGCCCCCGCCCCGCGCCCGTCACCTGCTCCCAGGTTTTCCAGAAGGAAAAAAATTGGGATTTATCCACCCCCCTGAGACCTGGGGTGAGCCGAGGAGGGCCCGAAAAAAAAGCTTGTCCGAAACTGCACCGTTTGGCCCCTCGATGGCCCGGGGCCCGCGGACGGTGGGGGACAGGGACCCCCGGGTGGGCAGCGAGTGGCCAGAGGGTGCGGCCGAGGCCACCGCGGGTCCCTCGGGCGGCCCGACCGGTCGGCGGTGCCCAGCCGCGGCGCTAGGCCCGGGCCGCGGGTCCCGGGCCGGGAAGACACCAACACTCACCCCTGGGCCCGCTGGAGGGTCCCCGGCGAGGACCGCCGCCCGCCGGCTCCCGGGGCGCTCGGCTGAGCGCTCGCACAGGCCGTTGGCCGAGCGCACGGAGGCGCCGGGCAAAGCACCGGCCGGAGCGGCCCGCAGCGGGGCCGGGACAGACGCGAGAACGGCCGGGGATGGCCCCTTCCGGGAGCCGTAGAGGAGGCGGGGGTGGGGGGAGGAGCACTTCGTGGTCATGTGATGTGGAGAAGGGCGGACGTGAGAGTCACGCCCGGGAGTAGGGGCGGCGCGAGGGCGGTAAGGAGCCATCTTTGATTTGGGCAAAGTGCGCCGGCGGCTCGGGGTGCTTTGAATTGGTTCCCGTGTAGTAGGGATTTTTTTTTTTTAGACTACAAGGTAAACCTTGTTAAAAATGACTCCCTGTCCTTTCAGGGAGTCTCCGCGTCCAAATCTCAGCGGTGTGAATCTAAAGATTCTGTATATTTTCCAACTGCCCTGCAGGTGATTTTTAAATATGTATATATATATATATGCATATATATATATATACAAACACACACACATATATATATTTGACTTACGATCCTCTAAATAATGAATTCTGTATATTTTTTAAACTATCCTGCAGTTGATTTTTAAAATATTTATTTTGGCTTATGATACTTTAAATAGTAGTTTCCCTTGGACTTTTAATAATAATAATAATTTGGCTCAAGCAGGCCCAGTAACATCTCCATCGTGAGACTTTGTTGTTACTGTGTCTGGCATATCAAATACTCTCGATAGCTTGCCGGGCTCTCCGAGAGGGGCGGAGGAATCGAACGCGGCTAGGCCCGGCTGGCTGCGTGCAAGGCAAACGCCCTACCGCTGTGCTATCGCTCTAGCCCAATAATAATTTATAATAATAATAATAATTTAATAATAATAAATGGCTTTTAGTTTAATTTTTTTTAATTTTTTTTTGTTTTTCTCATTCTAGTTAGGGGACAGACAAGGTTACAATAGTGTTACAATGTAAGGTTTTGATGTACTCAGACACCCTCCACCAGTGTCCTTCTGTTAACATAATGTTAGAATATTATTCTTGTGGAATTGATGCAGGCAGATTGATAGGGAAGATCCCTTGGCAATGAAACTTAGGTCAACAAAACTTCTGGGAGGAAAATTCTAAGGCTGATACATCCTGTGGCTATAGAAAACAGAGACCTGATGAAACCATCAGCAGTGGACTCTGAGAAGATTGGACCCCTTCCCGTGAAGTTCCTCACAAATCCTCGGATCTCTCCCTTAGTCCAATTAACTTAGTGATTTTCTCCTCCTTACTCAAGTGAACCACCTGTGGGGCCTACTGACATCAGAATGGCAAACTCCTTAAACTTGCAATTTTTCAGGGACTTTGCCTCATCTTGCTGCCGCAATTGGCCAGGTGACTGATAGTGATACAGCTGGAGCAATAGCAACAGTTGGAGCAAGACCTGCCTGAACACAATGTACCTGCTTTCTGGGATAAAGATTCTTTTTTTTTTTTCCTTTTTGGGTTACACCTGGCAATGCTCAATGGTCACTCCTGGCTCTGCACTCAGGAATCATTCCTGGCGGTGCTCGGGGGACCATATGGGATGCTGGGAATTGAACCTGGGTCGGCCATATGCAAGGCAAATGCCCTACCTGCTGTGCTATCGCTCCAGCCCCTTTGGGATAAAGATTCTTGGCAGATCTTTTACTCCATAATTAATGTGAATGTTCCTATTAATTATCCCATCATCATTGACTTTGTTATTTTACTCACAAATATTTTGCATCATATTAATTTCAAATTGCAGTGCCTGGCAAGATCCCCGTGGTGTATTCAATGTGCCAAAAACAGTGACAATAGCAGGTCTCATTCCCCCTCGCCCTGAAAGAGCCTCCAATATGGCACCGTTGGGAAGGAGGAGTAAGGAGAGGCTGCTAAAATCTCAGGGCTGGGACAAATGGAGGCATTACTGGCGCCTGCTCGAGCAAATCGATAAACAATGAGATGACAGTGACAGTGATAAATTTCAATACATTTAACACATTCATTTATTTTCATTCTCTTGTCCCAGTTCTAGCCAATTTTCCTAAAATTTGGCATCAACTGTTAGCAATCATGGCATCCATTTTTCCAGGGAAAGTTAATATCTAAGCAGTTAGAGCAAGAGAAATTCTGGAAGGAAGAGGTCTGGTTCGTGGGATTAAATAATTAAAACCAGAACCTCTAAAGAATGTTACAGAGCTACAAGATGAAATATTGAGGTTCACTGTAACCTTGATGGAACTGGACCATATCATGAGAGTGAAGTCCGAGAGAGAAGGACAAAGGTAAATGATCTCAGTCATCTGGGGTATATAGAGAAAGAAACAAAACAAAGGAATACAATAGTATTGACTCATGAAAAACTGGATTTTGGATTACAAAACAGATTACCAAGAAGCTGTGGGCGAAGTTGCAGTAACTGATTACTAAGAGATTTTCAAACTCAATTTTTTTTTTCACATTTTTCCTGCTGCTTTTCATTGAATACCCATTTTAGGGAATGACAAGATTATTATTTTTTTTTTGGAATCTAACAGATTTTTATGCCTTTTGAGATGATTCAGTGTCTCTTAAAAAAATAGTACAGTATCACTTAAAGTATGTGTACTGTCACTTTTTTTAAAATTTATTTTTTATTAGTGAAACACCATGAGGTATAGTTGTAGACTTACAAGTTATTGTGCTTGGGTTTCAGTTATACAATGATCGAGTACCCATCCCACCACGAGTGCCCATTCTCCACCCCCACCAATCCCAGTATCCCTCCCACCCCTCCCATCCCCCATCCCACTCTACCTCTGTGTTCTACCTGCCCTTTTGTTCTATCTCTCCTTTTGGGTGCTGTGGTCTGCAGAAGAGACATTGGGTGGTAATCATGTTCTGTCTATAGACTACTTTTGGCATGCATCTCCCATCCTGGGCAGATCTTCCCAACACCCTTTATTTGGTACTCCCTTCTCTATCTGAGCTGCCTTTGCCCCTCCAGTGTGCAGCTGGCTTCTAAGCCATGGAGTGAACAACCTGGTATTTATCACAGCTGCTCTTGGGTGTTAGTCTCTTATTTTGTTACTTTATGTTATCCAGATGAATGCAATCTTTCTATGTCTGTCCCTCTCTTTCTGACTCATTTTGCTTAGCGTGATATTTTCCATGTAGTACCACTTGTATGTGAATTTCATGACTTCATTTTTTCTAACTGCTACATAGTACTTCATTGTGTAGATGTACCAGAGTTTCTTTAACCAGTCATCTGTTTCCAGGCACTCAGTTTTTTCCCATATTCTAGCTATTGTAAACAGTGCTGCAATGAACAAACAAGTGCAGATGTCACTTCGACTATACTTTTTGGCCTCTCCGGGGTATATTCCTAGGAGTGGCATTGCTGGGTCAAATGGGAGCTCAGTTTCTAATTTTTTGAGAGTCGTCCATACTGTTTTCCAAAAGGGTTGAACCAGTCGGCATTCCCACCAGCAGTGAAGGAGGGTCCCTTTCTCGCCACATCCGTGCCAACACAGGTTGCTTTTGTTCTTTTGAAGGTGGGCCAGTCTCTGTGGTGTGAAATGATATCTCATTGTTGTTTTGATCTGCATCTCCCTGATGATTAATGATGTGGAGCATTTTCTCATGTGCCTTTTAGCCAATCGAATTGCTTCTTTGAGAAAGTCTCTGTTCATTTCATTGCCCCATTTTTTGATGGGGTTGGATGTTTTCTTCTTGTGGAGTTCAACCAGTACTTTGTATATCCTTGATATCAACCCCTATGACAAGATTATTTTTCTAGTCCCAAATTCAATTCTGAAGTTATGTTTCACGGAAACCTCACGTTTAGATTTCCCAGCCTAATGCAAAGTATCTTCTTTCATCTTTTCTCTTCCTACAGTTAGGCCGGCAGCTATCATTTAGATTGTTTCCCTTCTAACTGACCTCCTCTTCAGTTTGTGTTTCTTTATAGTTCACATAAGAGTAAGGATATAGGGGTTGGAGGGATAGTACAGCGGGTAGAGCATTTGCCTTGCATGCGGCCTACCCCGTTTCGATCCCCAGCATCCCATATGGTCCCCTGAGCACTGCCAGTAGTAATTCCTGAGTGCAGAGCCAGGAGTAACCCCAGTGCATCGACAGGTGTGACCCAAAAAGCCAAAAAAAAAAAAAAGACTAAGGTTATAATCTTCTTTATTATTTACCACTATGTGCTTATGTAAAATATAGGTTAAAAAAAAAAAAGGTAAAGGCCCTCCCGTTGTTCATCGATTTGCTCGAGCGGGCCCAGTAACGTCTCCATTGAAGATTTTGTTGTTACTGTGTTTGGCATATCGAATACGTCACGGGCGGTTTGCCAGGCTCTGCTGTGCGGGCGAGATACTCTCGGTAGCTTGCCGGGCTCTCCGAGAGGGACGGAGGAATCGAACTCGGGTCGTACTTGAATGTAAAATATATGCATCATAAAATAATAATATGCATTATGTATATATACTTTATATGTGAGTTCATTGATATCTTGAGATGCTTGATCCTTTCCTAACTACTTACCTTAATCGTGTTATTCCTGCCACATGGAACACCATCCTGCCTCTTGCCAACTGCTGTCTCTTGAAATACTAAATCCTCATAAATGGCCACTCAACATGTCCACTTTTATGATTTGCAGAGTCTTTCTTATTTGACCAATAAGTGGAAACTGAAGGTAAGACATTTGACCAATAAGTGGAAACTGAAGGTAAGTCACTATCAAGTTTTAAGACGGTTTTGAGCAATGTGAGAATTTTTTTTTTTCTTTTTGGATCATAGCCAGGGATACTCAGGAGTTACTCCTGGCTCTGCACTCAGGAATTACTCCTGGCAGTACTGGAAAGATCATATGGGATGCCGGGGATTGAACCTGGGTCAGTTGCGTGCAAGGCAAACGCCCTATCTGCTCTGCTATCACTCCGGCCCCAATGTGAGAATTTTTAGAAAAATCTTAGAATCTGTGGGGGCTGGGGAGGAACCCTAGATATTTACCTGCATGCTATTTATGTAGATTATTTTTTTCTGTGTTTATCTCTTCATTTCCAATAGATGGAGCTAGGAATTGAGGCTAGTTTGGCATCCAAGTCACAATTGAAGATGGCATAACTCACTGTTCTGCAAACGCCCTGTCATGGGTGGTTAAGGATAGTGACTGATCAAGACTTTCCTTTCCGGCAGTTCAGATAGAGAAGGGAGCACCAAATAAAGGGTGTTTGGAGGATCCTCCCAGGAGGGGAGATGCATGTCAAAAGTAGACTATGGACTGAACATGTTTGCCACTCAATGCCTCTTTTGCAGACCACAACACCCAAAAGGAGAGAGAGAACACAGGGGATTGCCCTGCCACAGAGGCAGGGGGGGATGGGGGGATGGGGGTGGGGGGATATTATCCACGGTGGTGGAAAATGGGCACTGGTGGAGGGATGGGTGTCTGATCATTGTATAATTGAAACCCAAGCACAAAAAATTGTAAATCTACAACTGTACCTCATGGTGTTTCACTAATAAAAAAAAATTAAAAAAATAAATAAATAAAATGTAAAGCCTGAAAAAAAAAAGACTTTCCTTTCCAAATATGAGTAGAGAGAGAGAATGAGTTTAAACACAGCATTCATTTTTTTTCCTTGTCAGCAGTAAGAGTACATTTATTAAACGTTTAGGTTGAAATGTTTTCACATTTGATTTTTTGGCACAATTTAGAGACTTCCTAAAATATTTATTAAGCACCATTTTTCTTCCTCAATTCTACCTTTATTTCCATTTTATGCACCTGAAACTTTCTTCTTATTGATGAAATTTTGAGTTTATGCTAAAAGCATTTTTTTTTTTTGCCAGTTCTCTTACACTTGAAAATTTGAGGAGCTGTAGATATGGTACAGGAAGGAGGATGTTGCCTTGCAATCGGCTGACCCAGGTTTGATCCCCAACGCCTCATATGGTCCCCTGAGCAACACCAGGGTCACTCCTGATCGCCATAGGATGTGACACAAAAGCAAACATAAAAGACTTACTCCTGGCTCTGCCCTCAGGGATCACTCCTGGCGGGGCTCAGAGGACATGTGGGGTGCCAAGGATCAAACCTGGGTTGGCAGTATACAAGGCAAGCAATGACCTACTGTTCTATCTCTCCAGCACCCCCCATTCCCCATTTTAAAAAGTTATTAATATTTTTCCCTGACTGAGGAGTAGTCTACATTTAATGCATTCATCAGAATATAGGACTCATAATTTGTTTAATATGTTTTCTTCCTACTTTGTAAAACCTCTGTAAACATCTCCATAGCAAATGAGCCAAGCTAAAATTAGACCTTTCAGAGAAAAACAAAACAAGAACAAATAAAAATGCTCATTAAAAAACCCCACTGCTAATTAAAAGCGACAATGTTCAACCTTACCAATAATGACAAAACGTACACTTAAAAAATATAAGAAAAGCTAATAAACAGTAATGTCCAGTATTCATAAAAACCTAAGAAGATAATTCTTCTCATTACTATTGGTGCAGCTGGAAATTTTAACTTTTCTAAAGTTTTTTGTGTACATGTCAAAAACGTAAAATTGTGAGTTTGTTGGTTTATTTGTGGGGGGGAGGAGTGATGCAAGTCAGGCCACACCCAGCTGCTGTTTTCAGGGTTCACTCCTGGCTCTGTACTCAGGGAACCATATGGACCAGATAGAACCAGGGATCCAATCTGGTTCGATCAATACAAGGCAGACACTTTTCTTGTCATACTATCTTTGAACCTCTGAGCTCTATGGTTACATAGCTTTCCCTTGAAAAATGTATCATGATGGAATAATTTGGTAAATACAAAATGAATATGTGTATTAAATACATCATATATACATTATTAGATACATAATAAAAACAAATCAAGTATCCATAGGCAACAAACTATGGTGCAAATGACTAGTTCTTGTTTATTGATGTGAAAATTTAGCCAGTGTATTAAATTTCAAAAATTCTGGTTACAAAATGGTATATTTTGTCCCATTTTTAAATTTTAAAATATACTTATTAGAACAATCTTGTAGGATTTAATATTCTAATTATTTTGAGTAGGGAAGAGAGGTTTGGATAGTGGCTTTTTATGTTTCTTATAAGTTGTCTGTGGAATGTTGTTTTTTAATACATATCATTTTATCATTTTACAGTTAAAAACTAATATTTTGAATTAAAAGCAAATATAAGTTTTCAATTTATTCATAGACAATACAATAAAATGACATTTAAAATTATTACAGAAATATTAGTACATTACAATACCGTAATTTTGTCAGAATGTAATAATAAAAATATTGAATATTTTAAATACATTTTATTTGGATATCAAGTAAATGTTAAATTATTAGCAGTAAGGTCCACTTGATGCATAGAAAAATCTTTGTAAGTTAAATTAACAATAAATTCAAATTTAAGCATCATTATAATACTTTCATAAATAAGTTACTTACTTAATAAGGTTCATCTTGTAAATAACAAGACCTCTGAGAAATCTGTGAAATTAGCACACTGTGAAATTCCAAAGCTAAAGCCCCAAATTGAAAAGAAACATAGTAGTTTCTCAACAAAGCTGTATCTTCATGATTTTATAAGCTATTCATAAGGTATGTGGAAAGAAAAGCACATGAGCTGGGTTTTACCGTCCAGGCTTCGAAGTATGACAGAGCAACGATTAATATGACATCCTTGGAATTTAAGGAAGCATCATTCTGAAATGAAACACTGATAAGAGGGGCAGGCCTGGGAATAAGTGAAGGCCAGTCAGTGGGTATTAGCACCAACCTAGGGCTTTTTCTTAATTTAACGACCTTAAGGTCATGAGTGAGGGACTTTAAACAGGCAAGAAGAGAGCAATTGGGGCTGGAGCGATAGCACAGCGAGTAGGGCGTTTGCCTTGCACAAGGCCGACTCGGGTTCGATCCCCAGCTCCCATATGGTCCCCCGAGCACCACCAGGAGTAATTCCTGAGTGCATGAGCCAGGAATAACCCCTGTGCATTGCTGAGTGTGACCTACAAAAGCAAAAAAAAAAAAAAAATAGGGCAATTGCAACAGCCCACGTAATGGTTCCTTGGGCTTCAGCCTAGAACAACTTTCCTCAGCAGAGCGCATTCAAATCACCCATCAGAAGAGTTAGTAATAACTTGCATTTGTCAATACTGCGGGCCCAGGGACAGTAATTTGGAAAACTCTTGGTTTGGATCACCTCGCCCTATAAATGTGTGCGTTCCAGTTGGGCGAGCAGAATCGGTTTCAAGCAAGACAGTCTCCATCACAGGCGACCTCTGTGAGTCACCTGAGCAGAATGCAGGTCTTAGTTTAAGCTGAGGACAAGAGGGCGGTCACAGTCTGGGCTGGCCTCTGCTGGGAAGAGCAACAGGCGAGCAAGCGGTCACGGATTATAAAGCTCAGCACCATGAACTCCACCCGAGGAGGTGGATCAAGAACCGTTTTCAGAGCTCGGACTCAGCCGGTGTGGCCTTGCCAGATCAGTTGCTAGCACCAGGTAGAAAAGGTTTTGTGTTGCTTCTTTTTTACTCTTAAAAGAAACATTTTGCAAATCTTTGCTTTCTTGAAGTTGACCTGACCTTGGCTTCTGCCATGCCTAACGCGAAACTACAAGTCCTGGGTTTTACCTGAACTCTGAAGCTCAGGATGATGAGTAAGAGTCGGGACCCAGTGAGAAAACAACTCAGATGCCTCATGTTTCGAAGAAACAATAAGTTACGTTTTCTGGGCCATTAGATTAGAAACAAGTCACTTCTTCCTTCAGCTTGGTATTTTTATAGTTTCGTACAACGCCTGAGGCATGTCTTAGCTCCGCATAGAATGCTTATTCAGATGCATTAAGTAACTCTGGAATGTATCTACACTTTGAAAAGCAAGTTTGAAGACATCCAGCTGCCAAATTCTAGTTTGTACATCAATATTTTCACACAATGGACTCTTTCAGTAAGGTTGGTGAGAGTAGATAATACAAAGTAAAAGCTCTTTGCAAATTCAAATTAAAGAAGGGACAAGAGAATATATCTGAGAATTCTCAAGTTCAATGGAATATTTAGAGTGAAGGGAAAAGATAATCCTGAGCCTGATTAGCTGACACATACCTTCCGTTCTTTCCTTGATCACAGAACTACTCTATTATTAAAGATCCACACCAACAGTTACAAAAATGTGGTAAAGTGCACATACAATATACAATAATAAGCAGTATCCTTGGCATTAGCGTGGGTGATTTGATAAAGGAGAAATTAGACACTTTTCAGACACTATGTATAAAGGTGTCCTCTTAAAATTCATCAATGGTGAAATTTGTATCTACTTTGTCTATAAGGAGGGCACATTGCCACAGTGAAACGAATCCCGTGGGAAAATTCTTTCAAAATATCAAACAAAGTTAGCTAGGCCTTCTCAGGCTATAGCTACTGTGTCTAGGAAGCCCCTTTAGACCTCTTTGTCTTGGGTTTGTTTGAAGGTTTGAAGGAACCCCATGAAATCCTTGAAACTCAGTTCTTTCCTAGTTCGCTCCAGCCTCCGATCGCTTAGAAGGTTGGGAAGTCCAGCTCCATTCATGAGACTTTTATAGCCCACTTACTTCATCTCTTTCCTTATCCAGGATACAAAGTTTCAGAAGTGAATAGAGGGGAAATCTAAAACAGACTTAACCTCCTAGCATGTCAGTAGTTGGGATATAATGGAGGCAATTGTCAGAAATCCAGAAAACCAATAGCTCTTAGAGCTTGTAGCGCCGAATTTTATATAACAACACTACAGATAGCACCTTGAATAAAAGCAGAACGCATTTGGGTGAGGGTTTGTTTTTTGGGTATTTTTTTTTTTTTGCCTTGTCACTGGGAACTTTGAACCACACAGATTTAGAAACCAGGATCAGCAGAACTAACCTCAAAGAAACACTTTGTTGTGAGGGAGAAACCAATAAAAACCATTTAAGCATCATTGTTTGCTTTGAGACAAGTGTCTAAATAAATGCTTGTTCCGCTTCTTCCTGTAATTTTGTTTTTTAGGATGAAAATTTCTCTGTTTCCTTGGCTTTCTTCAGTTCCTTCTCTTCATGCACACCTGACAGCGACTGATGACCGTTTCTAGCTCTCCGGCTTTCACAGTAGATGGAATCGGTTTTCTGAAATAAATACATAAATAAACCAGAAAGATGAACAAAATATTTTATCAACTTAACATTTTTTAAAATTGAGTCACTGTGAGATAGACCCTAACAAAGCTATTCATGATTAGGTTTCAATCATTCAGTGTTCCAACACCCATCGCTCTACCAGTGTATCTTTCGCAGCACCAATGTCCCCAGTTTCTCTCCTGCTACATCCCACCCCACCCCCACCTGGCCTCTATGAAAAGCACGTTTCCTCTCTCTCTGTGTCTCTCTCTCCCTTCCTTCCTCCCTCTCTCACTCTCCCTCCATCTCTCTCTCCCTCTTCCTCCCTCCCTTCCTCCCTCTGTCTCTGTCTCTCTGTGTCTCTCTGTCTCTCTCCCTTCCTTCCTCCCTCTCTCACTCTTCCTCCATCTCTCTCTCCTTCCCCCTCTCCCTCCCTCCCTTCCTCCCTCTGTCTCACTGTCTCTCTCTGACTCTCTCTGTCTCTCTCTCTCTGTCTCTCTCTGTCTCTCTCTCTCTCTGTCTTCCCCTCTCCCCTATTGTGGATCACAATACAGATACTGAAAGGCCATCAGCAACATCCCTCTACCTACTTTCAACACTCAGTTCTTGTCCAGTGTGATCATTCCCAACTACCATTATCACACTGGTCTCTTCTCTATCCTACCTACCGTCTGCCCTGGAATCAGACACTTGTGGTTGATTCCAACCATTGGTATGTCCTCCTAGCCCCTGTTTTCCGTGGTCATGGATATGGATATTCTACTATATATTTTTTAAATACCACAAATGAATGCAGTCATTCTATATCTGTCCCTCTCCATCTGACTCATTTCACTCCGAATGACACTCTCCACGTCCATCCATTTACAGGCAAATTTCATGACTTCGTTTTTCCTAACAGCTGTGTAATATTCCATTGTGTAGATGTACCATGGTTTCTTTATCCATTCATCTGTCCTCAGGCACTCAGGTTGTTTGCAGATTCTAGCTATTGTGAATAATGCTGCAAAGATTTCATCAACTTTTTAGGTAAAAGAACACTTTTCTTGGATTTATATTTTATTAAAGGTTCCTGGAGCTCACCCAAGCTTTATAACAGAGGTATCTTTTAGAAATTGCTAGAATTTCAGAGAAACAGAGACTTGAAGCAAACATAGAGCTTTGCTTCACTTTTTTGCCAATAAAAACTACTCCTGGCTAGGGTGGGGGGAGCGGGTGGGAGGCAAACTTTGGAAGGGAAGTGGACACTGGCAAAGGACTTGCTGTTGTTGGAACCCTGTAAGCCTGGAACTACATCATGAATCACTTTGTAACTTTGGTGATTTAATTAAAAATAAATAAATAACTACTCCAACCCTGTAAGAAGACTATTATTCACAGATCTTCCAATTAAGATTAGCAGATCACTTAGGGGTGTGTATTCACAATTTATATTTAGTAATGATGAAAGTCAGTTTTTGTCTTTGTGGCTACAGTAGTACAAAACTATGGGTATACTTACTCACTCTAGAACTGGGGACCACAGTACGGAAGACAGTCACGTCTGGAACATTTGTGTAAGTGTGAGTGCAGCCACAGAGAGACAAAGAGAATTGAACATTGACAACCTCTGAAGCTTGACTTGGGGCTGTTACCTGAACATTCTTTTGGGGTTTAGCGACGCCAACCAGAAGCTGTAGGAATTGGAATAGTAGTTGCACGTTCCTCTTCCATGACATTCTATGAATGGACTGGCTCGGAATTCTTCCAAGCAGGAGCCAGGGGAAGCCAGTGCTTGTCCAGTGCCCTCAGAACCTGCACTTGTGAACTGTCACAGGAGAAAAGTATGGGTCAGCATCCTGCCCAGGGTCCAGAGGTCAACATGCGCCTTGCTAAGCAAGGACCAGAATCTGATCTCTGAATGTGGGTCCTGTCAACACTGGGCCTGAGCATTGAACCCCCCCTTTCTTGTATTCACCAAGGGTGACCTAGTCAGTGGCCCTGAATCCTCTGAGCACTGATAGGGAACCCCTCCTAGTATAAAGAATTCTGTCCAGGCGGGCTGGATTGTTAGCACTGCGGGTAGGGCGTTTGCCTTGCATGTGGCCAACCTGGGTTCAATTCCCAGAATCCCATCTGGTCCCCTGAGCTACCACCAGGAGTAATTTCTGAGTGCAGAGCCAGGAGCAACCCCTGTGCATCACAAGGTGTGACCCAAAAAGCCAAAAAAAAAAAAAAATTCTGTCCAGGGTGTTCAAATTACCACGTTCCATTGTATTTTGGATGGTGGTGGCAATAGAAGACAAAAATAGTTCAAATTGAGTCTCATATAGCCCTGGGCAGGAGTTGGGTTTGGGGGCCACACACAGCAGTGCTCAAGACTTACTCCTGGCTCCATGCTCAGGGATCACTCCTATGTTTAAGAGGACATGTGTGGTTATTGGAGATTGAACCGGGCCAGCTAGGTGTAAGGCAAGAGCCCGACCTGCTGTACTATCTCTCTGGCTTCTGAATTAAATTTTCAATTTCTTTTTCTTTTTGGGGGGCGGGAAAAGGCCACAACCAGAAATTCTCAAGGCTTACTTCTGGCTCTGTGCTCAGGGATCACTCCTGAAGGAACTCAGGGGACCACATGCAGTACCTAACTGGAGACTGAAGCAGGTTGGGCATGTGCCAACCAACCTTCTGATTTCCTGTACTGTCTCTGGGCCCTGAATTAAATTTCTTATGCTCTTTACACAGGCAGCTAACTCTCCAAATACCTTACATGATAAGGGACAACTATCAAAAAGAAAACAAACAAAAAACAAACACTGTCCTCCTGTTATTCATCGATTTGCTCAAGCGCGCCCAGTATCATCTCCATTTTTTTGAGACTTGTTGTTACTGTGTTGGCATATTGAATACGTCACGGGTAGCTTGCCAGGCTCTGCCCTGCGGGCGAGATACTCTCAGTAGTTTGCTGGGCTCTTCAAGAGGGGCAGAGGAATCAAAAAGAAAAATAAAAAGAAAATAAAAGCTCTTTTGTCTGCCTGGATTGCCCTTTCTTTCAGATCTGAATTTCCTAAGTCTTGTACCCAGCAGTTCATCCTGCACACTTCCAATAACCTCATTAGTTTTGTGTCCACCTTCCCCGTTAGGTGTGTCCTCCTCCATGAGAGGGGCACTTTGGTACTCCGCCTGTCTTTTTAATGATGAGAACAGTGTGGATTCAAGAAGGAATACTGTGTCATAAATGATGCTTCAGGGAGTATGTGCAGCTCTGAGAACTGCTAATGGCCTGTCCCTCAACTTCTTCATTTTGCACGTAGATCTGGTGGGGTGCATATTTATTTATTTTTTTCTTTCTGGGTCACATCCGGCAATGCACAGGGGTTACTCCTGGCAATGCACTCAGGAATTACTCCTGGCTGTTCTCGGGGAACCATATGGGATGCTGGGAATCGAACCCAGGTCAGCTGCTGTGTGCAAGGCAAATGCCCTACCCACTGTACTATCGCTCCAGCCCCAGAATCTGTCTGTAAATGCCTGCTTTTTATCATGTTCCTCCTTGTGAAAAGGGGGCGGAAGCATAAAGCACAAGGACTATGGAGCAGACAGACCTGACTTCAACTCCTACCACTTAATAGTGAGCTTGAGAAAATTACTTTTTAAAAACTTTTTAAATGTTTAGGACCACACCCAGCATTGTTCAGGTCTTACCTCTGGCTCTGTGCTCAGAGATCACTCCTGGCAGGGCTCAGGGAACTATAGAGGATGCTGGGGACCACAGGTGGGTCAGCATTGTGGAAGACAAATGCCCTGCCTACTGTACTATCTCTCCAGCCCTACTTTGCATTATTTTTATTTGCAAAAGTGTCGATTGGTAGAAACTACCTGGCAGCATTTTCACGTGGATTACAGATGATGCACTGAAACAAATGCCCCATGGACAGATAAAATGAGTCACTGCGTTGCCAACACACCCTAGATGCTCTCCACCTCTGTCATATTAGGGTGTATATGTGAGTGCCACCCAACCCCAGCTGTCTGCTTGCAAGGCAAGTGCTTTACCCTCTGTCCTAGGCTCTAACCCCCAAAGTGTTGCTTTAAGGTGAACAAGCAGACAGGTGATCTAAGTGAAAGTGATTTAAACTGGGCAGAAAGCACTATGTTGGCATCCACAGGCAAGACAGAGATTAGGGTGATGCACGCATCAATCCAGGTCTGGTTCCCAGCCCCGCACAATCCCTGGGGCATTGTTGGGTACAGCCCCGGAAGCCCCTAATACCCCCAGGTGTGAGCCTGGTATCACAGGGTCCTAGCATCATTACATCCTCAAGGCCTCATGCTAAACCACATTCTGATTGGCCAAGCACGCTTGAGGGTGGCCCCTCCACTCAAGGACCATGTACATAAGCTACAGATAAGAGGCCAGTTTTCTTTTTTTTAACACCCTCGCCTTTTCTTGTACCAAAAAAATAACTTGCTAAAATGCAACACGACTTTGTATTTCCATTTTCAAGCCATTGTCACAGCACCGTGCACATACTGATACCAGTTAGCACCCAGAAACTGGCACCTCCTTCCTCCTTACCATGACGAAAGAGAATCCTTTCCAGAGAGAAACCCAACCCTGGGGACACGGGGGAACATCAGTGGTCTGGCTGTGGACAGCAATGGCCACTGCAGGCCCCTCGCAGACGGTGCATCTGAAACAGGAGACAAGCAAGTTGTCCGCCCGGTCCCTCTGCCCCCATGCTATGTTCTTTCTGTCACAGCTGCCCGAGTGCCCTGCTCGGCACCCAAGATCATGGGGGTGGATTATTTTACCTGCTAATATAAGGCTCCAGGGCCCTGCCGGTGATAGGAGCCATGTCTGCAGGCATCGAAGCTGGTGTGGAAAGCCAGTATGAATAATCATTTCGAGATGCAAAATTACACACATCATTGATGTTACAGAATAAGAAAGGCATTGGGGTGAAACGCTGCAGGCAGCTGCCAAGGGTTCCTGAAAAAATGAAGCGAAACATGGGGCGGGAAGAATAGGACAGCGGGGAGGGTGTAAGGTATTTGCCTTGCATACTGCCAACCCAGATTTTATCCCTGCCTCCCATAGGGTTCCCCCTGAGCACTGCCAGGAGTAATTTCTCAGTGTGGCACCAAGAGCAATTATAACAGTGTCACGATCACGATCATGATCATCCTGTTGTTCGTCGATTGCCTCCAGCAGGCACCAGTAAGGTCTCCTTCGTCCTAGCCCTGAGAAATGCTCTTTCAAGGTTAAGAGAATGAGAACCATCATTGTTACTGGTATTTGGCATATTGAGTATGCCACGGGGAGTTTGCCAGACTCTGCCATGTGGGCAGGATACATTCAGTAGCCTGCTGGGTTGTCCAAAGTAAGAACGAGATAATAAGATGTCGCGTGGCCGCAAGTGTGGTCACATGCTTCCGGGAGCTGGGTTTTATAGTCTCTGGTCTTGGCTGTTGATGGAATTACCTGGCGCCGGGGGAGGGGGGGGCAGTTGGTGGGTGTGATGCCTGCCTACTGGAAGATGGGGGATCTGGGTGGAGGATGCTCATCCCCGATCTGAGCAGGCTTGGAGATCTCAGCCCCAGAGAGTGTTACTTTAAAAAATTTTTTTGAACTTTGGGCCAAACCAAGTGGTGCTAAGGGGTTATTCCCGGCTCTGTGCCCATGGATCACTCCTGTGATCCCCCTTATGTTGGGGAACCATACTGGTTCCCCAGTTGGCTGCCTGCAAGGCAAATGCCATATCTGCTTGTACTATGTTCCAGTTCTCAAAGGTGTTGCTTTAAGATGAGAAAACAGACAGGTGATTTAAGTGAAAGTGTGATTTTTTTTTTGTTTTTGTATTTGAAATACACCCAGCAATGCTCAGGAGTTATTCCTGGCCTTGCATTCAGAAATTCCACCTGGCAGTGCTGGGATGCTGAGAATCAAACCCAGTTAGTCATGCACAAGGCAAGCGTCCTGCCCTCTGGACCACTCTCCTGTCCCAGGAGAAAATAGTTTCAGGTGAACAGAGAGTACTACATTGGTGCCCCCCCCCCACACCCGCCTCAACAAAGCTTCTCCTACATTTTTATTCCAGATCAAACTCTAGACACCAGCTCCAGATTTATTTTCCATCCTTAAAAACAGCTGTGGTCTGGAGAGAAAGTACAGCAGGTAAGGTGCTTGCTTGCCTTGCTCCAGAATGCCACATGGTCCCCCATCCCTGCCAGGGTCACTCCTACTATCCAGAGGCAGGAAAAGGCCCTGAGCACTGCAGTGCGTGACCCCATACACCACCAGCCATCCAAACCCTAAAAATATCTGCTGTAAGATAGGCATGATGGCTTCCGCCCACCCCTCAGAGGCGTGGACCCTATAATCCATGCTCTATAAGCCTCCAATACAGGCCTGGCATAAAGTGATAGATAGGGCTGGGCATTACCCAGATCTTGTCCATGGGCTCGCTCGTTTCCTTGCACGGAGAGAAGAGAAAACCCGCTGTAGAGTGCTTCTGTGCCTTGGGGACAGGAAGGGATCACTACGGTCTGGCTGTGGCGGGCGAAGAGGAAACCTCTCCTGACAGGCCAAGGTCCGGCTGTGCCGGGCTCCCCCGGCTTCCCCTTCCAGCCTGGCGGTCCAGAGGATCCAGGAAGACCTTGGAAAAAAGAACATCCAAGAGGTTGCAACACAAACAAGGCCTCAAGGCCTCACAGAAGTTTTTCCAAAATACGAACTAAAGTTTTTACATGGCATGGATTGGCACATGTTCTGTGTGGCCGCATGCCCAGGAAAGAAGTGGAAAGAATGGTGTATTCCAGGAATGCTGGGCTTTTTTTTTTTTTTTGCCTTTTGGGTCACACCTGGCGATGCTCAGGGGTTACTCCTGGCTTTGCACTCAGGAATTACTCCTGGCGGTGCTCAGGGGACCATATGGGATGCTGGGAATCGAACCCAGGTCGGTCGCATGCAGGGCAAACGCCTTACCTGCTGTGCTATCGCTCCAGCCTCAACGCTGGGTTTTACAAAATATATTATTTTACAGCCCACATTTTGCCTCTGGCTTTTAGTCTTGCCTGAGAAACACAAACCAAAGGGCCTAGAATGCTCTTGGATGGACTGGCTTCAATAAGAACACTCTGTCTACTGACAGGGAACGCTTCTTCTTCTTTTTTTTTTCTTTCCGGGTCACACCCAGTGATGCACAGGGGTTATTCCTGGCTCTGCACTCAGGAATTACTCCTGACGGTGCTCAGGGGGCCATATGGGATGCTGGGAATTGAACCCAGGTCAGCCACATGCAAGGCAAATGCCCTCCCCGCTGTGCTTTCGCTCAGGCCCAGGGAATGTTTCTCTCACCTCGCTCTCCTTTATAGCCCTTCTGGCCTTTGTCTCCAACTGGACCGGGAGTTCCTGGTCTTCCATCCATGCCCGGTTTACCTCTTGGCCCACAGGGTCCTGGGGGGTTGGGGGGTGGGAAAACAAACATGACAATGAGATTCAAATAGGATAAGAGAGAAGGGGGCCAAGTTTCCTAATTTCCACGGACTTTTTCAGTTTTTCCAACTGACTAGAGACCCTCAGACAAACTAGAAAAAAGGCTTCTCTAACCTGTTACAGTTCAGATTCCCACAAGGAAAAGACCCTCAAAAATAAGTGAGGAAATACAGCAGTTCTTCTGTGCCCCTGAATTGATCAAAGTAATAAGCACTCTCTCTGTTAACCGCCCAGGATTCAGGCACACTTAGAAGCCAAAGTCTAGAGTGTGCCAACTCTATTTAAAGGAGGCAGTTTCATTCTTATATACTGATATTTTGATCATCATTTTTTTCTTTCTTTTTCTGTCTTGGGTCACTCCCAGATGTGCTCAGGGCTTACTCCTGGTTCTATATTCAAGGATCATTCCTGTTGGGCTCAGAGGACGTTATGCAGTGCCTGGACAAATCTGGATTGACGGCATGCAAAGCAAGAGCTTTAACCATAGTATTATATCTCTGACCCATATTTTGGAAAGGTTTCATAATGTTAAGACTGTATCAGCATTACCTAATTCCCAACTGTATAAATGTTAGAAAAATATTAATACCAAGAATTCAAGCTTATTCAGCAATAATTTATTGATAGAACTCTAAGGCTGACAATAATTAGAGAAGATAGATATATTTTTAATAAAAAGGGACACATACACATACCCTAAAGTACATTTGCTCAAGTTTATTCTATGCACAACCATTTTCAATAGGTATTATATTTTCTTTCTTTCTTTCTTTCTTTCTTTCTTTCTTTCTTTCTTTCTTTCTTGAATCACCATGAGATACAGTTACAAAGCTTTCAAGATTGAGTTTTGTCATAGAAGGTTCCAACACCCATCCCTCCACCAGTGTACATTTCCCACTACTGATATCCCCTGCATCCCTCCTGTCACCCTTCCCCCATCCCTGGCCCTCTCCCCCGGCCAGGCTCTATGGCAGGCACTTTTCTTCTCTCTCTCTCTCTCTCTCTCTCTCTCTCTCTCTCTCTCTCTCTCTCTCTCTCTCCTCTAATTTTAGATCTTATGGTTTGCAGATATTATATTTTCAATCAGGTCTTATTGGCCAAGAGCATTGATTCATTCGAATGCCTAACAACCCGAATCGGACGTTTACATTTGAATAGATGTGGCTCACTGCCTGCAGTTTCTATCTTCGTTGTCTACGCACCAACATCTCATTATGATGAAAGAGAAATCGAGAAGTTCTACATGGAGCTAGAGAAGTTCTATAAAGAAGACCACACCTTCTACAAGATCATTGTGGGTGATTTTAATGCCAAGATAGGACCGAGAAGATCAGCTGAAGAACTTCACATTGGGACCCATGGCCTAGAATGGAATGAACAGGGTGAGAGACTGTCTGAGTTCATCATGTCGACCAAGACCATTCATGGTAACTCACAGTTCCAGAAGGCAGAATCTAAACGATGGACATGGGAGTCTCCCGGTGGACGATTCCACAACGAAATAGACCACATCATATTCAATCGACGGTTTTGCCTGACTGATGTCGCTGTTGTCCCAAAATTTCGAACGGGATCGGACCACCGTCTCCTTCGTGCAAAATTCTACTTCACAGAGCGGGGAGAAAGGGCTGCAAAGTTCAAAAAGAGAACTCCCAGAATGACCACCAACTGGGAACTCTTTGGTACTATTGCGGCAACATGGGAAGATGCCATTGTTGACAACATTGACGAGGAATACGATCGACTGGTTCAGCACCTCCTTGAATGTGCGAGGAACGCCAAGAGAGAGATAGCCACAAAAAGTCGCCTATCTTCGAAAACTCTTGAGCTAATTCGCCAGCGTGGTTTGGCGCATGCCTCAGGCAACCGCAAGCTAACGTCCGAGCTCGCAAAGCAGTGCAGAGATGCGATCAAGGAAGACCTCAAAGAGAGAAGAGCAGAAGTACTGGTAGATGCGGCAGAAGCCGGGAAAAGTATTCGTAGCACCCGCCTGTCCTTCGCCAACTATAAGACCAAGATGACTGCCCTCCGACGTCCTGATGGATCCATCACATCCTCCAGAATGGCAATGGAGAAGATTATCCATGACTTCTACTCAAATCTCTTCGATAGCCATGTCCACTTGCCGACATACCAAATTCCACAGGATGGGTACGTCATTCCTAACGTTCTCCCTTCCGAAATCCGACACGCCATTTCGTTGGTAAAGAAGCAAATAGCACCCGGCCCAGACAAGGTCAGACCTGAACACCTGAAGAACCTGCCGTCAGTACTCATCAATACACTGGCTCGGCTCTTCACTCGCTACCTGTCTGAATGCAAGGTTCCGTCCCAATGGAAAACCAGCAGGACCGTACTACTGTTCAAGAAGGGAGACATCCATGACATTGGCAACTATCGCCCGATCTGCCTATTGTCTGTCATCTACAAGCTGTTCACTCGAGTCATCCTGAATAGGATTGGCAGAACACTAGATGAAGGACAACCATGCGAGCAAGCAGGGTTCCGCAAAGGATTCAGCACCATCGACCATATCCACACGGTAACCAAGCTCATTGAGGTTTCTCGGGAGTTCAAGATGCCGCTCTGCTTAACGTTCATTGATTTAAAGAAGGCCTTTGATTCTGTTGAGACGGAAGCGGTCATTGAAGCCCTAGCCAATCAGGGCATTCAAGCCCAATACATCAGGATCCTCCGTGAGCTGTATTGCGGATTCACTACCAGGATCTCACCATTCTACAAAGAAGTGATCGTTGATGTCAAGAGAGGGGTGCGGCAGGGTGATACTATTTCACCAAAACTCTTCAGTGCCACCCTCGAGAACATCATGCGACGACTGGAATGGGAAGGAATGGGAGTGAAGATAGATGGTCGGCAACTACACCACCTCCGCTTTGCTGATGACATTGTTTTAATAACACCAAACATCAGCCAAGTGGCACAAATGCTGGCCGACTTTGACCGTGAGTGTGGAAAGGTAGGACTACAGCTGAATCTTACGAAGACAATGTTTATGAGAAACAGCCTTGTTCCTGACGCCCCATTCGCTCTCAATGGAACGACCATCTCCGAATGCAACAGCTATGTGTACCTAGGTCGAGAGGTCAACATGACAAATGACCTGGCACCCGAGCTGCGCAGGAGGAAGAGAGCGGCTTGGAACGCCTTCAAGAACGTCGAAGAAATAGCTAAGAGGACGAAGAACCTCCGGCTCCGGGCACATCTCTTTGATTCCACTGTTCTTCCTGCATTAACATATGCCTCAGAGAACTGGGCCCTACGCAAACAAGATGAGAACGCCATTCAGGTCTCCCAAAGAAGAATAGAAAGAGCTATGCTTGGAATATCACATTTCACTCAAATGAGAGAACGAATCCGGAGTTCTGACATCCGTCGACGATCAAGGATCAGGGACGCTGTCTCATATGCCAAGGTGTCGAAAATCAGATGGGCTGGTCACGTAATGAGATTTAAAGACGACCATTGGACTAGAGCTGTTACTGATTGGATTCCACGGGATGTCAAGAGACCGCGTGGCCGCCCACCTACCAGATGGTCAGACTTCTTTGTCAAGATCATGAACGATCGGTTTGAGGCCCTCCATGTTCCCGGAGCGAAGAGATGCCATGGGCTACACTAGCACGCGACAGGGACAAATGGAGACATTACTGGCGCCCGCTCGAGCAAATCAACGACTAACGGGAAGTTAAGTGATTAAGTGATTAAGGTCTTATTTTGATCAAAAGTGTAATAAAGTCAACCTTAGAATTGATTGTGAAATGAGCCACGTTGAACCATTTTCCATGAGGTTGTATCAATCATTGGTTTCTAAAGCATTTTAAAGGAACTCAACTGGGCTGGAGTGATAGCACAGAGGGTAGGGTGTTTGCCTTGCACACGGCAGACCCAGGTGTTTGCCTTGCACACGGCAGACCCAAACACCATCAGGGTAATTCTTGCATGAGCCAGGAGTAACCCCGTGCATCTCTGGGTGTGACCCCAAAAGCAAATGAAGAAGAAGAAAAAGAAGAAGAAGAAGAAGAAGAAGAAGAAGAAGAAGAAGAAGACGAAGAAGAAGAAGAAGAAGAAGAAGAAGATAAAATAAAAAAATAAAGGGACTCAACCATTTCCCAGAGAACCAAGTAAATGCTGCTAGTCTCATACCTGGGTTTCCTGGAGGCCCTGGTAGGCCTGGTTCTCCTTGCATCCCTGGTGGTCCCACTGGGCCAGGAGGTCCTGGGCTCCCGGGGAGGGAGATGATCTCCACAGTACCAAAGTCTCCACGAGCACCTGTGACAGGAACTGAGAGGCTAGTGGCTTCCTTCACAGATGGTTGCCTGTTCTTTTTGGAGAACAGTAGTCAAGAAATCAGAGTTACCCTTTCGTCCTTTCGGCCCAATTCGCCCTGGAGGTCCTCTTGGTCCCAGAATTCCTGGATCACCCTTCTTGCCTTTTGTTTAAAAAAAAAGGGAGGGGTAATGTGACTCCACTTAGAATAATAGGTTTCTAGCTTTTTAGATTGATAATCAACTCTAAGGAAAGTTATTGGAAGTTAGGGATGGAGAATTTGAGCTCTTTGAAAGAGAGGACAGCTCAATTACATCCATGGGGGTTTTGGCATTTCATTTGGACCCGATTTTGTTTGATGTATATAAAGAAATACATTCTAAAAGTAAATGCTATGTACTTAGAGTTATGCATAAATAGAGTGTGTGTGTGTGTGTGTGTGTATCTCAGAGAATTATATCTGTTTTATGTTTGTAGTTAATTTACTTATGGAAAAGAGATATTTTTAAACCAATAATAAAAAAATTTTCAAATAACCAAATTGAAATCAATAAACAGTAACCATCACTACCAATGTTCTTTTAAGTTTCTCTACTTCCTTGCCTGCCCTCATTGAATGGGAAATGTTTGTGAGTTCACTTTTTAATATCAGAAATCAAGTTATTTTGATATTAAAGTTAAATGCAACTGACATTAAAACCCATAATACAAGAGTTTAAGTTATGTGTCTTGCATATGACTGACCTTGGTTCAATTCCTGAAACCACATCTGGTTTTCCAAGCACTGCTGAGGGTCACTCCTGAGCACAGGGCCAGGATTAGCCTCTGAGCACTGAAAGTGACCCTTAATTTTAAAACCTCCTGGAGATAATATTGCTTGATAATCATAGTTATCTACTTTCTCAGCATATTGCCCCAGCTTTATCTCCATGTTTAAGTTCCACTTTAATAAGCCGAATGTTAGTTATATTAGAACACTCATGAACACATATTGAATACCTGCTTTGAAGCAAACCATAAGGTGGAAGATTACACTACCAAACATAGTTTTCGGGACATATAAAAGTTGTCAAGGACCTTTAATTCAGAGAAATGCTTCTTCAAAGAATCATGAAATAATGTAGGTATTGCAGACTATTATTTGTACCTTAATACTAAATGTGATATTGATAGAATGAGTACAATAAAATAATTATATGACCCAGTATAATATAAATATAGATCAATACAATACAAATCATCTATCAGAACTTGAGGAGCACTGAACTGTCCTCCTGTTGTTCATCAATTTGCTCGAGCAAACCCAGTAACGTCTCCATTGTGAGACTTGTTGTTACTGTATTTGGCATATGGAATATGTCACGGGTAGCTTGCCAGGCTTTGCCGTGCGGGCGAGATACTCTCAGTAGCTTGCCAGCTATCCGAGAGGGGTGGAGGAATTGAACTTGGGTCGGCGAGGGCAGCCACATGCAAGGCAAACGCCCTACCGCTGTGCTATCACTCTAGCCCAGAACTTGAGGAAGGTTCTAATATTTTCTTAAAGCACCACTAGAAACCCAAATACTTTTCCTTTACAGGATCAAAATTTTTCAAAATAGAAGAAAAAGTTTAACAGCAATGTTAGCTGACAGTTTTAATTCTGACATCTCTGAGATTAATTAAATGTGTTTCATGGACTCTGTTTTAGAAGAACTAATCAAATGAGTTTCCTCTTTAATTATTTCACCTGAATGCTTCTTTTTTTACACTAATGCTTTTTTTTTTTTAAAAAAAAGTCTGAGGTTAAGTATATTTCTATCCTGAGATTTGCAATGGGGGATGAGAGGTGGCACACTTTTCCCAGGGAGCCTGCTGGTTTGTTCCCATCTAAGGTCTAGTAAGAATCCTGATAATCACTTTCTTGTGTCTATTCCTAGCCAATGTGCTCCTTTGAATGTGCTCTTTTAGTGGAGAGAAGCATTGAGAAGGACCTTCTATATGCCATCTCCTCCTCTCTTAGGCCTACCCTCACCCCAACTGCCTACAGTGACGATAGGAGAAGAGTAACATTTGTGTCACTAACATAGAGATCACAGACTTTGTGCTCACATCTAAGGGCAGTGCAGGGAAACGGTACCTTTCATGCCTGGAAATCCATGAAACCCAGGATAACCTCTGAGTCCTGGCAATCCCTGGGGACCTGGAACACCCTATATGTCAAATAAAAAGAAGCAGAACAACAGATAAATTTATTTTTTGTTATTTAAAATGTTTATTTATTTATTTTATTGATTGAAATTCTGTGGTTTACAATATTGACAATAATGATTTCTCCTGGGCATAATTTCAACACCATACCCATCACCAATATGCCCACCTCCCTCTCCTCAAGTGCTCCAACGTCCTTCCCTCTCAACATTTCCCCCTCCTCCACCAAGTCAGTTGTGAAGATCAGTTCTCCCATTGAGTTGTCTTTGGACCTTTGAACAATGGATACATGCAAAACATCACAGTATTCACTGAGCTTTTATAAAGTCAAATAAGAAATAATATTTTGGGACAGGATAAATTGAAGTTAATAAGCATTTTTATTTTCAATATATTTTTTTCTTTGTCATCTAGAACTCTTCTTTCAACGTATCAATAAAGTAAAAACTTCCTTTAAGCCCAAGACCACACTCAGTCGTGCTCAGGAGTCATTTCTGCCTGTGCAGTGGACAGTGTGTTGCCAGAGATGGAACCCGGGCCTCCAGAATGCAAATCATGCGTTCCAGCCCATTGAATGATCTCTCCAACACCCAAACATTCTTTATGATATACTGGTATATTGTATGAGTAATGGAGACAATAGAATACTTTGTGCCCTAAAAGATATAGACTACTCTTTAGACTTTTGACTGCCACAATAAAAAATTATAATTTATATTTTAATTTCTTTTTTTTTTTTTTGCTTTGTGGGTCACACCTGGTTGATGCTCAAGGGTTACTCCTGGCTCGGCACTCAGGAATTATTCCTGGTGGTGCTCAGGGGACCATATGGGATGCCAAAGATTGGTTGGCCTTGAGGAAAGCTAAATGCCCTACCCTCTGTACTATTGCTCTGACCCCTGTAGTTTTATTTCTCGCAAAGACAATGAAAATTCTGTGCAGGGTCAGCACCCGCTATTAGTTTAAGTAAGATGGCAGAATTATAAATTGCTCCTACTCAATAAGTCTTCAGGGATAGAACATTGAAGAAATTTTGACATGCAGTTTTGGCAAAAATGCAGTATTTTACCAGTTAGAAATTTCCCCTCCTCACTTAGGCTCACACTAATTGATCAAGAAAGATTATATGGAGAAGAAAATGATGAGGACAGGAAGCAAGAATTTCAAAAAGAACTATGTGTCAGAATGAATACTATCCCTAATTTATAGCTTGAAAGCAGTTGGAGACAGAGCACCATTGGTTGAGAACAGTAATCATAAATTCATGAAAATGTGAGAGAAAAGAAGGAAGGAAGGAAGGAAGGAAGGAAGGAAGGAAGGAAGGAAGGAAGGAAGGGAAAGAAAAAATAGAGAAGAAAATGGGTGTTCCATTTTTTGAAGGATAACATCAATGAAGGAATAATTCTTGGGTAAGGCAGTATAAGTTAGAAAAGGGAGGAGGTGAGAAAGAACTATCAGATCAAGGGCTTCTGAGATACAGCTTGTTTTCTAGAATGTAGCACTGTTCTGTAGCACTGTTACCCCGTTGTTCATTGATTTTCTCGAGCAGGCCCAGTAACATCTCCATTGTGAGACTTGTTATTACTGTGTTTGGCATATCGAATACATCATGGGTAGCTTGCTAGGCTTTACAGTGTGGGCGAAATACTCTCGGTAGCTTGCCAGGCTCTCTGAGAGGGGCAGAGAAATCAAACCAGGGTTGGCTGGGTTGGCCGTGTGCAAGGCAAACACCCTATCCACTGTGTTTTCTAGAACAATAATTTAAAAAAGCTAACCAAGGAGAAAGGCCTTCTCCCAGATCAGTATTGGTAAGTTTCAAAGAAACATTAAGAATATGAGAGAAACCCCAAACTGGAAAAGGTAAGATATTTCATTTTTCCATAAAAATGTATAAAAAGGACCTTAGTGATAGAACAGTGAGAAAGGTACTTGCCTTGCATGCAGTTAGCCAAGGTTTAATCCCTGGGGTCCTGTATGGTTCAAGTGAGACCTGATTATCCCTTTGGTTTTGCATTTAAGGGACCGGGGATGTGACTTAAGTGGTAGAGCACAGGTCTTGTAAAAAGCCAAGGTCCCGAGTTCTCTCCTTGGCCCCTTGATCACACCAGGTGTGATCCCTGAGCACAGAGCCAGGAGTAAACCCTGAACACTGATGTATGGGTCAAAAAAAAGTGCAAAGAGATGGGTGCTAGTTGGGAGGATCTTCCCAGGATGGGAGATGCATGCTGAAAGTAGACTATAGATGGAATATGATTGCCATTCAATGCCTCTTTTGCAAACCACAGCACCCAAAAGGAGAGAGAGAACAGAAGGGAATGCCCTGCCACAGAGGCAGGGTGGGATGGGGGGCGGGGGGGGAAGGGATACTGAGATCATTGGCGGTGGAGAATAGGTACTGGTGGGGGGATGGGTACTCGATCATTGAATAACTGAAACCCAAGCACAAAAATTTATAAGTCTACAACTGTACCTGATGGTGTTTCACTAATAAAAAATTTTTAAAAAGCATTAAAAATACTTTATTTAAAGAAAATTTACTTAGAGAAATATGAGGAGAGATAGATATATGTTCAAAAGAAAACACAGACTTCTCCAGAGTGGAAAAAATCAGGGTATTTTTCAGTTGACCTTGACCAGAAAGTTATTCTATGGTGGTAAATAGATATTCAATTTTTCTTTGCTTTTTGAGTTACCCATATTTAGCTAAAAAGGCATCATCATCAAACATTACGCCTTAGAACTCTAAATTGACTTGTAATACTTCTAGTTTGCCCTGTATCATTGTTTCTTTTCTCTATCTCTTTTTTTTTTAATCTTATTTTTAGGTGTTTTAGTCTCTTCTCTTACATTCTCAGGGAATTTTAAGTCACGCCCTTTCTAAAATTGATTTTTCTCAGCTTATAGTACTGTAAGATTTCTGGAATATAACTTAATACTTATGTGTCTATATAAAATTAACCATATCTACTGCTATTTTGGACTATCAATAGATGCCTTTTGGAAAAGGGATTTGGTTTTGTACAAACATATCAGAATAGATAAGACAAAAATACTGATATGACTAGTTGACTACCCTAATTGAAGAAATTAAAAATACTATTAAATGAAAAAAAAAAGAGATGGGTGCTAGAAAGCAAACACCAAGAGAACTTAAGAGAACCTTCATGGTCACTAGCAGTATCCCTGCCTGGATGGCTCATTACCCATCACTGATCAAAGCAGAGAACACCTGTAACATCACTGAGTGCCTGTTTGGTCTCCAAGAATTGTATAGGAACTGGCTTTTCAAATGTGCTGGTAAGGGAGAAACAGGGAAGGTGGTCCAAGTGCTGAGTAAAAGACTATGAAGTTTGAAACCTTAGTAGGTTGAGAGAAAGAGCTTAAATGAACAAGCTAATATCTCAAAAAGCTAAATGCAGGGGCTGGAGCAATAGTACAGTAGGTAGGGTGTTTGCCTTGCATGCGGCTGACCCGGGTTCGATTCCCAGCATCCCTTATGGTCCCTCAAGCACCACCAGGACTAATTCCCAAGTGGAAAGCCAGGAGTAACCCCTGAGTATCGCTGGGTACGACCCAAAAAGCAAAAAAAAAAAAGTTGGAAGAAAAATAAGCTTAAATGCAAAAATTGACTACTTAAGGGAAGGGAGACTTGTCCAAGTGGTAGATAGAGAACATGCCTTGAAGAAGCCACATCGGGTTTCGGTTTTGGGCATCACATGGCCCCCTGATCACTACCACAAATGTTCCTGTGTCCTTCAAGTGAATTGTGGCCTCCATGAAATTTCTAGACTCTGCACCTGCCCTGGGTGAACTGCACAGGAACAGCACAAATTTTTCTGCTGTCCCTGGGTGCACCTGATCCTTGCAAATGATTTAGAAGAATGTATAAAGTGAAAATAATTTTGAATGCTTACCGGATAACCGTGCGGCCCCATGTCTCCTACAGATCCACGTGGACCCCTTGGACCAGGCTGGCCCATACTCCCCTTGTCTCCTTTTATGCCTTTGACATGGCTCCCTGGAGGTCCTGGGGGACCCGGCTCACCTGAATTCACAAAGAGCCTGTCAGGTCTCCCAGACAGGGAGGATTCTGCCAGACAGCCACCAAACCCGTGTCTTAGGGTTGCCCCCCAGAAAACCCCCCCCCACCTTGTAGAGCATGACGGGGCAGTAAGCATGGAGGGAGGAAAGTAGGCTGTGTGGGCAGGTACTGGGTCTCCCCAGTTTATTCAATCTGGGTCTTGCCCTGAAACCTGCCATATCTAGTTGCTCAGTAAATCCTGGGGAATGGAATTTTCTCTCATCTTGACACATTCATCTTGACTCTTTTTTGACTAGCCTTTCTGCCTCGAGGCTATCCTCAGCTTTACTATACTTGGTGTGAGAACAGGGATAAGGAAGGATGGAGAATTCCAGAGGGAAGAAAGAAGCATGGTGTGTGGTGTGTGTGTGTGTGTGTGTGTGTGTGTGTGTGTGTGTGTGTGTGTGTAGGAGGACATTCCAAAACGCAAACCCTCTTGCGATCTTTGATCTTAGTAATTTTTATTTTGTCATCATGACTTTTTTTATCGGCTTTTTTTTGGGGGGGGTCAAACCCAGCAACCCACAGGGGTTACTCCTGGCTCATGCACTTAGGAATTACTCCTGGCGGTGCTTGGGGAACTGTATGGGATGCTGGGAATCGAACCCAGGTCGGCTGCATGCAAGGCAAATGCCCTACCTGCTGTGCTATCGCTCCAGCCCATTAGTCATCATGATTTATGTTACTGTTCATAAGAGAGTTTCAGGCTGATAATGTTTCAGCTGCCACGCACCCCCGGTGTTAGCATCCCTCCACCAACGTCTCTTTTGCCTTATTTCAACGTTCATTCTCTACCTGGATTTCCTCTGGAGCCTTTGGGACCTCGGTTTCCTTTGAGGCCCGGCAGGATCATGCCTGGAAAACCTGGGGGTCCTGGAGGTCCTGGCATGCCAAGGGGTCCTGGAGGTCCGACATCTCCCACTGCCCCTTTCCTGCCGGGGAGACCTGGAGAGCCTGGGGTTCCCCTATTTCCTTTGGCTCCTGCAAAAAAGATTGGATACAGTTCCTAAATGTCCCTGTTCTGGAGTTCTAGCAAATGGTTACAAATGGTTATCTTGAATAAAAAATATAGGTGCTTTGCTGAAAGGTGTAAAGATTTACTTTTTTTTTAAGTTAGAGAAATAAAGGTCCACAAGGGATGGAAACTTGTTTTTGCCTCCAACTGTCCTTTTTTTTTTTTTTTTTTTTGCTTTTTGGGTCAAACCTGGCAATGTTCAGGAGTTACTCCTGGCTCTGCATTCAGGAATTACTCTTGGCAGTGCTTGGGAGACCGTATGAGATGCTGAGTATCGAAGCTGGGTCAGCCACATACAAGGCAAACACCCTACCCGCTGTACTATCGCTCCAGCCCTCCAACTCTCCATTTGATCTTCTCAAGCTCACTTCACTATTACACTTTCAGTTTTATTGAAAAAAATGAAGGTACAATCTGACTTAATTCTCCAAAGATCAAATAAGGTCCTAAGCAGATAGAAAAAGCAGAGTAAGATCCGAAGTGCTATGTAAATGAAAGCTACAATTGCATGATTATAAACGTGAATTACAATGGCATTATTAAAATCACTAAACATGCTATAAAGAATTACAAGTTAAACTTCATGTGCCTGTGAATTTTTGCCCATCTGTATCCAGAGAAGGGCACAATGAGGCTATAACACTTAATTTGGCTACTTATTTCCCTAAATAAACCCTGGAAGGAATAAAAGCTTGGATTGGCACTAGAAGACCCCAAATAGTTTCTCATCCATCACTGAGAAACTTCAAAAGATTATGCTTTGATATTCACAAATAGAAAATGTGTGGATAGAAAATAATCTCTTCTTCCTCTTCCATCTCTGTTCTTCTAGAAGGAGTAAATGCATGAAAATAGATCCTAGGATGAAGGAGGAAGATGAGGATGAGACTGGTGTCCCAGGGGAAGTCCACGGGAAGTTATTATTTGAGGTGATAAAAAAGGTAAAGGCCCTCCCGTTGATCGTCGATTTGCTCGAGCGGGCCCAGTAACGTCTCCATTGGAGTCTTTGTTGTTACTGTGTCTGGCATATCGAATACTCTCGGTAGCTTGCCGGGCTCTCCGAGAGGGGCAGAGGAATCGAACTCGGGTCGGCCATGTTGGCCGCTTGTAAGGCGAACGCCCTACCCGCTGTGCTATCGCTCCAGCCCATGCCAGACACAGTAACAACAAAGTCTCCAATGGAGACGTTACTGGGCCCGCTCGAGCAAATTTGAGGTGATGATGCAAATAAAATTCAGGAGTATCTGACATTCTGCCCTTTGTTGCTTGTCTTCTGTACTTTTAAAAAATTTCTTCACTTTATTCATTTAAAAGAAGACTAAGTGATTTCATCTCACTTCAAACCCTAAACTGCTGCATTTGTTTAATGGCATCTTGCAATGGCCCGAGGTAATAGGAGTTGCAGTAGATTATATATTTCATGTCTGTTAAGATGTTTCCTTCTTTAAAAACATGGCTTTTAAAAAGATGTATTTGGGAGACATAAAACTAATTAAAAAGATTCATACCTTCCAAGTTTCAATGAACTCCTCTCCATATTTAGTTATCCTAGAGGGATTGAGGCGCATAATCATTTACTTACATCATTAGACTAATTATTTTTGAGGCTTTTTAACTTAATGTATGATCATGTTATATCAGTTTTAGTTCTAATTAAATGTTAACGTGTTCGCATTTCGAATGGTTAAATGGTGAGTTTAGCTTAGGAAAATGAACAGGAACATAATTCTAGAACTAGAGAGTAGACAAGGGGTTGGGGTGGGGGGAAAGCCCTATGTTCAGGGAAAAGCAAAAGAGGTCTAGGAGATGAAGGGACACTCAAGTGAGATGACTATCACCTCCTCTTGGTTTTCTTTTAAGAGTGGGGCTTCTCGTTCCTGGGCAGTTCCTGCCTTTGCGTTTCTTCCTAACATTAGGCAACTGCTGTTGGTTCTCATGAACCTCCATAGTCTGAGACCTTCAATGGGTACAAGTCTCTTTGCTAATAAAACAGTCCTGTCCACAGGACCCAAAGCAGAAAAGGACCAATAGAAAGGTTCCAACAGTCAAATAATGCCTCTAATAAACAGGTGTCTATAATAAATAGAAAAAGTTCAAGAGAGGTGCTTATTTTGCAAAATACTGGCATGAAAAATCTAGACGGGCAGTCTGATCATCAAAACACTTGTAACACCTTGGATGACAAGCAAAAAAAACTGCCATGCATTACTGAGTAGCTCTAATTAAATAGTGGGTGATCCACAAGCTGGCTCTGGGGTTTGAATCTGACATATGAAGATAACAGGATGCAGAAGGTTTGTAATTAATGCCACGTCTCAAAAAAAAAAAAAAACAGGGGGCAGATGCTCATAAAGAAGCATTCAATTCACCTCCATCCTTTAAGAATATGATGCATACAAACCATGCTAACAACATCTTAAAGCCAAGACAAAACGCTTTTATTTCTGAAGACTTTCTTATGAGAAAAATTTGATCACAGTTTTCTTCTTTGTTCACTGTGCTCTGATCTTAATCAAGCATTTTTACGTTAATACCAAGAATATAAACAGCCTTTATTAACAGTGGGACTACTCCTAACATTTAATTAAGTGCATTTTATATGCCAGATGTGTTCTTTCCATTAGAGTCTCTCCTTGAAAATCTCTATTCCCAGGCTCATGGAGGTGCAGAGACTCACCTGGCAGGCCAGGGTGTCCTGGTGGGCCCGGAATTGTTCCCAGTAAACCTGAAATAAAAAGATCATTTTGGCATATCAGTATTTTACATTTTAATTTCATTTTGTACGCATACATGACTGATCCTCCTGGTCAGTTTCACTTTTTCAGCAGAAGAAAGTTTAATCATGGCAGACCTCGATCTTGTTAAAGATCCCAGTCTGAAATAAACAAACAAACAAACAAACAAATAAAAGATCCCAGTCTGGCTGGAGAAGACTTACTTGAACAGTAATGGATTACAAGGTCACTCATTATGTTGAGTGGAACAAGAAGTGTGGATCTAAGGTCACGAGCAAGTGGTACCTGATTCGCCCTTTTCTCCGGCTGGACCAGGAATTCCATCAAATCCTTGGTCACCTCTCATACCCACTTGTCCAGGATGTCCTGGGAATCCTGGAGGACCTGAAATTAAAAAAAAAACAACATTCAAGACTAGAAATTTATTCCTCTCAGTAGACTACTGTGAGAATTGGGGATGCAGGATCCTGTTAAAGAAGTTCATTTCTCTGAACTAGAATTCACTAAGTTCACAATAAAAAAGTGAACAGGTTCATATTATCACACGAGTGATTTTGGAACTTTAAGGAAAGCAGATCTTTGAATTAGAGAGAGGTAAAACCTAGCCTCACTTTTTTGTTTGTTTGTGTGTGGGGGGTCACACCTGGTGATGCTCAGAACTTACTTCTGACTACACTCAAGAATCACTCCCGGTGATGCTTGGGAAATCATATAAGATATTGGGAATTGAACCCAGGTCGACTGCCTGCAAGGCAAGTGCTTTACCCACTTTACTCACTCTGGCCCCTAGCCTTACTTTTTTTTTAAATTTAATTGTTATTAGTGAAACACCATGAGGTACAGTTGTAGACTTACAAACTTTCGTTCTTGGGTTTCAATTATACAATGATCGAGTACCCATCCCTCCACCAGTGCCCATTCTCCACCACCAATGATTCCAGTAACCCTTCCACCCTCTTCCCCGCCCCGCCTCTGTGGCAGGGCATTCCTTTTTGCTCTCTCTTTCCTTTAAGGTGTTGTGGTTTGCAATAGAGGTATTGAGTGGCCATCGCGTTCAGTCTATAGTCTACTCTCAGCACGCATCCCCATCCAGAGCAGTTCCTCTGAACACCCTTTACTTGGTGTTCCCTTCTCTATCTGAACTGCCTTTGCCTCACTTTTTTTTTAAAGGAATTTTTTCTTTGGAAATGAAATAACTGGAATCTCCTTTCTGAGCCATAGGTATGGCTCATAGATAGAGATACGTAGTTAACCCTGTCCCACCCCCAGAGAAGGAATTAAGGGGAAAGTTGGAACCTGGAAGGCCTTTGATTCCTGGAAAGCCGGGGAAGCCTTTGATTCCTTCATTCCCCACATCACCTTTAGGACCTGGCATTCCTGCAAAGAGAGAGTGGAAGAGAAGAATATCAAAGGAGAAATGATTCTTACAAAGACCAGGACAGTTGGCTCTTGGGCCAACAGAGAAGCTGTTGGCCCCCAGAGCTCCTCTAACTGCTTTCAGAAGTGTGTGTAACCTCAGTCTCATGTGCAATTGAGACTTAATTGAGAGTAGTCTACCAAACCTTTCTGACTTTGAAAAGATTATTTAAATATATTCTTTTTTTCATAGTTTTATTTATTTATTTATTTATTTTTCTTCTATATTAATTTACTGAATCACTGTGGGAAAAGTTACTAAGCTTTCAGTTTTAAGTCTCAGTCATACAATGATCAAACACCTCTCCCTTCACCAGTACTCATTTTTCACCACCAAGGGCCCCAATATACCCCCCTCCCACCCTTCCCAATGCCTGTGAGGCAGATGATTTCCACTTAATTCTTCTCTACATTGATTACATTCATTATTTCAACAAAAGATGCACCATTATTGTTTAGAACTTCCCCCACAATAATCAGAATTGCTGAAAAGGCATTGTGAAATACTTTGTTTTCTATAGCTGGTTATAAGAATCATATAATGTCATGTGGCCGCGATTTTGGATTTCTGCAAAAATCCAGATAATTACGAGATTGGTTTCTGTGCATCTGGTGTTGTGGCCGTGCCAGAAAGCCACTCGTGGGGGGCAACTCGTGACCTCGGTAGGGCATGAAGGATGAGCCGGTACCGCACCCCATCCCATGAGACTGCAGTTGCCCCGTCACCGCCAGCTCATACCTGGCTTTCCTATAAGTTCTGAGGTGGCAGCCACCTTGCTGCCAGGGGTGGGGGGAATGGGGGTAGGGGGGAAGGGGGAAAGGCGGAAGGGAGTAACACCCTTTCCCTCCCGGGGAGGCATGGCACCGTAGTTTAATGCATGGTCCATTCACTTTTCTGCCGCAAGCTGCTGGGCTCTGGATTAAGTCCTTTTGCCTCTGGACCCATGGCCGTGTATGCAGTCCAGGTGCATTTCTGCCAAAAGTCGTTGGGTTTTGAGATTTGTTTCTGATTCTCTGGGATCATGGCCATTAATCACCTTGATCAGGAGCCAGAGAGGTCATTTGTAGGTGGCGACTCGGGGTCTCGCTGGGATGGGGAGGAAAGGGCCGGTTCCACCCCCATCTGGTGAGTGTCTTGTCACTGCAGGCCCAAACTTTTCTGTACAGTGGCCTCTGGAGGATGACGGTCACCAGGCCACCAAAGGGAATAGGCCAAGGCATGAAACCTATTCCCACCTGGAGTGGCCCAGTCCCAGTAACCTACTGCAGAAACAGGACACATTTCTGCCAAAAGTCTTTGGGTTCGAAGTTTGTTTCTGAGTCTCTGGGATCATGGCCATTAAGCAGTTCGATTAGAAACCAGAGAGGTCATGCCTCCAATTATATAGCTGAGCCGGAGGTGGTTTGTGGGTGGTTTGTCTCCCACATACCTAACTTTTGGCTGTTTACTTTCTTGGTAAACTTTGCCTCAAGTTTTTGGGGTCTGGCCAAAGGCACAGCAGCAATTTTGGGCTATTTGAAAGTCTGACGGTGCCATCAAGCTGCTGATGCACTCGTCTCACAGGTATAGACTGACCTGCTGGAGGCACCATACCCACTAAATATATTCTTTAGGTACAAACTGGAAGTTGCTACCTAGCAGTGGCTTAGACACGTGTGTGTGTGTGTGTGTGTGTGTGTGTGCGCGCGCACACACACACACGCATTGGTGTTAAGGTATGAAGGGAGGGAAGATTCCCAAACATTACTCAGAGGTTCTGGGGTGCCTCTGACAGTTCTTAATCAGCTAGGCTGGACCATGCAACTCAAGATCTGAAGCTGTGGCTCTGCTCTGGCCCTGTAGGGCTCAGGACCTTCGGGCCATGCCAGCAACGCTTGGGATTCCCAGGGTTGAACTGTCAATGCTCAGGGAACTGTGTGGGGCCAGGGATTGAACCTTGCTTGGCATGTGACAGAACCCCTGTACTAACTTGGCCTTTAACCATTGCCTTTTTCTAAAACAAAAGCAAAAACTTTAAATGCAAATCATCAACAAGCAAGCAGGAAAGCCAATGGTCAAACTGGAAACCTGCCAAAGGAAAATGATTCAGACAACAGTGTTTTGAAGGGCTGGAGCAATCGTACAGCGGGTAAGACTCTTTCCTTGCATGTGATTGATCCAGGTTTGATCCCTGGCATCTTATATAGTCCCCCAAGATGCAAAAGTAACTGAGCACAGATGCAAAAGTAATCATTGAGCGTCACTGGGTGTTAAAGCAAAGAAGACTCAGAGTTTTGAATTGGATTGTGTAGTCCCATATTTATACATTGTATTCCCGAGTCCCAGGACCTCTGGATGCCACTGTTTGGAGAGAGACTCTTGAATGAAAGGTGGCCCCTTCGTCAAAGAAGAAAAGACAAAGTCCAACCCTGAAATCTGGTAGTTCTTCTGTTCCTGAAGAGTCAAAGTTGATATAGAGTCCCCAGATGGCTGTGTCCTTACTGGAAGGGATGAGGACAGACATACAGACAGACACACACACACACAGACAGAGTAGACACAGCAGGCAGGTGGCCATCTAGCCACCACAGAGAGACTCTCAGCAGACACCAACCCCAATACCTGGATTTCACACTTGTGGCCTGCAGAACTTTGAAAAAAAAATTATGATGTTTCAGCCAGGCAGTCCATGGAACTTGCTATGTAAGTTCTAGAAAATGAACACAAATATCCGAAGATCTGGGAATCAACCAACAAATTGTGACTTTGGGCTAATTCGTTCACAGAAACAAAGAGTTTCAGAAATGTTTCTCTTCACTGGAGCAAGTGTTTAGATTTTAGTCCAACGAACTGGCTCATCAGTAAAATGATGGCTCTTTCTGATTCATTACAAACCTTAGGGTTTGTAGAAAACCAAGTCCGAGTAAGGCAATTGTATAGAGCACAAAAGCAGAACTGCTTTCTATTCACTGAGCCTAACTTGGCAGGTGAGGACCACGTCTCTCACGCCTCCCACTCTCAGAGCTGTAAAGCTGAGACTCACCTGGGGGGCCGGGGTGTCCAGGACTTCCAGGGATGCCATCAGGGCCAGCAGGCCCCCGATGTCCAGGCGCACCGGGGGACCCCTTTTCTCCTTTCTTTCCCATATCACCTGGCAAGCCGGGATCTCCCTTAAATTCAGTCAAACACCTTTAAAATTCTCATACAAGCAGGATATGTGGTCAGAGTTAAATATCGACTAGATTTACTTGCTTATCTATTTACTTAATTTCTTCAGCATTCAGATCTATTCTGCCAGCACTTTGGTCCATGCTAGGAACAGAATGGCTGCATCATTTGAGGGAAAAGGAAAACATGACTATCTTGAAAAAAAATCTTTCAAAACAATTTTTAAGACAGCAACAGCAGAACATTGAAGTGACCACAGAGTTCTTGTTAGCAGGTCACCTTTGCGACCACACTGCTTTTATGCCCATAAATTTGACTCTCGCCAGAAAGAGAGTGGTTTTCAGTCTTTATGGAGCTTTAGAGACCAGTGGGAGACAGATTATTAATAGTCTATGTTACTTATTAATAATTAATATAATTATTAATCATTGCACCAATTGTAACTTCAGATCGTGATGATTAACTCAGGGGTAGAAAAGAAAGAAGCCAAATGGACATGCATCTTACATGTATTATATATGTGGATAAATGCATGCCACTCATATGTAAGGCAATATAATGATATCATAATGTTATAATATTGATTATATTTCTATTTCAGCTTTATGATAAGACAAACACCTGGATTTTGTGACAAAGCCTGGATTTTATGGTGATTTAAAAATCTTCATATTAGCTAATTAAAAAGATTCAGCCCTGCTACCACTGCAATTTTTCAGCATGCAAAATTCAGATAGTTCTGTGGTCAATTTATATTTTTAAAAATGCCTTCTTGTGGTCACCTATGAAAATCCTACATTTAAATGAAACTATTAATCAGTGTGATAGGAATTAAAGTCAAATAGGCTTCATCACTGGGAAAATGTCTCAGGAGAGTCTCTCTCTGATTTAGACCCAGTCTAAAAATTAAGGGTAAAGGAAATTTGTATTCCATGTGATTAGACTTTATGTCAATATGACTTCTAAAACTTGTCTTTCTAGTTGTTTGAGCAATTATTGCTGAAAATATGCTTGGTAGAATTCCTGAAAGGAGCTCATTTATTAGCTCCAAAATCATAAGCAAGAAAATGCACACAAATATCTCAAGATCTGGGAAAAGTTCCATACTTTTGGGTTATATATACATGAAATTTCATCTTATGAGAAAATTAAGGCTCTATCTCAAACATTGTATATTCAATTTCAAGATGATAGTGACTCTCTTAGTTTCCTAGGGGTTCATGAAACCTCATACTCAAACCATTGCTCATGGGAATTTCTTTTTAGATATTCTTTAGTGACTCTTGGTGGAACGGCTCTCCACAGAGAGGTTGAAAGGAAACATACCTAAACTGACAATAGCTCTACTAAAATAATTGGTTACTGGTTGGTACAATACAGTAGCTCGAACACTGATGTCCAACTTCTAGCTGACTAATAAACCCTGAGAACATAGTCATGAAAAAAAGTTTTTTCTATGTGATTGCATGAAAATAGATTTTTCTATATGGTGAAATAAAAATATTTAAAGTTGAAATACAATTAGAAAAATAAATGCATTAGCATAGAGTTATGGTTTCTTTTTAATGATATCCTAAACTTAGTTTATTTTCCATCTTTTATTGTGTTTCATACGACAAATACTTCGGATCACCAGGGTTGGAAATTAACTTGTATAAGACCAGCCATGAGAAACACTGAATCACTATCCGCTTCATACCACAGGCACACACACACACACACACACACACACACACTATCCTATCAGAGAATGTTTCCTGCGATTACTGCCTCCTTCTGGCAACACCCTGAAGTTTCAGGAGTAGCACTGTAGCACTGTAGCACTGTTCTCCTGTTGTTCATTGATTTGCTTGAGCGGGCTCAGTAATGTCTCCATTATGAGACTTGTTGTTACTGGGTTTGGCATATGGAATACGTCACGGGTAGCTTGCCAGGCTATGCCGTGTGGGCAAAATACTCTCGGTAGCTTGCCGGGCTCTCCGAGAGGGGCAGAAGAATCGAACCCGGCTTGGCCGGCCAGTGGCTTACAAGGCAAACACCCTACTGCTGTGCTATCACTCCAGCCCAACAAGAAGTTCTTCATGGTGTTGAAACTGGGGAAAATAAACTCAAAAGCTGGAAGTTGAAATAAAAAAAAAATACAATTTTTTAAAGTGTGAATAGCTGCCAGAGATATAGGAATACTTTCCATGTTCTCTGCCTACGTTGAATGGGACTGCTTGATGTTTAAAGAGACTCTCTACCACCCAAGGGCTATTTACCTGCGGTCCCTGTACTCCTGGCCATATGCATTCTGAATAACCAGGTTCCCCCTTATCTCCTTGGAGACCAGGAATCCCTGGGAGGCCTGGCGTTCCAGGTGGACCTGGGGGGCCCAAATCCCCCCTCTTTCCTTTCAGACCTGAAATGAGAAAAATCAGGTAAAACAGGCAGACTTGGAATCTTGAACTGTTCTACATCTGACCTTTACAGTTTTCCTTTCTCTTTTTCCTTTTTTCGGGTGTTTGTCCACACCTACCAGTGTTCTGGGATTGCTCCCAACTCTGTGCTTGGCCTCTCTCCTGGAGGTGTTTGGTGGGGACCATCATTGGTGTCAGGGACTCAACCGGGTTCAGCCTTGTGCAAGGCAAGCACCTAAATATCTATATTGTATCTACGGCACCGCAAACCACATTTTTCCAAGATTCTTTTTTTTTTTTCAGAATCACTACTATGTCACATCATCTTAATATATTATTGTAATTATTATTTGGTTTGGGGGCTAAACCTGGAAATGCACAGGGATACTTCTGACTCTGCCTTTAGGAATTATTCCTGGTGGTTTAGGGCACCATATTGGATGCTAGGGATCGAACTCAGGTCAGCCACGAACATGGCAACTACCCTACCAAATACTATCTCTCCAGCCCCTAAATTCATTTTTTTAATACAGCCTAAATAGTCTGTTCTAACTTGCATTCTGGTTGCACATAGAGCACTGATTTAAAAGTAAACATATGGCTGTTCTTTTCAAACTTTTTACCGGGTGGGAAAACAGAACAATAAACTACAGAGATAATCTGGAATTGAGACCCAACATGACTTGTAGGCTTATAACAGGATCATATTTCTCACCTGGAACTCCCATGAACCCCATGCTTCCTGGAATTCCATAAGGTCCTGGTTTCCCAGGACCCCCAAATCTGCCTGGATCTCCTCTGGGACCTTGAGAACAAATAAAAAGTCACAAGCTTTGAATAGCTCCTAAACATAGTAGGTGTGAAATAAATAGTTGTTACTGGCACAAAATAAATAAATCCAGACCATTCAGATTAGTTGGTGGACATACTTGTTTAGCTGCCTTATTTTTGACCAGTGTGAGTGAGCAAGAGAGAAGGGACTCCTGCAATTAGAGAGTAATGGGCTACCAAATGCAATTCTGAAATTTTACTGACACATAATTAGCCACTGATATATTCAAAACAAAAAAGAATGAGTTTCATTCATAAAAAAATTACTTTTTTGCAAAGAGAGTTTTGCATGTGTTGATTTATGGCATTTTCAAGTTGACATCTCAAGTTCTAGGAACAGATAAAAATGTTTTTCTTACTAAAAATAAAGGTAAAGGTAAAGGTCCTCTCGTTGATCGTCGATTTGCTCGAGCGGGCCCAGTAACGTCTCCATTGGAGACTTTGTTGTTACTGTGTTTGGCATATCGAATACTCTCAGTAGCTTGCCAGGCTCTCCGAGAGGGGCGGAGGAATCGAACTCGGGTCGGCCATGTTGGCCGCTTGTAAGGCAAACGCCCTACCTCTGTGCTATTTAGCACAGGGGCTGGAGCGATAGCACAGCGGGTAGGGTGTTCGCCTTACAATGTTCGCCTTACAAGCGGCCAACATGGCCGACCCGAGTTCGATTCCTCTGCCCCTCTCGGAGAGCCCGGCAAGCTACCGAGAGTATTCGATATGCCAGACACAGTAACAACAAAGTCTCCAATGGAGACGTTACTGGGCCCGCTCGAGCAAATCGACGATCAACGGGAGGGCCTTACTTTACTTTACTTACTAAAAATATCTTTAGACATTAAGAGTTAATTCTATTAAGTACTGACTTTTGAGTATTATCTTTTCTATATTCTGTGTGACAAAATGATAAATACACATAACTACTTCTGTTCTATACTAAAATACAATGCCTATCTTGAAAAACAATTTGCAAACTTAGTACCTTGTTCAGAAAAAGAGAATCCAATTAGAAAACTTCTAAAGCACTATTAGCTTTTCTTCTGTGATATGCAACAAACTTTAATTCTAATAAGTTATGGTTTAGAATACATCTTTGCATTTTCGACAAAAATGTCTAATTCAAAATGGGACTTTATGTGGGTTACTTGTTTGTTTAATACCAGCTAAAACCCCTTAATTTTGGCTTGAATTTTGGTAAGCAAATGCTATTGGAGCAGGATTCATATTTAAGCCGGTTAAGTCTAGAGGTAAACATTTATTCCATTTAGGATAAAGGAAAGTCAAAACCTGATATTTCTCTTAGAGGATCAGTTCTACCTGGTGTTCCTGGAGGTCCCGTTGGCCCTTGGATGCCTGGGAAACCGGGCAAGCCAGGTAGACCTCTGACTCCCTTCTCACCGGGCATTCCCGCCAATCCTAAAGCCAAAAAACACATTAAAGAAACTGGTTAGACTCTCAGTCACAGTCACTCCATCCATGTTCTGTTCTTGTGATACAGTGGAATATACCTGTTAAAATCATGGGCATATGGGCTAATTTGCATATTTTAAAATTAAATTTTTTAAATTTTAATGAGATGAGCCACATGCAGTGATGTGGAGAGATTCTGGGTCTCTCCCTGGGATACTCAGCCAGTGGTGTGGACCTGATGGGTTTGGTTTGAGGACCCAGCAGTGCTCAGAGGACACAAGAGTCACATCTAGTGGTGCTGGGGGATTGGAGGATTGGTGGCAGGTGGAGAAGGCATTGCTGCTAGAGATCAACTTGTGTGAAGAATGTGATCTTCCAGCCCCTGAACTTACATCTTTTTCATGAAGTATATATATTTATATTTATATATTATATATATATATATATATATATATTTTTTGGTGGTTCTGGAAGATCAAATGTCGACTCCACACAAAGCAAGGTGGGTTCCCAACCACTGATCCCTACTCTTAGATGCCCTCATGAAAAATAAGACAGAAAACAGAAAATAAAACCAACGATTCTGGGTACCACATTCAGAGATTCTAATTGAATTGGCCTGGGTTTAATGTCTGGGCATTAGAGCTTAATTTTTTTTCTAATGGAGGAGCCATGATTTACAATAAGGTAAAGGTAAAGGCCCTCCCGTTGATCGTCGATTTGCTCGAGCGGGCCCAGTAACGTCTCCATTGGAGACTTTGTTGTTACTGTGTCTGGCATATCGAATACTCTCGGTAGCTTGCCGGGCTCTCCGAGAGGGGCGGAGGAATCGAACTCGGGTCGGCCATGTCGGCCGCGTGTAAGGCGAACGCCCTACCCGCTGTGCTATCGCTCCAGCCCGATTTACAATATTGTTAATAAAAGTCTCAGGTAAACAATATTCCAGCCCCACATCTCCAGCATCAGTGTCTCTCTGCCAAGGTCCCTCCAATCTCCTGATGCAACCAATTTTATAAACTTTAAAGAATTGAATTCATATACCCACTGCCTACCACACTTAAGGGACCATGTGGTACAGGGAATCAAACCAGGGTTGGCTACACGCAAGGAGAGCACCTTAGCCCTTGAATTCTCTCTCCAGTCCTGAATGCAGTTCTTGAAACGAGGATACTCATAGGTCTCCCATAGGACCAATCTAGTTGACTGAAAAACGTGCTTTGATCATGTGATTTTTGGCTCAAAAATATTCATTGAATTTTTCACGGTTACCTTATGAATAAGTAACAAACTCCTTCCATGATTATTTGAAATATAGTGTTATCTCCCTGTGGTCTGACTTTGTATCTGTTCACAAGCAGATTCACTGTCCTCTAACATTTTCGTTACTCACATATGAATAGACTGAGCATTGAATTAATAGACAGATCTCATACTTGGTGGTAGAAACAGGAATAAATGATTTCCCCAGTTTTAGCAATTAATTGGGTACAGCAAAGTCAGCAGTTACTATCCAGTGTGATAAGTTCTGAAGTAGACAACCATCTACAGGGAGGGATTTCAGTAAGAGGGAATGTTTTTAGCATAGTTTAGCATAGTTGGGGAGGGGGGTCGGAAGTGGGGAGGAGGAGCTAATTCCGTGGTGAAAGCATGACAAAGGCTGAGATTTCCAGGTGGGAAACAGAATATGCAATGGAATGGTGAGTGGCAGGGGTAGAGACCTTCCACTTATAATAATTTATCACAGTTAAAATGAACACGTTTATTGAATTAATTTACTTAAGGTTTGGGGGTCACACTTGACACTGCTCAGGGCTTACTCCTGGTTTTAAACTCAGGTATCACACCTAGCAGGCTCGGACCAAATGGGGTGTTGGGGATTGAACCCGGGCAGGACACAGGCAAGGCAAGTTCACGACCCTCTATAACAGGGCACTGCAGCCCCCCAAATGACATATTTAGTGTGTTGATTTCCTTAGGTGTTTTAGAGGTTGCTGAATTATGTCTGAGGGCCGAATATGGTTTGGCGGTATATAGTTTGAGAGCTATAAAGAGTTTTCTCATGTTTAAAGGATTATACACAGGCAGACACCAAAGAAAGAGATGCAGCAGTACCTATATGGTCTGCAAAGCCCTTTATGTTTATTACCTAGCCCTGAACATTATGATACCCTTCATAAAAGAGACAAAATCCCTCCCTCTATTAAACCATAAATTTCCTCTCCATCTCTGTGTTTTTCATCCTCATGCCTTCAGGATGTAAGATAGGCTTCATCTGTAGGTGCTGAACATAAGTTTAAATAAATGCCACCTAGCTGGAGGAAGAGACCAAGGGTAAAAGACTTACATGCCAATCTAAGAAGTTTGATATCTTAAGCAAAGGGAGGCTTAAGTCTTTTAAGAGGCTTCTAGATCAAGCATAGATTTTGCGATTTAAATATGATTCAGTTTGACTAGCACCTTAGGACAGTAGAGATAAGGGCCAGGAGGAATGCGCCACAGTTTGGAAGCTGTCTTCATGAGCTAGAGGAAAAGGCAGTTGGGATGGAGAAGGGACCACAAAGTAAATGATGATTGGAGGGATTTGGTAGGGATGGGAGATATGTGCTGAAAGTAGACTGAGGACCAAACATGATGGCCTCTCTGTATCTATATTCCTAACCATGATCTACAAAAGTATATATAGAGAGAGTAGAAGGAAGGCATTATGTACTCATTATGGTAGAGTCAATTTTGCTATATATAGGCACAAATATCTACCTACTTACCTACCTATCTACATAGGATACTGTGCAGTGCCAGGGATTGAACATGGGTCATGCAAAGGATTATTATTACTATCTCTCCAACTCTGCAATTCCTATTTTTCTCAAAACGTTTCAATGCTATCTAATTCATCTAACATAATCCAGTGAAGGAGAGTGTCCAGTGAACTAGTTTTTTGGACTGAAAAATATGTCAATACTTGATTTTACATATTGGCTTTCTGCAAACATTTTATTTTGTCCAATAATTTCCTAAAGTTACTTAGGTTTAAATTTAGTCAAAGAAATACCAAGACAGGCTTCATCAGAATTTGACTTTGTGTGGAGTTCATGCCCAATTCAATCAGCCTAATCAGTGGCTGAATAAATAGCAGTACTCCTACATAAAACAAAACAAAACATCATTATCTTAAGGTGAAAACATTAAAACCGATGTGACAAATGATACATAAAAAAATAAATAATTTGAAGCAAAAAAATAAAGAACTTGATTTTGTATTGATTTACTCATCATGAAAACTATCACAGAAAGTGTTCAAGTAGCTGGAAATAATTGGGGTTGGAATTTTAGCCTAATGAGTCCATGGGAAGTGTAGCTAACAACTAACAAGCATTTGTAAAGCATTAATTTCTCATTAAAATACATGTTTTCTTTTAATAACAGTTCTCCAAAGGATTCTGAACATGAAAAGATTTTTTAAGATATGATAAAAAAAATTCATCTCGGGGGTTGATGAATTAGAGGGGAATTTGGGGTGGAGATTTCAACGGTAGCCAGGGAAGTTTTTGGGTAAAATTTTCTACGGACTTAATTTTTAGCATATTTGGCCTGAAGTGTTTCTTGTTTGCTTGTTTTATTTTATTTATTTATTTTTTTTTACTGAGACTCAAAATTTAGAAATCAATTGGTGACAATTTAAATACAGGAGATAAAAATTGATAATTTGAAAGTAGACTATGGAGCGAACATGATTGCCACTCAACGCCTCTTTTGCATATCACAACACCCAAAAGGAGAGAGAAAACAAAAAGAAATGCCCTGCCACAGAGGCAGGGTGGGATGGGGGGATGGGGGTGGGAGGGATACTGGGATCCATGGTGGTGGAAAATGGGCTCTGGTGGAGGGATGAGTATTTGATCATTGTATAATCGAAACCCAAGCACAAAAATTTGTAAGTCTACAACTGTAGCTCATGGTGTTTCACTAATAAAAATATTTAAAAAATTGATAATTTACTTAGAAATGCAAAGTTAATATAATTGTACAAGGCACACGAAAACCCAGTTCTGGTCCAAGCTCAGGTCACCAATTGGACCATGGACATCTAATCAAACTGGGCTCACTGTCCTCCTCTGACAGGAGAAGGGTTGGATCATTCCTTAGCCTCTGAAGCAGCTCTGAAGTTCTGGATCTATTAAGGAATCTTGTACCTTTGAGTCCCGGCTCCCCTGTCTCCCCTGCTATATGGCATATCTGAGGTAGCCCAGTGGTGCCTTTGTCCCCTTCATCCCCGCTCTCTCCTGGGGGTCCTCGTTCGCCCTTTGCACCTGGAATTCCAAGGCTTCCTAAAAAAACAGGAGTAACAACATCAGCTTCCAAATTATTAAAGTAGCCCATAAGCATCCCCAAATGAACAGTGCTTTCAAAGACCAAAAAAGACAGAAAAACAACCAAAGAAGAAAGAAAAAAGTCGAAGAAAACAAATGTATTAGTGAACCTGTATCGCAAACCATAATACCCAAAAGGGAAGGGGGGGAAGAAGAGAGAAATGTCTGACATAGAGGCAGGTGGGTGGGGGGGGGAGAGAAGGGGAGAGAAACTGAGAACATTGATGGTGGGAAATGTACAGTGGGGAAGGATGGCTGTTGGGACATTGTATGACAGATACCTAATCACTAACAACTTTGTAACTGTGTATCTCAGGATGAGTTAATAAAACAAAAACCTTTTAGAAAAAAAGAACAAACGAGAGCACACAGCCACAGAGAAGAAAGGCCGCGGGGGGTGGGGGGGAGGCTCCACAGCTCCTGGAGAATGCTCCAGGTCCCAAAGAGAGCCAAGATCACCGGGAAGTCCCAGTTGGGGTAGGTGCCGCATCCCACCTCCTCCAGATGGAACCCCAGTGACCATGAGCCTCTACAAGCATAGCTCGGTTATGCAGGAACCAGGACTTTTACTCCAAACCGCGCAGCCACTAATGTGGCCGCATGACATCTCCTTATATATAAAGTGATCAATGGAAAGTAAATTATCCTACGTTTCTCCCTGAAAATCAGGCTTAACTCTTTTACAAACCACAACACCTAATAGGAAAGAGAAAACAAAAGGGAATGCCCTGCCACAGAGGCAGGGTGGGATGGGGGAAATGGGGGGTGGGAGGGTTACTGGGATCCTTGGTGGTGGGAAATGGTTACTGGTGGAGGGATGGGTATTTAAAATAAATAAATTAATTTAAAAAAATAAATGCATTACCTTTAGACTCAGAAAAAAAAATAAAATAAAAAGAACAAACGAGGTTAACAGAACAGGCTGCGGGGGGGGGGGGGGGGAGGAGGGGATGTATATATTCCCTCCAATAGGAGGGAGGAATACAGCAAACAGAAAAACCAGTTTCCCTGCAGAGAATAAAATGTACCTTATTTTGCAACTAAGTAAATGAACATTTCAAATGCATCCAGACAACTAGAAAGGCACTTACTTCTTCACTTACCTTTCTGTCCTGGGGTTCCTGGGTTCCCGGCAGGCCCTGGAGGGCCGATTTGTCCAGGATAGCCCATCATCCCAATCATTCCTCTGTCTCCTGAAGAAGCAAATAATACAAAACAGTGTTTGCAGATTGAGATAAGCAAAATACCGCGATGGAACTCAACCAGGAAGAAAGACTGGATGCCAAAGTTATGAGTTCTGCAAATAAGAAAGTCACCATATTTATCTTGGGAAGAGGCCAGTGATAGTCCTTTAAAAATATAAACTTAGAGTCTAGTATTTATCTGTAAAAATTATTTTCATATTTTATATTATTTAAACATGCTTAACTTAGAATTTCTGGAAAACAGAGACAAGCCCTACCGAAATGGAAATAATTTTTTATGAGTTAAAAAAAAGTCTATGGCTAAAAAAAAATCAATTTTAAAAAAATCAAATGTTTTTAAAAATTAAATGATCCTTAGATACTTAAAATATATATAATGTCTCTGGAATCCTTTGGTAGAAAATCACATTTGGATGAGAATGAAATATGTTGGAGTTTTGGAATATTTCCTTTTCCCAAACCCTTACCCATAGCTTTCTGATAAAGCCCCTTATTTCATTGTTTTCATAGCTTGTGTCTCCAGTTTAGTTTGCAAATGTATTTTCCACTGTCTATGAAAGATAGATTCTTGTCCACAGATATATCTCTGGGTCTGGAATAGTGCTGGCACGTGATCATAGTTCAATTATATGAAATAAAGGATAACTTGCTAGTTTGCTAGTCTGGGTTTTTCTCTAGAGATCAGAGGTCCTTATGTCATGGCTATAGGTATATTCTCCCCAAATATATAAGCCTTAAAACTGAAGTAAAGAGATATTTTAGGGGAACACTTTAAACAGTAATATATTAGGAAATTAGGTAATTTTCTATGTACATATTCCTAGAGAACCACAGATGACCAAAATTGACTCCAGAAGGAATTAAAAAATCTCAATAGATCTTTTACAAGTGAATGAAACAAATAAATGATTGATTAGCAAAAACTTCCCTCTAAGAAAACCCAGATAATTTCACTGGTGAGTCCTACCAGATGTTTAAAGAATACCAGTTCTTCTAGAAACTTCTAGAAAATATAAGAGTAGGAAACACTTGTCATCTTATTCAATGAGATCACCTGTTCTCCAAACCAGACAAAAACATTATAAGAAAGGCTAGTATCCTTTAATACAGGTATGAACATTCTCATCAGAATACTGGTAAAAGCATGTTAAACCTTAAAAAGGGATGATGTGGTAAATGGTTATATCCTGGCTAGCTGTTAATTATGATCACACCATTACCACCACCATTTCCCACCTCCCTTTCTCTCACTTCTTTACAAGTAATTCAGGAGAAAAATAAACTCCAACTAATAGAAAGACAACAGTTCTACATACATTCATTCACACAGATGCAGGAACAGGAAAGCCTGAAAGTTATAAGAAAGGAATAGATAGACATGGAGAGTATCATGCTAAGTGAAATGAGTCAGAAAGAGGGGGCAGACATAGGACTGCACTCATTTGTGGAGTATAAAACAACATAACATGAGGCTGACACCTAAGGATAGTAGATACACAAGACAGGTAGATTGTTCCATAGCTGGAAGCCTGCCTCATAAGCAAAGGGGGGAAGGCAGCTGGAATAGAGATGGGATCACTAAGAAAATGATGGCTGGAGGAATCAGTCAGGATGGGAGATGTGTGCAGAAAGTAGATAAAGGACCAAACATGATAACCTCTCAGGGTCTGTATTACAAATAATAATGCCCCAAAGTAGACAGAGATTATGGGGAATCATGTCTGCCATGGAGGCAGGGGGAGGGTGGAAAAGGCGGGGTATACCTGGGATATTGGTAGGGGGGAATGTGCACTGGTGGAGGGATGGGTGTTTGATCATTGTGTGTTGTAACCCAAACATGAAAGCTTGTATCTCACAGTGATTCAATAAAATTAAAAAAAAAAAAAGAATACCTGGTTGTCCTGGAACTCCTGGGGTTCCTGGACATCCTTTGGGACCAGGTGGCCCCATCTCACCTCGATGACCTGGCATTCCTGGTAGTCCAGGTTCTCCGGGAAATCCTGGTCTATCCAAGCCTGGAATACCTGGGTCTCCCTTTGGCCCTGGTTCACCTCTTGGACCTTTGAACAAATTATGAGCACATGAATGATGAGACACACAAGCCTTCTCACCACCAAATCTAGAAGTGTTTTAGTTTTTTTTATGGCTGTAAACATTTTGCTATGTGATTTGTGGCAATGCCCCTGAGTATCTGGTTGATTTAAGCCTGCTTCTGTAAAATTTCTAAGACCCTCTGAGATTAACATTTTGCTTCAATAATTCATGTAGTGGCAGCCTAAGGAAAGAGTAGGATTTAGATATATTTTATTGTACTACAAACGTGTCCTCAAACTACACTTTCTGGCTCTGTCTTTGAAGGAAAGAACATATACAGAGTCACTCACATGGAAGAGAGCAAACAGAAGTTTCTGGAAATATTATCACTACTGCAATTAATATACTGATCGAAGCTTTGTTTTGATCTTTGTTTTGATATAGCACTGTAGACCTGCACTGTCCTCCCATTGTTCATAGAGTTGTTCCAGCAGGCCGAATAACATCTCCATTGTGAGACTTGTTGTTACCATGTTTGGCATATGAATACGTCACAGGTAGCTTGCCAGGCTTTGCCATGCGGGTGAGATACTTTCGGTAGCTTGCTGGCTCTCTGAGAGGGGCAGAGGAATTGAACCTCGGTTGGCCGGGTTGGCCACATGCAAGGCAGATGTTGAATTTTAAGGAATTTTTTTTTTCAGAAATAGTTCATACATCAGATTTAAAGAAGAAAATGAAAGATAGAAAAGCATGTTTTCCATTATATGGATCCTAATTTTGATTTGTTTTTAACTGTTTCCTTTTGGGGCCATGACTGGTGTTGCTGAAAGGTTCTTTCTGGCTCAGTGGTAGAAGTTTTCTTCTGGGAGTGCTTAGAGGACATCCAGGGCTGGTATCGAACCCGGGTTCCCACATGCAAGGTATGCTTTCCAGCCTCTGAGTCTTCTCCCTGCCCCTTTCAGTCCCCTCTCTCTTTTTAAATGTTTATTTTTGGAGAGCAGCATACTTTAGTTTGTGACTTGTTAAACAGGTCTCTTGGCAATATTTTCTTTGTTTTGATATAAAACATAAGTTTGCTACTTTATTGTCGCTAAGAAAGTAGAAACATTTGCCTAAGTTTAGATGTCCATATATATACATATATATATATATACATACATATTCTCTATATTTATTTTCAGTGTTCAAATCTTGACTAAAAAGCACATGTCAAATCACTAACAAAACTGCCGCCATAATTTAGGTCTCATTTACCACCACCACAGGGTTGATATTTCTGGGACAACATAGTCCCATCAGTGACCTGATGTGCTCTTGGACTGTTCCCATGCCTCCTGCCTGCCTGGTCCTGCTTGCTAGGATCGCTTCCTACCTGGCTGTCCTTTCAATCCATTTAAGCCTGGAAGTCCTGGAGCTCCTTGTGGACCCTCTTCGCACCTTCCTGGGAGGCCTTTTTCTCCAGGCGGTCCAGGTTCCCCCGGATCCCCTGTAAAATAGAGTCCCAAAATATATTCAGGCACCCAAATCTCAGATTGTAGCAAAAGTTTCCCAATTATACTTCTGTAACCTCTTCTGCCCCCAATTAAATCTGTGAATAATATGGTCTTTTAGAGAGAATGAATTCGAATGGAAATAAGGAAGACGGAAATAAGGCAGGGCAGCAGTGTTACTTACAATCCATTCATTGAGTTAGGAGTTAGAGAATTCTTCATCCTTAGAGCATCTACACAGTCAGTTGCAATGTAACTGCATTCACCATAAAGCAATCACACTTGCTATTGTACCTTGTGGTCCATCCAGTCCTCCAGATCCTGGATTTCCAGGGTTACCAGGAAATCCTGGGAATCCAATGTCTCCATTTTCCCCAGGACTGCCTCTTTCTCCCGGAAAACCTGGTATTCCTGGCTCTCCAGGTGTGGCCAATCCTGGTTCTCCCTATAGCATAGAAATAGTATCAGTTTCCAGATTCTTGTTGATTCCTGACTGATCTTTAGGGCTATTAGCAGGAAAGTGACCATGGAGACTCAGTGCCCCTTTGCAGGGTCACCTGGACTCCTTCAGTGGTCCTCTTTCCACACAAATTGCTAACTTTTCTGTATGATTGTGCCTTCCGGGTTTGTAGCCACCATTATTCTTTGTAATCTAGAAATATCTATTTTGAGCTTTTTAAAAACATGGATCCACATTTATTTTTTCAGAGCCCACACATTTATTTATTTATCTAATTATCTTGGCTTTTGGGGTCACACCCAGCGATGCTCAGGAGGTTATTTCTGGCTTTGCACTTAGGGATTACTCCTGACGGTGCTACTGGTCCCTATGGGATATCGGGGATCAAACCCAGGTCAGCTGCATGCAAGGAAAACAACCTCCCCACTGTACTATCACTCAGTCCACACATCTAACATATTAGAATATTTCTGAAGATTAAGATATGGAGAGAGAAACCTGTCTTCTGACTCCTTCTACTTTTCTTTTTAAAAAGGAGATGTAATTCAGAAAAAAATCTTAAATAATTAATATGGTGTCACCACCAGCCATAAATATGTTAATAGTTTTTGCACACAGACTTGTCCTGACTGAAGGATTATAACTGCCCCATCTGGCCCCTAGACACATGTTTGGATTTTAAAATTCCAGAGACCTTTGCTCCAGGGGTTCCTGGCATTCCGGGTAATCCTGGCTTTCCCACATCTCCGGGACAACCAGGGGGTCCTCTTGGTCCTGGGAATCCCCGATCTCCTTCAGAGAAAAAGAGAGAAAAATGAAATGATTACTCTGATAAAAACATTATGAGCAGATTATCTTTTTATTTTATCAGATGTTTTTATTAAGGGAGAACCAACAGATGTTCTTGGGACAGTGTCAATGATGGAAAAACCAGCTTCTAGATGAGTTCTTAAAAATGATTCAAGGACCGGAGCGATAGCACAGCAGAGAGGAAGTTTGCTTTCCACGAATCCGTCCCAGGTTCAATTCCTGGCACCCCAAGTGGTTCCCCAAGCACCGCCAGGAGTAATTCCTGAGTGCAGAGCCAGGAATAAACCCTGAGCATTGCCAAGTGTGACTCAAAAAACAACAACAACAACAACAACAACAACAACATAATAATAATAATAATAATAAATAATAATTCAATTGTAGGACCAGAAAGATAATACAGCAGATTAGTGCTTGCCTTGTATGAGCCCAACCTAGGTTTGTTCCTGGCACCACATATGGTCCCCCTAGTCCTATTAGAAGTGATCCCTGAGCACAGAGTCAGGAGTAAGCCTTGAACACTGCCAGGTGACGTTCCAAAATACAAATTTTTTTTTAAAAATACCCGATTCAAAACCATATGACACTGGTTTCTAATGAAAAACAGAAAAACTACCTTTGGTGGTTCAATACTGTATGATTTTTTTTTGATCAATACTTTAAATTGCTGATACTGGTTGACCATTTGGCTGATTAAAACATTTTTTTTTTCTTTTTGGGTCACACCCAGTGATGCTCAGGGGTTTTTCCTGGCTCTGTGCTCAAGAATTACTCCGGTGTTACTTGGGGAACCATTTGGGATGCCAGGGATTGAACTCGGGTTGGCTGCATACAAGGCAAATGCCCTACTGGCTGTGCTATCACTCCAGCCCCTAAAAAATATTTTTAGATGCAGTAAAGAGCTAGATGGACAGCTCAGAAGAATTATGTTTCAATATCCTAGAGCATCCCTTGAGTGTAATGAGTTAACGTTTCATGCATTTATAAAGGAAAATTGAGGATGGAATGATATATAAACACCTACCATCCACGGTTCTGTAGTTCACAAAGGGAAGCTCTCAGGATGCAAGTCTGTGTTGAGAGCTCCTTTCATAATTTTTTGGTTTGAGGGCCAAAATTTAAACAATCATCTATGCTCAGGGTTTACTTCTTACTCTGAGCTCAGGGATCACTTCAAGTAGGGTTTGGATGACACATGCTAGAGATTGAAACTGAACATTGGTCAGCTGCCTGCAAGGAAGGTACCTATGAGTGCCTTACCTGCTCTACAATCTCTCTAGACTCAAACAGTTCCTTCGTGTCTTTCATTTGACCCTTTAAATGCACAGTTCACAGGATTCATTAGGATCAATTCAATGCGACTCTTTGGAGTTTGTTCTGGTTCCTTAAGTTTACAGTCTCCTTCTAGTTGTAACCTTTCATAGGGTTTTCCAATTTTGGATAACTTTGATTAATTGCACTCAAGAAGAACCCAACTGAAATATAGGCCAGGCTCATTACTTCAGAGGTCATGGGAAAAATCCAAGAACTTGGATTCAAACTCAATTTGGTACCACATGTGAGTATCCCCTGCTATAATTTTTTTTATTTCAAACTTTAACTAGAGGAAACAAATATTCCCACATTTGGGGAGATATATGGTAAATAGTAGTGATGCTGAGATAAAGGACCCAAAATAAATATTTTGCAAATATTTTAAATAGTCTTGAAACAAGCTAATATTATCATAAAATCTAAAGTCCTATAAAAACCCAGATATTGAGATTAATTTTATATTATCCTGGATGGGACTTTGTTGTATTTGCCAATAAGAAGCTGTAGGTAACTGTTTAGATGCTCAAGACCTAAATTCATTTTCTTTTTGATAAGAAAATAGTATTTTGGGGGGCTGGAGTGATAGCACAGCAGGTAGGGCGTTTGCCTTACACATGGCTGACCCGGGTTTGAATTCCAGCATCCCATATGGTCCCCAAGCACTGCCACTAGTGATTCCTGAGTACAGAGCCAGGAGTAACCCCTGAGCACCGCTGGGTGTGACTCAAAAAGCAATTAAAAAAAAAGAAAATTGTATTTTTGCCTAAATAAAACCTCCGTAACTAATTTTGGAGCATAGAGGGAATTTGGCTATTTGTGCTTTAGAAGTTGTTTTATTCTAAAAGTAATACATACAGTGAAAAAATGTGTTGGTGTAAACAGGTCAGACATCTATTAATAAGGAAAAATATTCTTTTAATTCCACAGTTGGGACTTGTGACTACTATCCCTTGATGAGATTCACTATTGCCATTTTCTTCTGACTTTTTTCTACACATTGAAACAAAATAGCTGAGATGAGAATGTACAAGTTATTGCCAATTCTGCCTTTGTTTACCTAACAATGCTGAAAACATTCCCTTCATGTTAGGTTCTCAGAACACATAATTTTTGGAGTGTGAGGTGGTCTCCAGAAGTGAACCCAAAGTCTCATTCATCCAAGCTTGATCTTTACCATTCACACAGATCTGAATACAGCCCTCACTTAGAATAAATTATTTTAAGGAATGTTACAAATATTACGTATGGTTTTCATGATAGGTATTTACACTTTCTAAATGCCCATACAAATGTCTTGTGCTTTCATTTACCCTTAGGTCCAGGAGGCCCAGGAAATCCAATTCCTGAAAATCCTGGTTCACCATCAGGTCCAGGAAGGCCTGGATCACATTTGCCCGGGGGTCCAGGGACACCTTAAGAAAACACACATATATCCATATCAGCATCTTTTCTTTATCTTGCCCTAAACAGAATGTCCAAGTGTCTGTGTTACTCCAGGCTGTTTTGTTGTTGTTGTTGTTTGAAATGAACAACTGATTTTAATATAACCACAACCAATATATACCCCACCTCTCCATTTCTCTCCAATAGACTCATGAATAGGAACTGAAAATATTTCTGAAAATATAATTTAATCAGAAAATATTCTAGACAAATTGAATTAGGCGAGTCTCTTCTTATGCATGCAAAATTAAGTTTTGGGTAATATTGGCAAAAAAGGTTATATTTTCTAATAAAGAAACTGTGGGAACTTTTATTAACTGTGGGCAAATATTTCTTGCTTCCCCAATAAAAATCCATGATGATCATCCTGCTCTAGAATTCTCCCGGAATCATTATCTCTATGCTAGATACATTCTTAAATGGAAGGTAAAGGTAAAGGTAAAGGCCCTCCCGTTGATCGTCGATTTGCTCGAGCGGGCCAGTAATGTCTCCATTGGAGACTTTGTTGTTACTGTGTCTGGCATATCGAATACTCTCGGTAGCTTGCCGGGCTCTCCGAGAGGGGCGGAGAAATCGAACTCAGGTCGGCCATGTTGGCCGCGTGTAAGGCGAACGCCCTACCCGCTGTGCTCAAATTGTACCAATCTATAATCAGAAGCAGGAAAAAAATTGCTCACAGAACTGTTCTATGTTCATTAAAATTTTATTTTGACTGATTGAGGTTGTGTGATTTACAATACTGTTAATGATGGTTTTCTTTTCTTGCATAAAATTTCAAAACTATGCCCACAACCAGTGTACCCACCTCCCTCTACCAAGTACCCCAATGCCCCTTCCTCCCTTTCAGCCCCTTCTAGCCCCAATCCCATCAGCTCAGTTGTGTGATTCATTTATGTTGCCTTTGATGACTTTGTTGCTATCTTGCTGGTATCTTTAAGTCCCATAGATGAGAGATATCACTTTACAGTTATCCATTTCCTGACTGACTTTGCTCAAGCTCCATCCATGTTGCTGTGAAGTGCATGACACTACTATTTTCTTAGAACTATGCTCATTTGTAAGCGAGCACAGAAAATGCCAAGTTTCTTACCACAGAGACAGATTTTGCAGGAGATGAGGGGTGCTGTATGATGCAACACATCATACTGGGCAGAGAGGAAACTCACCAGGTGGACCTGGGGGACCAGTTCGTCCTGGAGGTCCAGGAGGCCCTGGGAGTCCCGGTATTGGTATTGAAATGCTGTCTTCTCCCCTTGGACCTGGAGAAAAGCATGCTTGTAAGATTGGTATGTATGATGAAGCTTTTCTTGGTTTATGGGGAAATAGCATTACGAGGGGATTTACAAAACTATACCAAGGAATGCATAAATCACTGTCTGTTCCCATTGGCTTCAAAACTATTTTAAGGTGATGAGCCCACAGAAAATTTCTTATTCAACTGACAAATATTTTTTGGCATCTATTATTGTCTAAGTATTGTCTTAAGTAATTGTCCAACTTTGTGGACTGTTATGTGAGATCTATTCTAAAATAAAAGTGAGCAACAGTCATTCAGCTTAAGTGTTAGTGACAGCCCGTAAGATATTTATTGGGGGACTAGTTTCTCAGGAAGGCAGTAAAGCACACTGAATAAAACATGAGTGTGGCCAGGCTAATCTAGATGCTAATCTAGATGCTCATCTTCTATATAGAAGACCCGAGAGCTTGGACACATAACCAACTCTCAAGTGGCAAGGGGGGGGATAACACCTACCTGAATGGTGGTCTAATTTATTGTGGTCACCACTAAAATATGTGAGTGATTAGTTTTGTCTATATGTTCATATATTTCTAGAAAAATATACAGTTACAGTATATATATTATATTCTGTTGATATATTTATTATACTTATCAGAAGCAAGTGTTCACACAGACTTTATAATGCAAGGATCTTCACTAGTTCTAGGAACCATCAACCCAAACCATAGAAAATCAGGACTGGAAAGAAAACTAACCAACCGGCTTCTCCAGGTGGGCCAGGGGCTCCAGGAACTCCTTGGGTGCCCTTTGGACCAGTCTCTCCCTGTGGTCCAAAGTCTGATGGTCCAAATGGTCCTGCAGGTCCTGGGAACCCAGGGGTTCCAGGATCCCCTGGAGGACCCTGGTCCCCCTTCTCACCACTCAGGGCCTGTGACAATAGGAATATATTTGGATGGCACCTTATTCTAGCACCTCCTAACACAGGTTATTGTTACCATGAACAGGAACACCTAGTAGGCCATCATTGAGAAGATCTTGAATTGAAAAACACTTGGAACTTAACTGGGAACTATTACTGAAGTAAGAGTATTGTCTGGTTTCTGCTATATTGTGTCTTTTGAAATTTAGCTGCATTTTATTGACTTAGAATTCCTTAAAGTCCCACTTGAGGTACCCTACAATGTCATTTCTCCTGTATAATAATAGACCCCCACCCCTCAACTTAATGTGGGCTGGCCAAATGTTCAAAAAGCTTTCGACACAATCCTCATGTGAATGGGATGTTTTTGAAATAAAACCAAGACAGTTAACCTTTATTTGGAAGGTGTTCTCTAAGTATTTTTATTACAGAAGAGTATTCCATATTATTTTCTTTCTTGTCACAAGTCTCTTTTTTTAAATTTCATTAGCTAAAAACTTTAAAATAAGGTATATATTCTAAAGGGGTTGAAAAATAACCAAAGTTCCTTTTCCTCTACAACATGGTCCCAAATAATAAACATGAGCAGAATTTTCACTGCTTTGAAGTATCAGTTGGCTAAGTGGTCCTACTACTTAATTCATAATGCTGGGATTTAGGACAACAAAATTCTTCTTGATTTTCTCTTGCTTCCTGCAACATCTTTAACAGAACTAATGAATAAAATTTGTTAAGACATAAATCAGGAGGATTCACAAATCATACATTGATCTTAAAGGATCTAAGAGTGAATCTTTAAATGGGTGGGACTCATTTTCTTGGCTGACACTAACTCTGGGAGAAGCTGGAATTTCCTGGATGGGACTGGACTGTGTCCCTTATAACCCTACACAGAAGTGCTGGGAGACATGCTTAGCCTCATTTTAAAAGTAGATCCTCGCAGGAACATCTCATTAAAGCTATAAGAGATTTTGTCCTATGAAAAAAGGTTGATTTTAAGCTTAAAAACTGTAAATGGCAAAACGTTTGATCTTTTTTTGACCAACTGCCATCCCCCTAAATATCATCTTTCTATGACTTGTTTCTACTTAAAAGAATGAATATTTTCTCCAAAATATCAATGAAAACTTTCCATTATTAATCATTTTCTAAACGTTTCCCTAAATTTATTTGGCACAACTATCAAATTATTCCTGGTATAAGAGAGGGGGTCATTTGCAGTGTAAAAGTTTACTGGGGCTGACCAAATCATTGAGCACTACCAATTTATTTTGTCAAAGTACTATAGACATTTGCTATATGCTTGACGTTTGAAGATGCTTCTTCCTGTAATCAGGAGTTAAACTGTACCCAGTGGCCAAACAAGATTTTGAAAGGAATCCTCCTCACCTCTTGAACTCTTCATTTATATGGAGGGTAAGTAGGAAAAGATGACAGAATACCAACCGGTTCTCCTTTCGGTCCTGGAAGTCCTTTTGCTCCTGGAGTTCCCGGGACTCCATCGATGCCCGGTTTCCCAGGGTGTCCTCTGAACCCAGGGTCCCCTGGAGTTCCTGCTTGTCCCTCGGGTTTTGGTTCTTCACCTTTTTCTCCTTTCTGGCCAGGAACACCCGGAGGACCTGGGAACCCCTAGGTGGCTCAGAGGAAAGTTGGCAGTGGGTTTGGGGAGAAAAAAAGCCCTGAGCACAGAGTTGAGAGTAGCCCACAGGTGTAGACTGTCTCCCTCCCTTCTTCCCATCAACAAGAACCTTTCTGTTTTAAGGAACATAAATTTTATTTTTCTCTTTAGATGCATTCTTGGGTGCACTATATAACTTTAAGCTCTTTACATTTTTTTGCTTCACAAACTGGAAAGGAATTCGTAAGCTCTATTCTGTGCTACTCATCAATCACAAATACATCAATTCAATATATACTGCTATATGTTTTAAGTTTGAAGATGCTTCTTCCTGTAATCAGGAGTTATTCAGATAACGAATATTCTTTATTATTCAGATGATGTTAGAATAGTGACATTTTAACACACATATGTGTATACTTTGATTTATGGTAATAAAATTTCTGTTCTTTTTTTGTGTTTTTTTTTTTTGTTTGTTTGTTTGGGGTTATACCTGGTTCCCAGGGCTAACTCCTGGATCTGCTCTCAGGGACAAGCTTCTTCTGGAGGACCTGGGGGCCCATATGTGATACCGAAGATTGAATGCAGATTGGCTGAGTGCATCCTACCTACTGGACTATTGCTCTACCTGCTAAAAATTTCAAAATTTACTGGCATACAGTTTATGTACTCTAAAATGAAAAAATTATAAAACAAGTACCAAAAAATCAAATTGTAAGCCTTTGTTACAATTTCTTAGGTACTTCGTACACTGAATGCACAATCACCCCCAAAACCAGTGGTGGCATTGCCATGTTTTCTTCAATTCTCTCATACTCAGTCACAGCCAATTTCTAGTGCAGAGTAGAGGCCTAGGATACCCCTAGTTTGCTTGTCTCTGATACCATTTTAAATAATTAGATAATTCATTCATGACTCCTCACCAGGCTGTTTTCACTTGAGGCACCCTCCCCACCCTAGGGGACCCAGCCCTGGCAGCTGACCTCCACTACCCAACCACCACGACCTCCAGGCCACTTTCTGGACTGCACGGCCATGAAGATCTCAAAGAACTCAAAACAAACTATATATATATGTATATATATATCTGTATATACATATCTGTGTATGTATATATATATATATATATATCTGGGTTTTATAGTCTCTGGGTCTTGGCCGTTGATGGGATTACACAGTGCCAGGGGGCCAGTTGGTGCATGTGACCCCTGCCTACTGGAATATGGAAGATCTGGGTGGAGGATGCTCAGCCCTGATCCGAGCAGGCTTGGAGATCTCAGCCCCGGAACCCGCATGCCTTTGTTCCTCTGCCGGTACCTTCATGCGTGTGGAGAGTGGTCTCATCAACGGCCAAGACCCAGAGCAGCACAGAGTCTCCTGCCTCTGCGCCTGGCTGTCCTCGCTGGGGCCCCTTGGAGGGAAGCGGGTTGAGGTTCCCTCCCTGCCCCAACCAGGGCTTCGGCAGCCGAAGACCTTCAGAACCAGCCACCACCATGCTGAGACCACTCTCCACATGCATGAAGGTACCTGCAGAGGAACAAAGGCATGCGGGTTCCGGGGCTGAGATCTCCAAGCCTGCTCGGATCAGGGCTGAGCATCCTCCACCCAGATCCTCCATATTCCAGTAGGCAGGGGTCACACGCACCAACTGACCCCCTGGTGCTGTGTAATCCCATCAACGGCCAAGACCCAGAGACTATAAAACCCAGATCCCGGAAGCGTGCGGCCGCGACATCTTATTATCTCATTTTTACTTTGGACATACTGGCAGGCTACCAAATGTAACCTGCTCACACGTCAGAGTCTGGCAAACTCCCCGTGGCGTAACTAATATGCCAAATACCAGTAACAATGATGGGTCTCATTCTCCTAACCCTGAAAGAGCCTTGAATCTCTGGGCTAGGATGAAGGAGACGTTACTGGGGCCTGCTTGAGGCAGTCGACGAACAACAGGATGGTCGTGATATATATTATATATATATATATATATATATATATATATATATATATCAGAGAGCCCGGCAAGCTACCAAGAGTATCTCACCCACATGGGCAGAGCCTGGCAAGCCCCCCATGGCATATACGATATGCCAAAAATGGTAATGATAACAGGTCTCATTCCCCTGATCCTGAAAGAGCCGCCAATCCTCCAATCGTTGAGAAAGACGAGTAAGGAGAGGCTGCTAAAATCTCAGGGCTGAGATGAATAGAGATGTTGCTGGTGTCTGCTCGAGTAAATCAACGAACAACGGGATGACAGTGATAAATGACAGTGATTAGATCATTCATTCATACATCACTCATTTCCTTTCAGATCAGCACGTATGTAATAAGTGCCTGTTCTTGACAAATCCCCAACTGGGCTTTAAGTTTCCAAACTGAAAGTGTTCAAAACCAGGAACTTGTTCTTACCGGAAACCCAGGAAGTCCCGGGCTTCCTGGGAGCCCTTGGCTTCCTTTATCCCCAGCTGTCCCTGGTTCTCCTGCAAAGCAAAGAATTATTCATTGACTCTTAAGTCTGGACATCAAGGTAATTCTGTGCATGACGAAGATAGGGTGGTCTGAGTAAATAAAGACAATTTTTGTCTTAGAAAATGATGGAGAAAAATTAACTGGTGTGACAAGTACTAATGAAAGTCAAGAACTCCTACATTTCAGCACCTTGAAGTGCTCAGAGAGACTTTTTCTATGTCAGATTCTGTCCACATGGGACCTACCCAGAGGAAAGGTGAGCCAGGAGCGACCGTGCTTTGGTGAGCCTGAGACTGACACAGAAGTAGATGAGGAAGGTGACATTGTCCCTAGTTAGATTTCAGGATAGTTGCCTGTGAAACGTTTGCTCCTTCAAAACTTGATTTTGTGGTTAATCGAAAAGATAACCCATGCAAGAGTCCGTATCAAAATTGTGCATGGGGATTGTGTAAAGGTGAAACTGATGCCATGACAGGCAGCAGAAATCAGGGAGATCTCGTGGCTGGAGTGATAGCACAGTAGGTAGGGCGCTGGCCTTGCATACAGCTGACCTGGGTTCGATCCCCAGCATCCCATATGGTCCCCCGAACACCACCAGGAATAATTCCTGAGGGCAGAGACATGAGTAACCCCTATGCATTGCCAGGTGTGACCCCCCCCCCAAATAAAATCAGCTAGGCCTCAGGTTAAGTTATGGGAACTAAAACAGTTTCAGTCTCCCAAGATGAAACAATTTGTAACTAGCCAACCTGAACCCACCTGGGCTCAGCAAGTGGGCTCAATCAATTCTTAGAATGCCCCAGAAGTTGTTTTTTATTAACCCTAAAAGAACGAGTAGCCTATGTAATACTAAAAGAATGAGTAGACTATGTAATCATAAAACTGGTATACTGTTACTAGAAATTATTGTTTAGCTGTTACCTGACCACTGATACCCTAGACACTTGCCAAAACACCTTTGTTTTGTTAACTAAGTTTTCTTCTAAAACAATAAGTTTTCTTCTTGCTTATGTAATCAAACCCTATATAAACCGCTTGCACTTGTAGGTCGGGGTCACTATCAAGAAACCACTCCGTGGGTGAGATAGTTGACTTCAGCATACTGGAATAAAACTCCTACTGCTTTTGCATTATCGAGTTAGTGTCTCTCCGTCCGTCTTGCCTCTTGGGAACCCAGAGTCCCGGGCTTAACAGACTGGAGATCCAGGTTTGATGCTCGGCATGAAAGTCCCCCTCAGTATCATCTGGGCAACTCCCGAGACCTCAGTATCACTGGGGTCGGCCCTGGTCTCCCCCTCCCCCACACACTACAGGAGAAAGAAACTCCACATTCAGGTCTAGCCCTGAATCCTCTGCCAGTTTGACAATCCTTTAAGGTGGTCCCCAAGTCCCCTGAGAATAGCTTGAGAGGCCCCAAATGCTAATTTATTTAACTTTTTGTTTGTTAGGGGGCTCAACAAACAAACAGTGCTCAGGGCTTACTCCTGGCTCTGGACTCCAGGATCTCTCTAGGTAGACTTGGAGAATAAATGGGGTGAGGAGGGCTGGAGAGATAGCACAGCGGGTAGGGCGTTTGCCTTGCACGCGGCTGACCCGGGTTCGATTCCCAGCATCCCATATGGTCCCCTGAGCACCTCCAGGAGTAACTCCTGAGTGCAGAGCCAGAAGTAACCCTTGTGCATCGCCAGGTGTGACCCAAAAAGCAAAAAAAAAAAATGGGATAAGGGTGGTATCATACCTGGGCCTGCTGCTTTCGAGGCAAGTGTCCTACCTGCTGTACTATTGCGCCACCTCCCTAACTGATTTCATTTTAAAGAGATTTCAAATTAAAATTCTATTTTTCACCTTGAATTTTTTTCCAGTTGCATATAAATACAAATATATATAAGGTAAAAGTAAAGGCCCTCCCGTTGATCGTCGAT